AGGGAAAAAGAAAGTTAAAGGAGTTGGTAGAAAGGTTCTTTGGAAAGAATCGCATGTAGACGACATGATCGACATTATGGTCAATGATGAAAATTTCTCGAGGAAATTGATTTTCACGAATGTTAAAAAGCAAAAAAACGCGGATGTGTACAGCAAAATCTTGAAACAACTTCAAGAACGGTATTCGAAATATAGTCCACCTTCAGTCTTTCCATTCACCGTTGAACAAATAAGAACGAAATTCAAATAGTGTGTCAGCACGTGCAAAAAGATCTGCCTATACCATCACCAATTCATTCACGCTTCGTGTTAGAAGAAGTAACATCAAATAATATGTGCGTATGAGTGACGCCCTTTTCTTAAGATAAAGAAGTAATAAGTTCCACCTTAAATATTTTCTCTTTCGTTGCAAAAGAATTATTTTGTAACATGCAGTGATAAGGAAAACTGAACGGTTGGTCGGCGCCATATTTAATTTTCTGTTTAAGATATTTTTACTTTTCTGCGACATAAATTCGACGTATAATTCGGTAACGAATTTTATATTCGACAGAAACGCGTCGTTTAGCGCCTGCCTAACTCAAATTGCTAAATTCATATCCCTGCATTATTTTTTATAAAATTCATGTCCATTATCAAAGTTTTTCAATTCAAGACAATGTACTTAACATCCGTCGACCATCAACTAGCGACTGATTGAGGATTTCCAACAGGTTTTTTCACAGTCTATTTACAAAATCAAACGACATCCGTTTTGAGACGTTATATAATCTGTGGGGCAACAGACAATAGTGCAACCACCTTATTACGAGCTTCAAGGATTCCGGTGTTACCATACGTAGTAGTGAATTAAAGTTATTAAACCACGCAAAAAAGCATGAGGTTGTACATTTTGGAGAGGAGAGAGAGAATTTGAGATTTTGTGTTGTGAATTGAGATTTGCGAGTGTTGTAAATACTGATTTGGAGGCGAGTTTACGACACTCTTATACTATGTCCACAAACAGCCTCGTACCCAGGCGCTTTAATAGTAAAAAATAATGTTGCATTCAGTTATTGTACGCGCGGGGGTGCTTGGAGAGGTTTTGCCAAATTCTCGCTAAAACAAACCTCCCCAAGCACCCTTGCGCGCTTGCTTTTTTCAGCTGAACTCTATACAGTATCTGGATGCAACGTTATATATTTTACTATTAAAGCGCCAGGGTACGAGGCTGGTCCACAAACACTTCTCACGTCTCGAACTTATCTTACACTAATAAAACACTGAATGTTGTGTTGAAAGGTCTGTGTTATTGTACCATGATATCCTTAACTCTTCAGAATTAACTTGAGCTGCATGACAGATTTCGTCCAGGAAGACTAGCATGGCAGCAACAGAGATCGTGAACATAAGAAAATAAGATGCCATATACCAGTACAAATATCATCAGTTTAAAGAATCACAATTACCGTCCAGTTTTTTCCTGCGGTCATAGTTGACAACATGAATAAAGACAAAATTTGATCTGACAGAACGGACTAAAAAGAATATTTATTTAATAAAGTTAAAATGTAATCTCAGTGCATCAGGCGCTGGTTCTAGAAGGAAGCCCCTTCACAGTAGGTGCAGGAGGTAAGGTAAGGATTTAACAAGCTCGCTTCATTTTGTTGCTTAAGAATCTTCAGCATCAGTTTATAGCCAATCGGATTGTCTCTTCGTTCTCATTAATATTCAACTATCTCGTTTTAATCTTGAGAATTAGCCAAATGATCAGTACGGATGAGGTGGTGATTAAGAGAACATCTTGAAGTCTTGAAGAACACATATTCCACGTTTAAAGTCACGTATCTGGCGAATGTGGTCGTTCTTTTATAAGCACCAGGATGAGGAAGTATTGCATTTCAATTTGGCTGTATCACGTCTTTCATAATCAGTAAAGTGCTCATCAACAACTCGTCAAGGGAAATTATAGTCTAAAGACGAAGCTTTGCATGCTTTAACTGAAGAACACTGATGAAGTTCATCGCGACAAAGAACAGTGTTCCGGGAATTGAACCCAGTTACCGTGTGTACAAGTCAGCTTCCATTAGACCATTATATTTTCTATTCTGAGGGCGTTTTACGTCAGACATTAAAGTCTACTGGGTTGCGAAAATATTTTAAACTTTTTATCGAGTATAACGAGACACACCAATTATGCGGATATAAGTTGTCAACAGAAATGTTTAGCTTTCATGCAATTTTACTCGTTAAAAGTTCAATTTTCGTATGGAAAACCAACCGTAAACACGATTTCGAACACACGGACACTGTTTATTATGGGGAAACCCGAAGCCAGAGTTCCTGGAGAAAGGCCCTCACCGAAAGCCGGAATTAAACACAAAGTACACAAGCTTGAGATTTTATTAAAACAAAGTCATGTATTACAACAAAGTGTGTGTGTGTTAAAGATATTGAAATCAAGAGAGAGGAGACGGACAATTTTGGTCCTATTTTTATTAATACTTCACTAAACATGTATTACAAAGCGTGTGTGTTTTCTTTACATAGTACATCATTAATATACGAAGACATTAAAGTATTATATCTAAAACCGGTTACAAAGTAGGTGCGTTTAAGATCTTGACATTTAAATTTATAGAACAGTGCAGGTTAAATGTTAATTTGGCATACTTTAGTATAAATTGTTCATGTCTTTTTACAGTGTGCTATCGTGTTTGAGTAATGTTTAAGACTGATCAGTAAAACATGCATTAATGTGAGTAAGTGTTTCTAAGTTATCGTGTATTTTTTTGTTCTATTATAGACTTAACCCACTAACTCTGGTAGAGAGCTGAATAAAGCTTATGAGATCGACGAACTAATACAGTAATACATAAAAATGCCTGAGTTCAGAGCGCTTAGATTCAAGTTACGTTCGTCCAAAAACTAAAATTATTCTGCTGACAAATCATAGGCAGTGTTCCTAATAGTTTCGTTTTAAGCTGTCGAACTGTGCACACATATTTCAAGGATCGAGTTAACTTGAAAGATATTTCATGAGCCCTTATAGAAACAGCATGAAGGCATACACAATTGTCCTTGAAAACTTCATTGCACATTTCAGAGCTGAGGCATATAGCCAGAGCATGCTGCCCTTGTAGAAACAAGGTTTGGAAAAAAATACAAGGAATTAAATTTATATTTTTGAGGCTGAGGCATATAGCCAAAGCAACAAACTGTCGAAACCAAGTGCAGCATCAAGTGTAAATATTTTTTTCAAAAAATTCAGTCAACATTTTTTGAACCATGCAAGGGATATTCTCAAAGCAAGCTGCCCTTATAGAAACAGCACCAAGAGTACAATTTTTTTTTTCAGAGACAGAGAAACTGGACTAATACTTTCAAAGCTAAGGCATATAGCTAAAGCAAGCTGCTCTTATAGAAACAGCCACAGGAGTACATTCTTTTCTTTGAAAATCTGGTTTAAAAACTTTTAGAGTTAAATATAGCCAAAGCAAGTTGCTCTTATAGAAACAGCAATGAAAATAACACTGCAACGTTATTAGATATCCCAAGACACCTGCTAACACTTCGAACCACATAGCAAAGTCAAGCAGTACAGACAAAAAGTGGCGCCATACTTTTCATAAGCACTGCTCGACGAAGCTAAATGATTGGAAATCTCACAGAGACCTTGGAAAAATAATAAAGTTACAATGCCACTGCCAATGTTTGTCTCGTAATTGGTTTCTAACTATAGTAGAGATAAGGCATATATATCGTTTCAAGATAACAGCATGCACCCCCCCCCCCCCCAACAATTCATTTACCTATGGGATTATGTCTGCCATTTGTGGCTATGGTTTGTGTTAGTGTGCATGGCTTTTTAGCCATTTCTGATTTCTTAGGTGAAATATGGGTATATATAACAGTTGTGATATGTTTTCAGTTTTAACAGACAAATTATCAACCTAAACCTTAGCGCAGCCCAAGCAGCCCTAAGCACAAGCGAGCAGTCCTAAGCGCAAAACCGATTAAAGTATTTAACCGAATTCAAGAAACGTTTTTCAACAACGCTTTTGATTGGACGTTCATAGTAATTTAAATAATATGATTAATTCTCTTCTCCTGAGCCTGAACATCAGAAATGGAATGAAAGAATTAATCATATTATTCAAATTACTATGCTCGTCCAATCAGAAGCAATGTTGAGCTGCTTGGCCGGGAGTGTTCTGCCAATAGGATAACTTTATTTTGCAACACGAGGAGCGGGTGAAATAAATATTTAGCTTTGGCTTTGATTCAACGACTCAACGTTGCCACATCACAACATGGATAACACGGAGTCGGAGTTCCGGAGCCGGAGTTTCGGAGCCGGAGTTTCGGAGCCGGAGTTTCGGAGCCGGAGTCCCGGAGTCAAAATTACAGAGTCTGACGTAATAATATTGGAAAACACGGAGTCAAAAATTATGGAAAACACGTAGTCTGCCGAAAACATGGAAAACACGGCGTATAAATGTTTGGAAAACACGGAGTCAACGTAAATTATACATATATTCATAAATGAAGGATCGCTCATAAGTCTATACTAATTATTTATACCACAGTAATAGTATAAAAAAAAGAATACACAATATTAATAAACAAAAGATTATAGCTATAATGCCTCTTGCTCAAAGTCATAGAATTATTGTTGTAGACTTTTTTAAATCATTTACTGATGAAAAGAAGAACGTTGAAGGCTATTTACAAGGGGATTGCATGGCAAGAACATGTAGATATAGGATATTTCCTTTTCTCAAAAATACCTTTGGAAGACAACACGCATTAAGTTGTTTAATAATCCGTATTTCATTGTTGTACAGGGTCACTGAAGAAATGTTGCTGCCCCGTGAACACAGAAGGCCCAGGGTACGAGGTTGAAGGCTAAATTATTTGAAAATCCGAATACTTTTTTGCTATACTGCGGGCTCATAAGATATATAGCTCAGTGGCATAATCGCATAATCAGTTCATCAAAATTTTAAATTTAGGCGCCATAGTATTTTGTGTTTTATATTTTGTTTTGAAAGATGTTTTAAATTTCGCTTCTCTCGATTGGAAATATCACTCTCAAACTCAGGGTAATGGATCCGAGAGAGTGGGAATTAAGCAAGGAAAATGTGCAACCGATAAAACAGGGAAGAAAGGTTCCTAACTTGACAGCAGCGTTGACGCCATGTGGCTTAAGTGACGATTCTCTTTACTGGGGACTTCAGAAGGACAAGCAGTAGGTTCTTTTACTATTTACTTGATTTTGAAGTTCACTCTTCTTATAAGTGATTACCTAGCAACACATACGTGTCATGATGGTTTTTATAAAAGTAATTTCCAAGACCAAACCTTGACAAATTTTTTACCTAAATTATGAGTCGGCCAACACTCATATTTAATAAAAGGCTGTACTGCCAGTTACTGCCTGTACACAAATCTTTCCATACCTTAGTTTATATAGCTTGTACGTTACCTATAGCTTATATTTATGAAATATATAATTAATAATAACTATATCCTAATATATTATTTCTACAGAATTACAATGTTTCCTCCTTTTTCTGACATCCCGAGAGTCACAAGAGTGTTTTCCAGTTGGTTTTACCGCTAGATTGTAGGGTTAACTAAGCAACATAAAACAAACTAGGTTTCAAACAATTAGCTAGCTTGAAATGTGCAGACATGGGTTTGATTCCTATTAAGGAGATACATTCTGAAAGCTTAGAGCTGACCAGTTACAATATAAACAGTTGACACTTTGTTTACATTTTAAATCACTTTGCTTAAATATTGGGAAGAGAAGAATATTTGGTAACACTATTTTGCTTCGCTATAGTCATAAATGAATTAATATGCATATGCTGGAGTTTATAATGTTCAGAAAAATATGAAACAATAATATACTAAATTTCAACAATTTTAAGCACAACCAATGTGTAGAAGCCACTATAACACCTCTTTAAGGCATAGACGTAGGGAAGCAAACTTTGTTTGGGGGGGGGTTGTTTAAAAAATAGCTGGAATTTTTTAATTGTACAATGTTCCTAAATTTTAACTTTTACCAGATTTGTAACAATTACCAGATTAGCACATGTGGCAAATTAAGCGCCACATGTGCTTTTAAGAAAGTGTAACCAAAGTGACCATATAGAATACACATATGTGATAGATATTACAAAATTTGGTTTCAAAAATTCTGGCTATGTATATGTGATAGATATTACAAAATTTGGTTTCAAAAATTCTGGTCATGTAACTCTTTTTCAGTTTGCCGGAATTTTCAGCTGAACTTTACCCAAATTTCATGATTCTCGAAATTTCTGCCCCCTGGCCCGTACGCCTATGCTTAGAGGACCACAGAACAGGAAGGGATCTTTTGGTCCTTGCTGAATCCATGTGATGTTGAAACCAAACATACATTTTGGTTTGTTATAAACTGAAGATTCACTGTTTCATTTAGATTTTTCTTGTGCATTAAAATGGCGATAATGTTAACCTTCTGTGGGCTATAAAATTAACCTTCTGTGGGCTATAAAATCATGGTTGTTATGATTAAGTCACTCAGGCCCAGAGTCATTTAAAGTTATACTTATTTAGGAAGCTCTTCATTTCAACAAAGTGTTTATTTTAATATATGCAATGTCATTTCTAAATATTTTAATTATCTTCTGTTTAAAGGAATTTTGAGGCTGAAATTCGAACATATGAGGGTGATGATTTTCTTGATATTTGGTACAGGTACGTTTTATGTAAATTTTTGCTGTGTGAACTAAAAAAATTGGTTGTTTTAGCCACGTTTTTAGTTATCAATTTTAACCAGTAAAAAATATTGGTCCAAAAAATGAATCTCAGCTGAGGTAACCAATTTATGATTTTAAATTGGTAAATACTGTTTCTACAGTGTTTAATTTGCACAGTTTTCAAAAATCATGACGAAATTGGTAAATTCTGTTTCTACAGTATTTAATTTGCACAGTTTGCAAAAATCATGACGAAATTGGTAAATACTGTTTCTATACAGTGTTTAATTTGCACAGTTTTCAAAAATCATGACGATCGAAATTGGTAAATTCTGTTTCTACGGTATTTAATTTGCACAGTTTGCAAAAATCATGACGAAATTGGTAAATACTGTTTCTATACAGTGTTTAATTTGCACAGTTTGCAAAAATCATGACGAAATTGGTAAATACTGTTTCTATACAGTGTTTAATTTGCACAGTTTTCAAAAATCATGACGCAATTGTTGTCCTTGACCAAATCATACGATACAGACACCCTGCATATAAAGACTCTGTATATATGTTGCTGGGGTAAACTGGGCGAAACTGTTCAATTTCGTTTCTTTCACGATAATTTCTAGGTACATTCTGTGGACTGAAGAAAACGTACCAAAAGGCGGTCGTGAAATTGGTACATTGTTGGAACGCTGTATCAAAGAGTTTCAAGACGTCTCCAGATATCAAAATGATGAACGGTATTTGGACGTTTGGCTGAAATATGTAAGTTCAATTGCTTTGAACTAGATGGTGACGAAATTAAAATATGACACAAAATAAATAGAGATTAATTCATCGGCTTGGCGAGTGTGGAACCAGTGTGTTCAGTGACCCATTTACTCGATCCAACTTTGTCGGACCAATTCACTTCTGACGTATGGAATGTAGTTTGTTATTGATAATGGAATACTGCACTGGCCTAAATTGTTGATTTGCTGCCGATATACAATTACTGAAAATTACGTTGCAAGTCAATTAACAGACTATAAAGCATCCATCAGAATCAGCATCCATCACCTATATATCCCTAAGAAACTTCGTAAGCAAGCGTCAATGTAGCCTGCAACGCAGACTATATATGGGGTATCTATACCCCAATATATAGTCTGCGTTGCAAGCTAGCGTCAATGAATCCCAGACCCAAGTCCTATATATGACCGATTCTAACTTTTTTGTTCAAACACATAGCTACACTAGATTCAGAATTCATTTGCAAGAAGTTGTAAAGGTCCTGTTACACGGTGCACTTTACACGGTGTACATTGCAACACAATTCCACTTTTGAGATATCTAAATTTGGCACCTACGAAACTTTTATGTTCATAACACTCCGTTTACGTTTCTTACACTTACTTTTGGAAGACTCTTCGCTAATTTACATCTCTCAAAAGTAGAATTGCATCGCATTGCAAGTTGCAAGAAAAATTGCACCGTGTAACATGGCCTTAACTTGTGGTTTCATCTTCCATTTCACAGGCGGATTGTTGTTCAGATCCTCTTGAAATATTCAACTATTTACACGCGAGTGGCGCGTGTTCTCAGCTCGCTCTGTTGTACATTGCGTGGGCATCTGCATGTGAGAATGTCGAGAATTTTCAAAAGGCCGACCAGGTGCTGTCGTTAGGGATTGAGAGAAGAGCCCAGCCGCTAGAGATGCTCCAGAAACATCATACGTAAGTTTTCTTCTAAATCTACCATGTAATATCCAGACCTCGAGTATAATTTCGAAAAGTCGGCCTGGCCGATCTCCACAAAATTTCTATTATACCTATTTTCAATCTAAAGATATGCAAAATGCCTAATTAGTGAACCGTGATTCTACCAAGGTCTGTGATTGTACCATGGCATGGATAAAGAGTTTTATACTGTAAAACCCTATACGATGCACGATTACTTCCATTTGCTTAACGCTTGAACATTAATTGTTATTCGATCACTTTACCCAGAGATGTCAGCTGGGTCGTTAGTTTTATAGCTCTTTTTACCTGATTTGGATTTCACACAAATTTCTGGATTTGAAACTTCAAATTACCTGTAGAACGCGCTGATTAGATTGTCACAGGATTAAATGTCACAGGATTCATTTTTTGATGAACAAATGGCTAATAAATCCCGATTACAGCGAGGCTCGTAAGCTATATAAAAAGGGTTCTCTATGAAGAGTGTGATTTGTTGGATATTTAGCCAGCGAAGAGGTTGCTATATAATATTTCATATTTTTTCTATAGAGGGTTTCAACACAGATTAAACGCACGTATCGTTGCGTCTGAAGACAATCAACCAGGTTTTGGACATGGGGATCAACGCAAAGCTCTGGGGTCCCTTTTGACGGCGGGCAAGAAAAAGATGGTTGGAGTGCTTAGAACACCTGCTTCTCAGAATCGTAAGATCTTTTTTCGAGAACCATTTCGTTACTATACTGTACGTCAGAGGACGATTTCAACGGGAACCACGGAGTATTTTGATAAAATGTAAAACAAAAAAATTATATAAAACAAAAAAATTATATTTACTTCTTACGAAGTTTCTATTCTTTTTGCTTAATGATTGATTATTGCAGATAAGATGCATGTTCAAAATTTTTATCAATCAGCCTTTCTCACGATGACCTTTTTGGGGTACTTTCAATTTTCTGAAATGGGTTTAAAAATTATGATTTAACATGAAAAGCACTTTTTTTTTAGAATCACCAGACCATTTGAAGAGTAAATTCAGCCTAAAATTAAAGGCAGTCGCCGTTACAAGGTCTCACGGTTTTGAAAAAAAGTACCCCAAAATTGGCGGCATATTTGTCATCGTGAGAAAGGCTATATATACAAATATAGAAAGAGACACACCATACTGTTCACCCCTGTTCACATGGAAATATTTTATAGTTAGAAATCTAGAGAGGTGATGCATGACCAATTGATGAAATCCTTAGAAAAATGGAATCTTTGTATATATTTGATTGGTCAAAATATAGCATGAATCTCGTTGAAGCTGACCGGAATTAAATTGATCTACCATTTGTTATTTTTGATTGGCAATTTCTGATTTATCGACCGTCATAATCAACACTAGTTTTCTTGAATGTTTTTATTTAGCCGTCATTGCGGCCAATCCAAGATCTGGTGGTGTAAAATCCGAGAAGAGAGGATTAGGATTCGCCGTTCACCATGATTCCGACGATGTTGAGAACAGAATATCGCAGCTTCCTGAAGTCTGTGGCAATGAATGGAAAGAAGCACCAACACAGAGTTTAACGAGCAAGGAAAATATTAACATGCCTGGAAAGTGGACTGGAGGAAAGGTAAAATACATATTACACTGTACTGTATACACACAGGCAATAAAACTGATGTAGCTACCTCGATCTTTGTCCTACAATAGTTTCAAAAAATCGGTTCAAATTATGTAAAACTTTACTGAGGATTGTCCATATTCTGCACGGTTCTCTTCCAAAGGCAACAGTCTTTCATTGAAGGTTCAACTCGTTGACGCGGTTTTTTGTAACATCACAAGTCGATACGTCTAGTGTAGATGTTTTCGTAAAGATTGTGGCTATAATCTGCCTAATCAACTTAAACTAGTTGCGGACTTAAGCTACTAGCAAACCAAAGGTCGCGGGTTCGATTCCCACCGTGCATGGTCAAGCTAATTTTTTAGCTTACCCGGTTGGTGACTCAGAGTAGCATTATCCCCCATGTTCATTTCATATACACACCTGAGTCTTATGCGCTATTACTATAGTTGCGGATATTATTAGGTTATGGAGAAAACAACTTTTCTCAAACGTTTTTTTGTTTTTCGCTGATTTTTCGGAGGTTCCCTTTTCATTGCATCAAGCCGACCTTAATTTACCTCTATACAACCTACACTATATAAAAACTATATAAAATTTGTATCTCTTTTAATCTTAGGGCCCTTCTAGAAGAGCTCCCAGTAGCACTGTCCCGCTGACTCGTGCGGTACCGCAACCAAGTTTTCAAATTCATGTTGATGAAAATGCTGACCAGATCGGCCATGTCCATCAAACTGTAGGAAGTCAGGTTTTGTCTGTGAGAAAATCAGACTCGGAAGTGTCTAATAATCCTCTTAAAAATACTGCTGATGTAAGTACTTTTTAATCTCCCTCGCGGCTGCTAAAATGCGTTCCTTATTTTTGAGGCTATTGCATGAATCCACTCTATCCATACCATTCGTAATATTCGTGGACATGCTGGTAATATAAGAGTTAGCATGATCCTCTTGTGATAACATGGCATATCGGTGCTTTTTTATTGAAGTTCGTCTAATATATATAGATAAAAAACATTTTAGATGCAATTTTTGTAAAGCTTGTAGTTTATCTGCATGTAGTTTGTAACAACTGTTCGTAACACTTAGGGTGGATTTCCACTTACAGAGAAATACCTCGCCAGCCTAGCGAGATATTCAATATTCATGCATATTCTCTGTTAATTGAAAACAGTCATTTATGCTGTTAAAATTCTATAAGCAAAAATTTCACTAGCAAACTATTTCTCTGTAAGTGGAAACCCAAACTTGCACTTGTATATTCTATTTTCGGTGCTTTTACCTGGAGTCATGCTCCCATTTGAGAACCTGTTCGAGAACATGTTGACTCAAACTTTAGGCTCGCGGTTGCTCAATATTCAGTGAACACTTGATATAGGGTGAATTTTAGCTCCTCGCCCTCGTAAACAATGTCGTTTCCGCTCAAAAATGCTTTTCAATGCACATGAATGGTCATATATAGATCTTCTACCTATAATGAATGGGTATATATTGTGAATATCAAAAGATTTTACCTGTAGTTCGTAATAGCTGTTCTAATACTAATACAGTGTAATATACTGTTCTCAATGTTTGTAACTGGAGTCACCCGTTTAAAAACACGCTAGTAACTAGTAATATGTTAACTTTGCAAACTTTAGGCCCGATTTTTAGGCCCATGAACATTTAACATGGGGTGAATTTTGTAGCCCCATGCCCACAAAGAATCGTGAAATTTCGTAGAGATTTCGTAGGGGAATTGAGAATGGATTTAAGGAGTCATTTTTTCACCTTTTCCCTCTTTTTTTATTGCAGTCGTGTGCGCCAAACGTGAAGGTTATGTACGACAAGTCAAAAGTTTACACCGGTGCCGAGGAATTTCAGTTTGAGGAGATTCACGCTGCAAAGTACATGGCGGTGTTGAAGCAAGGATTGCCGCGCCGCAAGGATATAAACAAAGCGAAGATGGAACAGAATAAAAAAGTGAAGCCAGAGAAGAACGAGCGCGTCATGTACCCGAAAAACAAAGTTTATGCTTACGAAGGGGAGTTTCAACCTGAAGAGTTGATGGCGAGGCTTTATTATGAGAGAGGCAATCGATTACGGATTCCAAAAACGAAGGAATTACAACCGAGTATCACTCACCCAACAGATTTGCTATGCAGAAGTGTTCAACTCGACGGAGTCCACCCACCTGAAGCCGAGGCAAGCAACGTTACTTTGCGCACTGTCGCTAAAAAATCCCTTCCTCGGCTTTCCGAAGATTTCCGTGTGTGGGACGACAATGAAGCTATACCTCATCGTCAGTTGAGTGCCCAAGTTGTGTCCGTACCTCCAGAAAATAGTAGAGAAATTGGCCAATCCGTTTCAAGTTTCCCCATCTTCCATGACAATGAAAATATTCCCCCACCTCCATGTAATACACGAAGCACCATTTTGTCCGACAAACCAAAAGTCCACTCTTCTTCACTCAGCGAGTTTCAAAATATCGATGCTGAAAATATCCCCCCACCTCCTTGTGGCACTCGGGGTGACACCTTACGAAATAGCAAAAGAGTTTTAAATCCACCAAGTTTGATTCCAAATATCGACGCTGAAAATATCCCCCCACCTCCTGATACCCGAGGTACCACTTTACCTAATCGTGCAAGAAACATTTCAGCATCTAGGATGATTGTAAGTACAGATGTTGGAGCTAGTGAAGACTTCCCACCACAAGAAAATTGCCGCCTTTCCAGTGTTTCTAAGAATATTCCCCAAGCTACCGAGAATATTGAAAGTTTTCAAGCCGTTCCTTCAACTTGTATCCCTGGAAGAGAAAGTATACCCGTACCTGAAACCACCGTTGATCCCGGACCACGTTCAAGGTAAGGTCACACCTACCTGGTGTTCAAAGATGCATCTTGTTATATCAGACTTGGCCAAATCAATTTTTATGAGAAGTCTAGGTTTCTGACTGTATTAGTGCATGGTTATCACAAGTCATCTTTTGCGACTTCAGAGTGTATCCAATATTCTTCATTACTGTTCGCTTCACCCTTCTGCCAATTCGACCGTGACTGGCCTGAAAAACAAAGCGCGCTTCGCCCGCGCGGGGCGTAATGGAGAATCGCCTTTATGGTGAAAGCGGACCTTATAAGGTCATGTTACACGCTGCAATTTTTCTTGCAACTTGCAATCCAATTCTACTTTTAAGAGGTGTAAATTAGATTACATTAGAAAAGGGCTTCAAAATGTAAGTGTAAGAAACGCCATGGAGTGTAATAAAGACAGAAGTTCGGTTGTTGCCAAATTTACATCTTTCAAAAGAAGAATTGCATTGCAAATTGCAAAAATTGCACCGTGTAACAGGGCCTATAGTGTCAGTCAACGCAATTATGTGTGCCAAATAAAAACTAGGCGATTGGGTAAAAGAGAATAATCAGTTGTTTGAATCTATTTTTTTTCTAGAGAATCGTTTCATGCCGAAGAGAGTAAAAAGTCAGAGCGGAGGATTCTTCAAACCATCACCCCAAAATTACCACGTTATAAGCTAGATCTCGCAGGTAAGTCATGAACATGATCGAGTTCACGTTGTCAATCTCTAATTCTTTTGTCAAGCTTTCTTTAGGAATCCTGGCCCTGTCTGCGCTGAAGACAACAACAGGTGGTTTCCATCATTTGTCGTCACTCTCTCCATGTCTTTTTTCTCGCAGGTCCATCGCCAACGTTGACAACGAAGGAGGCATTCGCTGACGTGATGCCGTGGTTTAACACGACTGTTGGCCGAAGTAACAGCGATGATGAACTCGAGAATGATTTTAAAAATGACGAAAATGATGATGAAGATAACGTGGGATGGTGCGGTATACCATTTGGTAAGTACATATTACATGATAGCTACATCTTCTCAATCAACGGAAACGTGTCGCTGTTATCTTGACGCTGTTTTGAGACGACCGGCGTTCTTTTGATGGTGTGATTTCAGCTGTTGACCTTCATGGCGGTCTTTACGTTTGATTTTAAAGTATGTAGCAAATCTAACGTTCCAGTCTTTATATAGCTAGAGTTCTTCGTCGCCGCCACGCCTATAGCCCGTTTTCCACAAATTTATTCGCGCGAACAGATAAAAAGAAGGAAGGGATTCTCCTTTTTCGCGGCGAATTTTTTCGCGATCCAATCACATCACCGAATTTCAGATATCGCTTTGCATCGCGCGAATAAATTTACCTGGTGGAAAACGGGCTTATATTCATGGAGAAGAACAGTGCAAACCACGAGTAATGTATCGGGCAGCAAAGTGATTTTTTCAATCGCTCTAAAATGTCGGGACCGGTCGTATAAAACTCTTTAAGTACACTTTGCATAATTAAATCCTCAGTTAACTCAGAAATACACAACTCTGCTTGGCCAATTCTGTCGCTAACTACGGTTAAAAGTTAACATGTCGCCCCTGGTCGGAATTTAGTATTTCTTAGTTAATTTTGACCCTTTTTAAACAAGCTTCTGAACGGTGATTTAATCCGTTGTTGAGACACCCAGCTATCCAGCTTTCGTACAACCGCCCCCAGATTAATTCTTGTGAAAAACACTTTCGACATGGTCATTAATAAACTATCTGTGGCACTATTAATAGGTGAAGGTTATGAAAAAAAGGAGAATACAGATGGTCAGGCGAAGGAAATTAGCATTTACTGCGATGAAGACCAAGAAAATGTGTAAGTATAAATATAGGCCTGGAAAAGAATTTATTCCAATGCAAAAGCTAGTGAAACTTAGTTTTAACAGTTAAAACTAAGTTTCACTTTTGCATTGAAATACATTCATTTCCTACATGTACATTTCTGCTATTAAACTTCAAAGCCATATGCTGCACAGGAGTTATTTCTGCTAAGCGTAAAGCCAACACACATATACATGCAGTAAACAACCTTCTAGTAAAACTTTTATGTGAATCTCTTGGGATACAAAGTTTGAATAGGAAAATATTTTCGAGCATTTTAACAGGGAAATCATCTCTCTTGCAGGCCTCTATTTGGTTACAGTCAAACAAAACTCGAGAGACCAATTCTTGGGATATTGCAACCGTCGGAGGGTATTCCTTTTGTACCTCTGGAAGATTTGGAAGAAATTGACGCAGAAGATGAACGATTAGACGAAGTTTGTTCCGATCGAAATCCCGTTTCACTCACGAGAGAAGAAACCAAGTTTGCAGAGGATGAGACAACACGCCATAACTGGGAGAATCATTCACAATTCACAGCTGCTGCTAGGTTAGCGTCCACCCCATTCTCGAGTAATCTCAGTCCTCCGAAGTTGGAGAACTTACATTGTAGCAGGATACAGGCAAATGACGACGAAACAAACGTTTCAAAAGTCACGAATCCGACTTCGAATTCCCCCTATAATGCAAACAATAGCAAAGGTCTGAGCCCAATACTCGAATGCAGCGATGAAGATGCTAAGACTGGTTCGTCGAAAGGATCGTCATCTTATTTACCGGGTTTATCCGCTCAAACGACGCAGCCAACGATCGTTAGTCAAGCTAACACGATGCTACAAGACGGGACAACTAATTTATCTGAGGTACATGCAGTCTATCCAATATCAAGAATTAGCTTTCAAAATTCAGCCTGCTTGAAAAAATTTGTAATGTTATTGTGACTAAATTTTTTAATATTCTTGAAAGTTTTCATTTTTCCTGTTATTTCCAAAGGGTCCGAATAAGAATATGGATATAACAGTTCATGATATGAATGGAACCTTCCTGAAGATAATCAATCCTTTTGATCCAAGCTTGTGTAACGAGCTCTTAGCTCAGCTTCACAACCCTGTCACTTCTTTCCCTGGTTACCACGATTTCAAAAAAAATGTCTTACCGAAGTTTGCTATGAACAAAGTTGTCTCCATTGGTAAGTTGCATATTCCACGGCTCAATTTTAGAATAGCAATCGTGTCTTTATAAGTACGCATAATGGACCACTTGCATAATTTTGACTAAGGGAATTTTCGAAAAGTGCATACTAAACTTAGTAAAATTGGCAAATTTGGCTGCGAATCATTTTAAAGTACGGAAAATATAACGAAGAGAAGTTTGCAAATTTTGTATTTTGTCACTAAATTAGTTACACACTTTCGCCCGTAATACGAAAGTATACAAAAAAATGCCTACTTCGCATGGCTGTATTTTCCGTATTATTCGACATTTTGCAGCTGAAGCTGCAATTTGGCAATTATACTGAAATTGACCTTTTCGTAATTACATCACAACATTTTAACGTTACAACGTTTAAATTTAGAACCACCTTAATTGAAATGGATTTCAAGTTTTAATCTCACGAGCCACGTGCAAAGATGCAAAACATCCTAAGGATGTAAGGATATGTCATCCTTCTTCAACACATGCATGAAATATATTAATTTAAAGTGGTTCTAAATTGAAAACGATAATGTTGTGACGTGATTAACGAAAAGGTCTATTTCAGTTTGCTCGTTTTAGCTGTGATGATATATCTCCTTTCATAAGTACCTATAGATCATAAGTGCATGGGTTTTTTATGCAGGTGGTCCATTGGTTACTGGTTTTGTAGATTTTTATCTAACATGGCAACCAACTCTTTCTCAGAGTTCACAAAATGCATTAGTTGCAGAACTTATTAGGAATAAGTTCAATAAATGCAATAGTTGTAGAAGTATTTTCCGGACTTCTTTCAAAAATCATTTCAATAATATAAGGTGTAAATCTCAAAATTCTTCTGTTTTATTTTTTACATTCACTTCATTTTTTAGGTAGTGAACTTTTCAAGATTGACAGCATTGCTGGAACTGGTGCGTATGCCAAAGTTTTTTCGGCAACTAAAGTTGACACTACCACTTCAAACACAGCAGAGGTTGCCTTGAAGGTAAATAATCAAATATACGTCTTCTAAAAACTGCTCAAGAAATTGAATATATGCCATAACTTTATAATTTCATAAATCCACAAAAATCCAAATAATTGATCCAAATATAATTTTAATAAATCCATCTCTTAATTCATATCTTTCCACCCCGATTATCCTTTACTGGATTTACTGTCTCGCTCTTAGGTACAGCGTCCGGCCAATGATTGGGAGTTCTATATATGTTCGGAGATCGTGAAAAGAATGCGCAATCGTGGTAAATCTCAATCAGAGGTGGGCGAAGATCTTAATTCGTGCTTAATGAAAATACCTTTAGAGAAATGACTATAATGGAGTTGTAAAAAGTTATGATCGATGTTAATGTGTTGGAACATGTCAAGTGATTATCATCAAGTTATCTTATAAATTCTGCACCAATGGGGATTTTACCTTCAAAATTTACTCTGATCTAAGAGTCTTCCTATTCGCGACTTTTTCGTGCTATCCTTTTGTTTTACGATGATTTTTTTTGCAGACCAATCAAGTTAATGCATGGATTTTTGTTTTTGCGCAAATGTCGCCCAGTTGAAAAGGTTTGCCAAGTGCTACCAGTGAATGATTATCTGAATGATGTTCTTTTTAGATTGCTTCTGTGATGAACGCCACAGATCACTATTCCTTTGCCGATGGCAGCTGCGCCGTCGCCAACCTTCACAAACGAGGAACATTCTTGGTAAGATCTCAAAATACCTACTGGTATCTCAAAATACTCGTGTAAAAACTTGCTGCTCCACACTATAGCTTACAGCTGAAAATCGGGCAAGAAAACGTTTCAAGTTTAAAACATTTCAAAATACATATACAGCTAATATTCCCTGTGATAATATAATGTATACATTGGATTTTTTTTCATAATAATTTTTTTGCAGGATTTCGTCAACGAATGCAAGGTGCAACAAAGTATAAACGAAAGAATCGCGTTTTTCTGTGCCATTGGAATGATGAGGATCTTGGAAAACATTCACGACTGTGGCATTATTCATGGTGATTTCAAACCAGATAATTTCGTTGTTCTCGAAGACAATGTGTACGAGTATTCTTGTATAACCCTATAATTGTTGCTTATCGCCTGTTTTCCAACAGGCTGTATTTTGCGCGCTAAGTGGATTTTTTTCGTGTGCTCTTAAACAAGGAGGGATTTCGTTTTGATTATCCCATTTGTTTACATTTTTCACGCTAAACCAATCATTTGAAAAACCGCACGCAAATTTCTGTCTAGTGGAAAACAGTCTTATATATAAGGTTAACACTGTCGAAATTTTGGCAATGATAAATCCGGATAAATCAAGATAAGTTGTAAAAAAATACCTTGTCGTATGGTTCATGATTATTGTTTCCAAAGATTTTTAGCAAAACCTTTAAAACCTATCTTTCAAGAATTTCACAGAAATTTTGACATTGCATGTAATCAGGGAAACTTCGACGTCGCATGTAATCCGGAAATTTTGACGTTGCATGTAATCTTTTAAAGAATAGTTGCCCTTTTTTCTATAAGCTTGACGAAATCTTGATGTTTTAGTGGCAGCGATGAAGAATTATGCCGACTTGGATTGATCGATTTTGGATGCGCCATTGATCTGAAGCTATTCCCCCCGGGTACGCGTTTCAGTGTTGACAAAAATACCGAGTCATTCGAATGCATTGAAATGAGAACTCAAAGACCTTGGACAACTCAGGTGTGTTTATGGATTTTGTCGGATCAATCGCTTTAAAATCGCCTGTTGTTTGCTATAACTTTGATTAAATCTTATTGTTCCTAAATCGAGCATCCTTTTTATTAATTGTCTGTTCCAAAGATGAAATTTTATCGCTTTTCGAGCATTTTTAGACCAGTTGAAAAATCACTATCCCGTGGGTAGAGAGCTATTCGGCTTTCATACAACCGGCCCCTGATAGATATTTTATAGTCTGCTGACTTGCAAAGTATATGGGCAGCAAATCACTTAGCATCAAATGTGGTACAACAACTGCTTATTGCCTAAAATAGACAAAACACTTCAGTACGTTTGCTTTATCGATAACAAACTACATTTCATATGTCAGAAGTGGATTGGATCCAACAAAGTTGGATCGTGTGACGGGGCTTTATCCTAATTAAAGTTTCATGAAATATACAAATTTCGTCATGCAGTTCCACTCGCCATGCAATTCTTCATTCGCTATCATGCTTGACGATCATGCTCTTATCACTCGCTGATTCTCTGCATGCATGGTCACCAAGATTTCTCATGTCTATTATTTTCCAATATAGGTGGACACTTATGGCATGCTATGCAGTTTACATTGTCTGATATTTGGTGATTACATGAAGGTTTACCAAGAAAAGAGGACTGGTCGTTGGAAGATTACGAAATCCTTTAACAGGTTGGTTTTAATGTTTTAGAATTTCTGCCAAGCTTGACCATGCAATGTTTGCTCGGTATTAAAAATACACTTAGTTTCACAAATCTCGTGCACAAGGATTTTAGTTCCTTACAAATTACATGCATGGTGTCGTAAAGACGCTATATAACTTTCGAAATTGAAATTATTCAAAATCAAGTTGTCATATTGTTCTAAAATACATTGAAGTAACTGCAGAACATTAATTATAAAATATGCCATTCTTACCTATGAGGATCAGGCTTCAACTTGGTTTTCATATATCGTAATTCATGGCCGATATATGCTACGATTCATTGTCCGTGACCAATAAAGTTGATAACTTCCTTCGATAGACAAAGCATTTTACAGTATTTGCATCAATGACCGCCGACAGTCAGACATGCACATGCATGGCGCATAACTTCTTCGCAATTTTTTGCTCGTGTGGATTAACGCAAATAGGCCTACAAAAATTTAAAGTTTGCTAGAGAAGAATGACATGTGAAGAATGACTTGAATTGTATAAATTTAAATATTGTTATCCATGTGTGTAAATTGAAATCATTGGCAAAAAATCATTTGGGGGTACAAACAAATTTTACTGTCGTCTTGCATAATGCTTATGTCAAACATTTATACACTTGTGGGTCCCAATAGAGTGCTTATGTGCTTACAATTCATTGTTATGGGTGATTTCAGTAGTTTTCGGGGTAGCGACATCGTAATGACCTCGTCGTAGGCATAGACATCCTGAAATAATGCTACTGTGATTGACGTTATTACACAGTTTCACGAAATCGTATCCTAAATTTCTCTATATTTTGTAAAATTGGTGGTTAAGAAAACTACAATGAATGATCGTTTATTTTTCAATTCAAGGACCTGGAACAGAGTTTTGTGGAACAAGCTGTTCGATATGTTTTTAAATATTCCAAGTTGCGATGACCTGCCATCGCTTGCCGCTATCCGCCAGGAATTTCAAGAATATTTCGAATCTGAAGAAGACGACGACTTGGAACAAACATGTGATGTACAAAAGAGATATATGAATGATCTGTGAAGGTATACTTGACTTGACTTTCAGACATTTCCATTCAAGTTGTGTTAGCTGACGATGCAACATCGCATGTCCTTGTAAATTTATATTCGGTTTTTTATACACATGTATATACGTGTGTAGTACGAGGTAATAATTTTCTCTCGGACCGTCTTTCGGACATAATTTTCTTTTGAATTATGGGGTAATATATTGACTATTTGTATATTTGTTTAATGCCAAGCGATGATGATGATACATCGCTGACTGGTGATACATGAACACCATGCAAACGCTGATATTACAGTATATGGGCTTTGATATTTGTCATTGATAGTATTAACTTCATTATCACCAGTTCACTGCTTCGACTTCGGAATGGCTAATCAAAATTGTTAAACTGAATACAAAACTTCTATTAAATTTCGGTTGAGGTTTCTATAGGCTATAGCCACGTTTACACTAAAGCCTATGGCCAGGCCTGAGCCTAGGTGTAAACGTTATTTTTTTGACCTGGTATATGCCACAAAATCCAGGCCCACAAAAGGTGGCCTTGACCAGGTCTAGGTGTGAACGTCGTTATCTGAGTCAAGTCTGGTTTAGGCCAAAAATGAGGCCCACAGAGGAAGGTTGCCTGGACCAAGTTCAGAGCTGATCCAGAGCATGTTTTTTTCTAATATGAATGGATTTTGTCTGGTCCTGACCAGTTTTTAACTTAATAGTATAATCTGCAGATCATTAGGATGTGACAAATTAGCACCATGTGAACAGACCTGGAACTTTTCATGTGCCGTATCGAATGCAAATGAACTTAAACAAAGATTTTAGCTCATTAACATTAGGTTCGGCACATGAAAAGTTGCGCGTCTGAAACAGGCCTTAATCTTGTACGGCAGCTGAAGTCACAGGATTTACTCCGACCACGAATTTTTCAGCCTTTATGACTTCTGTTTGCTTGCTTTCTCTCCTGTGGTTGCGTCTGCTAACTCCATAAAATTAACCAGTTTAGAAAATTCAGCGTGAAGTCGACAAAAGCACTTCATCCTGACAAGTCCGAAAATTCGGGACACGTTGTCGAAAAATTCTGGACATGTTTTCGGCAATCGAACGGCGAAAAAATTCAGTCATCACAAAAAAATATACTTGATATATGAACCTCGCAGAATAATATATATATAATTTCTATAATAAATGCAGATACCATAATACAGAAAACGGGGTAACTGCAGAACCTGAACTTAGTACAGAATGTTGCTGAAATAATTTGTGTTAATTGTGAATACTTAAATATTTTAAGTATAGACAATTCGTAAGATAAACAGAAAAGAGATCATATAACACTTGTCATTGTGCGACACATGAGGGGCTATTTGCTATGTATTTAACCAGCACCCTGTTTCAAGTCTCTTTAGACAGTTTACAGCGGCTTCTGTACATCTATTCTGCGCATAACATTGGGGGACTCCATGATTTATAAATTACCCAAATTTCGTATGTTATAACAATAGAGTTGATGTTCGCAGGCATAAATGTGTTCTTGGCCCGACTCTGAACTGAACTCTATGAGTTCTGAGGAGGGCCAAAAACACATTTATGCCCAATTTTTGTATAAAAAATCATGTAATGTGTGAACACTTCAGTCATTCTTCTGATCGGCTTAGATCAGCGGGCTAAAATATATTTCAGCCCGGCAAATTTATCATTTTAGCCCGCAAAATATACCGCACCCCTACTCCGCCAAAGTTAATATAATTTGCATTTCTTTGAGCATAGGTCTTTTATTCTACCTCTTATTCATTTAGAAATATAGTGAACTGATATAGTAATACAATTCTGTCAGGACAGGATATTTTAAATGTGAAGACATGTTGTTTACATCACAAAAAAACCCACTGGTATTGTATAGCTACATACTATATGTAGTTCATTCGCTTTGATAAAACTCGCGTTTTCATATCAGAAGATACATAAATTTAATTTACAAGAATTTTCATATAAGGTACCTGGGTGTAGGTGCAATATTTTAAAGGATATAAATCTATAGAAACTAGTATTTGAATAAATTATGTGAAATATTAATATCAATGGTTATATAAAGACTAATTGCTTGATTGCACGAGAGTTGACGAGAGAGTTGTTTGCGTAGAAGCACGACACAAACTTAAGAAAAAAGAATTCTTAAACAAAATCACTCCGTCGTATAAGAGGTATAATTGTTGTTTAAGGAGATGAAATACTTCAACATGCATATTTCAATTTGACAGCACATGCAGCTTCTTGTAATGCCGTTTGCTCGGCAACTCTAGTTCGTGCTTTTATTAAAGGCTATATTGAATTAGACTAAGATCAATTTTCGTCAATTTGCGGTGTTTTGCAGTTGAATGTTCGGATTCATGCCGGAGAATTGACTTTCTGATTTCTTGGTGTTTCGAACGTAGTACATTCCTCTGCAAAGTCAAAGAAGAAAGTGTTAACTCGGCTTATAAAATAAAACTGTATCACACACAATTATCTATATGCTTGTGTGAAATTATATCACATTTAGTCTAATTAGCAAACTTTGAGTAGCAAAGTGACACTGGGTTAAGATATGGTTAAGACAACTTTATATAGCTTCAGCCCCGTTTACGATGGCTGATTTCCTTTGCCAAATTTCACGCCGGACAACTACATTCTCTAGGGGGAATGCATAATTTCATTACGGCAAAGAAGTTTAAAAAAAGATGCCACTCAAAAAATGGTGGCAACCTCGTCATCGTGAGAAAGCTAATTAATTCAATATATTTTTTTAACCATTTTGACCAAAAGAATGTCGGAAAAAACGGTCAAAAGGTGTGACACGGATTTTCATGACGTATTGTCGTGACCTTATGGGGTAAAATTCGTCGTCATATAAAAAAAACTCATCACATTTTGCGTAGGTAAAGAAATCGTATGGTTTACGACACCATAAATGATTGTGATTGACCAATTCTGTCAATACGTTCCAATATAACCAAGGGAGCGGTGAGGCAGTGCTTTCAAACAACTGGCCATTAAATGTCGTGTAAAAACTGCCAAAAATAGACAAAACACTTCTTGACGTTTCGACCTATATAAAGCCTGTTTTCCACTAGGCGGAATTTTGCTCGCGGAGCGGAATTTTTCTTTGTTTTTCTCACATTAGTTCTGCGTGAAAGCGCGCAGACAATTAAAAATTCCGCTCCGCGGGTAAATTTCCGCCTAGTGGAAAACAGGCTTAAGGGCATTCGTCAAAGAGGGTCTTTTCACCCAATCCAATTTTTTCGGATCCAATTCATTTGTTGACTTTCAAATTCCAATGACAGGGTGTATAAAAAGAGGCAATATTCTAAAATTCATATTGTTCTTAAGCACAATAGAATTTAGGCCTCTGGGACCGAGATTATACAATGGCTTGTCAGCCTTGTCTTTTCTGTTGAAAAACATTGGATATTCATGAATATTAGGTGTTGCCTTTTTTTATACATCCTGTATATCGGCAGCCAATTAACCAAAACCAACACAATATACTGCTTTATTCATACAGAGTACATCCCATACGTCAGAAGTTAATTGGATCTAATAAGCGGGTTCGTGTGTGAACAGGATATGCCAAGGGGAAGTGTTTATTGCTCTATTTTAAGCAGATGTTACCACTACACAGCACTTATTTTTGGATGTTTATATCTCCATATCAGAGAAATCTTTAAAAGCTTGACACTTGATATATATACCGCTAATTTACGGAGTGACTTCACTTACGCATGACTAACTATTCTCTGAATAATCATCTCAGTTGTTAGCTCACTGCCGCTGTCCACGGTGCGGTAAATATTCTTCTCTTTAGGGACCGCGTACGGATCATTAGGACAGTCCCAAACCTTGCCATGGCAAACATAGTCGACCTAAGCAAAACACAATTAAAATATATATCTCGGACAAAACCAAAAAACCTCGCGCTAAAACCAAAGCATTAGAATACAACTCGTGAATCAGAGGTCTTTGAAACGTGGCAAAGACTGTCCAGACTATGGCAACTGCGGTCAAAAATTTTTCTGCTTTTTGGGTTGTTTTCACTCAAAATACAGCCCACAAACATATTCAACTAATAAGCGATAATTAGGTCATACAGCGCCTCGCCCGTCAACATGCCGTAATGAATTAAATATCGAGCTTAACGATTCAATTTTTATATAGAAAGATAGAGGAGTTTTTTAGCTTTCCAACAATATCTTTTTTGTGCCGTAACAGCAAGAAATAACCAAACAATAGACCTTTTCAGCTTGTATGCAAACTAACAATTTCAAGTCACATGGTCTGAAATGGTTAAGTTTTATTGGCTATTCCATGGTCACAACATCTGCATTATTTAAATTGTATTTTTCTTATTAAACCGATAACCGCATTCTTTCACCGCTGGGAATTAAATAGACAATCCTATTGGCGGATACACGCATTTAGTCTCGAATAAATTCAGATTTGCTTCGTGTTGCCTTTAATCATACAGGCAAGTTTAATTTCGATAACTACTTAAAATAATGATAGAAATTATAGAATTGATCAAAAAGCGTCAACCAAGACAACCTACCAAATTAGTTGCTTTTACAAACTGCTTTTAAAAAGCAGGGGAGAGTTGTTCAAAGCTGGGAAAGCGCTAACTCTAAGTTAAATTTTATTAAACGGTTTTTGTTTAAGTCCTTCTGAACCACTGTTCCTTTTAAAAACCTTTACAAAATATGGCTTTTGTCGCTCCAGAAAATATTTATGGAAAATGATAAAAAAATTTTTAAACAAGCGATTGATGTAAAGATTTGCTTTAACCCAGGGTTAAGCTAACCGGCTTTTGAACAACCGGCCCCAGGTTGTTCCAATCCTCAAACGAACCTATCACACACCTACCTTGTGCTTTGAAATAATATCTTCAGTGACATCGAAAGCCACTCCTATAATGACTTGGTCTACGTAACGAATCGACAGTAAAGCCAGAGCCCTTTCATGAGCATTCGTTATTGGATATGTGCCGTAAACACGCTTTACTTCCTCGTCGCTTAGAACACCAACGATAAGGAAGCCATTCTCTTCAGATTTCTTGCACTTTTCCAAGTAACCAACTTGCCCAGAGTGCAGCAGATCAAAAACTCCTTGTGTATAAAGAATCGTATCGCCTTCTTTGGGGCGCGAATTTTCAGGAGTAAATTCTTTAATTTTCTGTTCGTAATACTCTTGGGGCATAATGTTGGATTTCTTTTTGCTGCCCTTTCTCGAAAACTCAGGCCCGAAGAAGTTCATGTCGGTTCCCAGGAGAATACGATCTATCAGGTCGGTCGTGGAAATTCCCTCGGTCCGTTTGCATTCTCGGAATCGATTCCTCTCCTTGCAATCCTGGTAGATGTCGTTGCCATTCGCGTCCCGCGCGATATCATCTCCGTGTACACAGAAATCGCAGTTGTAATCATCGAGGGTCTGGAGCACGTTGCCGTAAGGAATATTCTCTTGGACTTCATCAACCCACCTCACAGCAGAGATCATTCGTGCGCGCTCCACTTGATCCATGACAGGCTTGCCTTTGTTCTTTGTGATGTCAGCATCGCCGTGAACGCCAGCAATCATATAGTCACCCATGATTTTCGCTTGCCGGATGAAATTGGCATGACCAAAGTGAAAAACATCATAGCAGCCGTTTCCCCAAACACGCACAGGCTTCATGGTTCCCTGAAAGTATAAAAATGTGTAAATAGCCAAGCTTATGCCAGAAACAACTTTGTTTTACATAAACCACTGTAGACTTCTGTAGACTTATATATAAAGATGTATTTTTGCATTTTCTATCTCGGATGAATGGAATTTAATTCATTTAGTTTAGTCACACAACTAGACATCTTAAACAAGACTACATTGAAAATACTACTGACAATAGTTGCCTCAAATTTGTATTAAGAGTAAACAGATGTAGCTGGTTTTATTCTACTTTAATTTGTTACTTTTAACCAAACTTTCAAATACAAAACATGGTAAAGGTTAAGGTGAAAGTCAGGAGGTATTCTCTTCAATAGCAGTGATTACCCCAATTGGTTAATGGTCCCAAGCCTGTGTACACTCTGAAACACAATTATACATTATGTATCAGATTATATTTTAAAACAAAACTGCCTGGAAAATCAGGAAAATAATCTGGCGATTGCTATAGTACAAATGACTGCTGATGTGTATGAACTCTTTCAAACTAGGAACCTTTTCTTTATATATTCTTGTTATATTATATATTCTGCCATAGAAACAAGGAGTGGGAAGATCCTGAACTTTTATTGCATTGATGTTTAACAATGTTTATTTTTATGCAACTGTATTTTGTTTTTCATACTTAATTTTCATTCTTTATAAAAAACAATAGTGTATATAATTAGGCCGATTCAAGTAGAAAATTGTAAGTTACCTTAACAAAAGTGAGATTTACAATTAATAAAGTTAAAGTCATTATTATTACTATTATTATTATTATAAAATGAAAACATATAGACTGCCAAATATATACAATGAAAACACTAGTGCTCAGATCTGTAAGTGAAATATATAAGCTACTTTGGCATTACATAATTTACTTATACATATTCACAAAGAATGTTTTTCACATAAAATAACAAAAAAGAAATTCACTTGTATTTGCATAGTATCTGCAAGGTCTCATACAAAAGACACAAAAAACTCTTTCATCCTCATAGTTTTGATTTAATTGGTACTTTACATTATATAGTCATTATGGTGTTTATGTCTGCTATGCAATTATACTGTTTATACAGTCCTGTAGAGCATTACAAATAAGGTGAACAATGGAATATTCATAAGATTCGAAAACCAAAACCCTAAGCAGGATACACTAAAGCAAATAAAGGCTTTTGCTCGTCAGACGGTTTGCAACACCAATGTGTGATTACTCAGAAGGTTAAATTTAGTCACATTAGTCAGAAAGTAAAAAGCACTATCAAATCACAGAGTTGAGTATACTGAATATAGCATTTTGCCACACTGGTAATTATAAATTGCATCACATTTTAGAATATATTGATTTAGTGCTTACCAGCCATAAAAGGGCAAGACTGGGCAGTTGTTTTGCTTTCTAATGATGCCCTCCTAATTTATAACAGCAAAAATGCTCAAATAGCTTTAAAAAAACACTTAGTGACCCACCATCATTTGGTTATTTCTAGACTACAAAGATAAGGAAAAATATCTCCTCTCCTCTCATGGGAACTAAATTGTTGCGTTCAATATATAACAGATTATTTTAAAGTTAAATATCTTTATTCTTCGAGGTACCTTATAGATGATTTAACAGCGATGACAGCCATACAATAGATATTAATACACATCACTACACTGGTAAAATGAATTGCATTATATGTGGCATGAAAGGGCAGTTCTTTTGGTTTCTAATGATGCCCTTGTAACCATACCAAGACTTGAATTGATAAGATAAGTTTTCTATCATTAGAATTTCATAGATATTATACCATATATGAAATTTACCACACCATGCATTAGGTGTATTAACACAATATGATTATTTGAATGTGATTGTATTTTGAGAAGTAAATATGCCTGCTATGTAATGCCTTATTGTTTATTCCATTGATACCAGTTGATGTAAAAGGTGTGTCAAGTCTGCAAAGTGCATTTACTATGTTATGCAACCCATATGTAAAGTTGTGAACACTACTCAAATTTGCCAGTTCCGATATGAAATCTCTGATTCAAAAATAATATAAAACCAAAATGTTAAATACTCAACAAAGTCATATACCGTTTAATATAACTTGTAGAATTTCTCGATTTACACGACTTGAGAAAGCGATATTGATCTATAAGACTCCTTTCTAACTGGAAGACGACAAAATATTTCGTAATTCTTACAACGATTTCATACTACAAATATCTGTGTTAATAAGTAATTTAATATGGTAACGTGGCAAGAGATATTCTATCGTGTCGACTTTTGCGTCGCTTACTTATATCAAGTCCAAAAATGAATTTTGCTCTTTCTAAAATGTGGGTAAAAAAATATACATATGTACACAAACCAGTGTTCGGTTTACGTATCCAATTTTTTTATGTGAACATTAGCTTTCTCGTAGAGATTATATTCTCTCATATTAATCATAATGTTGTGATTGTGAAAATTAATACTCATTTTTTTCGAAACTATAAAAACTATAAGGCAAATAATCGTTGAGATAAAAACAAACTAATCCATACCTTTAATAGTTATATTATTCAAAGAACTATCCAGTAATTATGCAACTTCAAACGAGTGGTCCTCCTAAAAATCATTAAGCACAATCGTTAATGCTCAATAAAAACGTTGCGCTGTTAAAGTCCATAGAAGAACCTTGAAATAAGACGATAAGTGTACGATATAAAGTCATACCAAGGGAGTGTAAAAATTTAAATAATATCCTTGAACGAAGAACGCGATGAAAATATGATTCTAATATAAAAACAAACAAACAACGAAGCTCGTTTGTCGAAGCCACAGAGAGAAAGGAAGTACGATGCAGACGCTGAGTGAATATAGAATGCCAACTCTGCCTCGCAGGACTCCAAGCAGCATTTGTCAACAAATGTGTTTCCACATCGACGCAAAATGTTCCTTAATTTTCCTTCGCGTAGTTAACTTTCAGCACAGATTAGCTATATAGCTAGTCTGTGCTTTCACTATATAAAAGCCTGGTCACACGATCCAATTTTGTCGGATTCAATCGACCTTTTCGGTAATTACATTATCGTTTTAAATTCAGAACCACCTTAAATGAGATAGATTTCAAGTTTTACTCTCACAAGCTATGTGGAAAGATGCAAAACATCCTTCTATAACCTGTGCATGAAAAATAATTATTCATTTTGACTGATAATTATGCAAATAAGCCATAACGCGGGTACGAGGCTCGCGGTCTTGGCCTTTCAGGCCCGTTCTCGTGTTATGGCTTATTTCCACATTTATTAGTCAAAATAAAAAATCTTTCTCATGCATGTGTTGAAGAAGGATGTTTTGCATCTTCGCACGTGGCTCGTGAGAGTAAAACTTGAAAAACCATTTGCGAGTGGAGTGAACTAAAGTAAGACTCTGGATTTGCATAGAAATGTTCGCTAGCAAAATATTTGCATATTTTCTTTTGAAATGAGAACAGTCAAGCTGAACCTACCTAATTAAGTATTTAGTCCAAATTCAAAAGAAAACTATTCAAATATTTCGCTAACGAACTGTTTCTAACGTGGAAATCTACCCTTAACAAATGTAACAAACAAACATATCATGGCTTCACGTACACAAACTACAGTAGTAGACAAACAAACAAGCTAGTACACAAACTAGTAGGCTAGTACACACTGAACAAACAAGCTTGTACACAAATTAGCACACAAACAAACAAACTAGTACACAGGTACTGAACAAACAAACTAGTACACACTGAACAAACAAGCTTGTACACAAATTAGCACACAAACAAACAAACTAGTACACAGGTACTGAACAAACAAACTAGTACACACTGAACAGACAAGCTTGTACACAAACTAGCACACAAACAAACAAGCGTATAATTATCGTCTACCGATATCATATTATTTTTGTACTTTCGCAACACAAAAAACTAATTTTTCGACCTAACGAAATTTTTCGCTTGATTTTCTTTTCAATCGTGACCGGTGAAGGGACCGGTCCGCTACAGTCGAACCTCACAATTACAAAAAACGAGCGAAAATTTTCATTTGGTCTTATTTGGGTTGACTGACCCAGCCTTATACCGCAGAACATACAGAGTTTGACCTTGCATTAATTATGCGTTCCTAGCGGCCATGTTGTTAGCCAGTGCGCTAAAGAGAGGCCCTATCCCCCCCGAACATTATAAATAGCCATCGCTATATAAATAAACAGATCGCTCCCACTTCTATACTCTTCTATACTCTTCTAAAGGATAAGAACTAACAAAATCTGGTTTTGAGAAAAAAATTGAGCAACGTTTTTGTCAAAAATACGATTTCTCCAGATAGTTCTGTCTCGGCTGTTTATATTCCATACAAGTATGGTGTTCAAGCCGCTGCCATATGCATGCTTTCCCGGGGGGAGAAGGCCTCTCTTGAGCGCACTGGCTAAGCCAGGAGTACGCAAAATTAATGGCAGTCAAACCTCTGTATGCTCTGTGCTCATACCATGAAATGATCTTTATATATTAGCTGATGCAACCTTTTTAACAGTTATGTTTTCCAAATTGCTTTACGTCCAACTATGCTTGCGTACTTTGGACCTTTGGTCACATATGGCTGGTTTTCTTTAACACAATTCTTTACATAATTCGTCGTAATTTACATATCGTAGTTCGTTGTATTTCGAAATCCAACATAAGAAAAGTGAATTACAACGAATAACGACACGTGAATTATGACAAATTATGACGAATTAGGTTATATGAAAACCAGCCTTTTCGTCTCACTAATGGTATTAAAGATCAGTATATTATTGAAGTCATTCGTTGGTAATTGTGCTACGGTGATAATTACCTAATTCCCACTGGGTCTCCATGGCACTAAACAAATATACAGGGTTAGTAAAAAAAACTGACACCTTTGAAATTCAAATTAGCCGCGAACTTATGGCTGGAATTTGACAATTTCCTGGTTAATTAATGCGAAAGTGTTTAAACCAATTCAACGTGGCGCGTGTGCTAGAAAAACGATTTGATAAAACTGTTCTTTTTCATTTACAGAGCTTAGAATGCATTTTAACTCCCAAAGGGAACAAACTTTATGTTTTAGGTTGATTAATGATTCACTTATCTGATATGCTTCGTATACCCATGAGATATTTTAGGCAACTTCCGTCACGTAACTATTTGAATGTCTGTGGTCATATTGGTGTTTGCCCGTCGGGAAATTAAAAAAAATCATCTTTGGGGGGATTACCACTTGCAGAGATATAGGTCTCTGCAAGAAATATAGGTCTATAGGTCTCAGAGACATATTGGAAAGGGCGTGGTTCGCCTGTGGTCTAAACATAACTCTCTAATTTACGAAATCGTAAATCCCCAGTTACTAACCCTCTTTTAATTCGCGTACACACGTTTCATTGCGCTTTATTATTATAAAATATGCTTGTGCTTTTGTTGCAAATGCAGAGCCGTATATATAGGCTTGGTGAAAATTGACCACGTTCACCTTCATTAAATAAGTATTAAGACAATAAATACTCAGTACTCAGACATTTATTTGCAAAACACATAATACAATTGCATGACCAGCCAACACAGTTGAACTATATAAGACATTCTCACAGCAATATTTGCCAGATTGATAGATATCTACTGGTAAACACTTCAAACAAAGTATATCAAAATACACATTAATTAATAAACTAATCTTATGACATCAGACAGCATCTCTTCGTTCTCTTTCTCTGTTCTGTATTATTGGCAGCCTATGAAACAACGAGTAACGTATTATTTTTCGACAGATTCTTACGAAAGGTCACAGGTTTAAACCAAGAATCGGGGATTCCGTTTGTTTGAATTCGCTTGTGCGAAAAATGTTTATTGTGAATCAGGCCTGAAGACTATAGTACTTAATGAAAATTGCATATTTATCCGAAATTGTTGAGCATTCGAAAAAAGTGGAAGTGCATGCAGGACAATCACTGGCTCAATAATTATATACCACTACAAAAATCTCTGAAAGTCATAAATTAAAGGGATAACTTACTATTTACACTCTCCATGATGCGCCAATCTAATTTTCCCGTCACTTTCACATTGAGCTCGTTTAAAGGTGCAAGGGTTTGAGTAAGTCTTGCCATCTGTACCACATTGAGGATTGTATTCCTCGGTGCAAATCGCTGAACACTTTGGTTCTACAAAGAAATGAGAGTATTTTAGCGTTTTAACCTCGTTCACGATCACACGATGTCGTAACGAAGCCTGCCGCAGAGGGCTTCGTCCTGTTTCGTTCTCATTTTTCTTCGCCCTTGAATTTACTTTTAATTCTTCTAAAAATTGTTATCACAATGTCAGCTAGTATCCTCGAACGACATTAGCCATGTCAAAGCGAATTTTACCCCCAAAAAGTGATGATAGCATGATTGCTTTTGTTAAAATAAAAAGGTCTGGGAATGAAGATGCCGTAAAACAACTTAAACTGATGTCGTGATCGTGTGAATCCGGTATATAGTGTAAACAGTGCGGTCTTAACCATACCCTGCATGGCTCTTACTTTTGTGATGAAATTAAACTCTTTAACAAGACGCCCACTCGGCGTTTACCGAACTAAACTCTATGCAGCATCTATAGTAAAACGTGTTAAACATTCAGTCAACTGAAATGACCAGTTTTAGCAACTTACTGCAAGCTCCTATGTGAACAATCTTGATTTCTTGGTCAAACTGACAAGCAGTCTCTTTCAATATGCAAAAATTGGGATATGTATTGCCATCTGATCCACATACTGGAGGAAGCATTATTTTGGGACAAGCAACGGCACACGTCTTTGGTTTAGTTTCTAAGGAGGAAGATTAAGCGATCAAATTAAAATGAATCTTGGGATATCATATTACATGACATCATACTGTCCATGCAGAGGATTGTTTGGAATACCGTTTGGAAAAACAGAATATATAGGAGAAACTGAAATTTGAGTTGTAATGTACATACTACACTCTCCACGATGATCCAGTCTCACTTTTCCATCACTCTCACACAAGGCGATTTTCAATTGACACGGGTTACCATATGTTTTACCATCTGTACCACATTGAGGGTTGTATTCCTTTGTGCATGCAGTTTGGCACTTTGGTCCTACAGTAAATACAGGTTTATAACTCAGCATTTTTTGTTACAGAATGTCTTCCAAGATAACGTATAATGTTTTGATGCAAATTAACTAGTTCCGTCTGTCTGACATCCATGTTTTCGGACTTCAATCAATCCTTGTCAACAACGTGAAGTACTACTAAACACAAATTATTCCTCTTATGACTTAGTTCATTTTCCCGCCTAAATAATTACTTCCAGAGAGCAATGGATAATTGAGGATCCCACGGTATTGATACTGTATCACAGTACATCCATGATACTCACGTATAAGTGCCATACCCTGTACAAGTACCTAGTTAAACACTGTGCAGTGATGTAGTTTTAAAACGTGTGTAGTTTTAGCTTTTTACTGCAAGATCCTTTGTGAGCAATCTTGATTTCTTGTCCAAGCTGACAAGCAGTCTGTTTCAATATGCAGGCAGAAGGATATGTATTGCCATCTGATCCACGTACTTGTTGAACCCGTAGTCCGGTTACTCTGGTACAATAAAAGACGCACTGCGTCTTATCTTGCTCGGCTTCTAAGATGTCTGATCGAGCGATGAAATTAATTTCAAAATATCATGTCATATTTAATAGCAATGGAATGAGGTTGAACACGAGGTGATGAATCATCGAGCCGTAGTGTGTCGTTCAAACGTTAAATGCGGAGTCCATTAGTGGGCGAGGATTGATGGCAAATATCTCCACACCGAAGATACACATCTACTGGCTAAGCGGTTTCCTCTGGCTGACTTACAGGGTCAAAAGCTACGCTGGGGCATGCAATGGGGGAACCTCCCCAAATACCTCCCCAAATTTGTTGCCTGCGCCCTTAGTTGCCCCGCCCAACACAAAATTTAATGTTACGTAAGTAGACACTATATTGTTTTACGTCTTTTGGGACAAGGAACAGCACACGTCTCATCTTGCTCAGGTCCTGTGATTTCTGATGAATTGAGCGATGAAATCAATTTTGAAATGTCATATCATATTTAGCAATTATTGAATAAGGTCAAACTACATACTCGAGGAGAGAAGTATTCTGGGGAAGGAAACGGCACTAATTAAAATAACTGAATATATAGGAGATACTAAATTTGAGGAGTAATGTACATACTACACTCTCCATGATGATCCAGTCTCACTTTTCCATCACTCTCACACAAGGCGATTTTCAATTGACATGGGTTACCATATGTTTTACCATCTGTACCACATTGAGGGTTGTATTCCTTTGTGCATGCAGTTTGGCACTTTGGTCCTATAGTAAATACAGGTTTATAACTCAGCATTTTTTGTTACAGAATGTCTTCCAAGATAACGTATCATGTTTTGATACAAATTAACTAGTTCCGTCTGGCTGACATCCATGTTTTCGGACTTTAGTCAATCCTTGTCAACAACGTGAAGTACTACTACTAAACACAAATTATTCCTCTTATGATTTAGTTCATTTTCCCGCCGAAATAATTACTTCCAGAAAGCAATGGATAATTGAGGATCCCAGGGTATTGATACTGGCTATATTCGAAGAATAAAGCCATGGTTTTCGTTTTGTTAAATTCATTATGCTATCATGCTATCACAGTACATGCAAGTGCCATACCCTGTACAAGTACCTAGTTAAATACTGTGCAGCGATGTAGTTTTAAAACGTGTGTAGTTTTAGCTTCTTACTGCAAGATCCTCTGTGAGCAATCTTGATTTCTTGTCCGAGCTGACAAGCAGTCTGTTTCAATATGCAGGCAGAAGGATATGTATTGCCATCTGATCCACGTACTTGTTGAACCCGTAGTCCGGTTACTTTGGTACAATAAAAGACACACCGCGTCTTATCTTGCTCGGCTTCTAAGATTTCTGATCGAGCGATGAAATTAATTTCAAAATATTATGTCAGATTTAACAGCAATGGAATGAGGTTGAACACGAGGTGATGAATTATCGAGCCGTACTGCCGTAGTGTGTCGTTCAAACGTTAAATGCGGAGTCCATTAATGGGCGAGGATTGATGGCAAATATCTCCACACCAAAGATACACATCTACTAGCTAAGCGGTTCCTCTGACTTACAGGGTCAAAAGCTACGGTGGGGCAAATGCATGTTTATCAGAAAGTAACTGTTCAGTTATTATCGAGTTTATAATGGTCATGCGACAGGATGTCTAATCAGGTCCAATATTAAGAACTTACTGACTTCGATTGTTCGGTCTGTACGGTAAAATATCAAACCGAGGTCGTGCCGTATTGACCGAGCGATAGCGAGGTCAATACGGCACGACCGAGGTTTGATATTTTACCGTACAGACCGAACAATCGAAGTCAGTAAGTTATTTATTATATGACTTAATTTGTGAAAACCATAAACACGAATAATAATTCATTTCGAATTGCTGTTGTTTTTCCCGAGGGCAATAAAAATTGAACGTATTGCCCGTGGGCATTATGGGAAAATCCCGCCTCGCCAGCAGCCAATCAAATTGCAGGATTTACAAAAACAAACACTAGTCATATAATAAGGTTTATTATTAGTTGATATCATACCTCTGTTTTTGGCGTGTACGGAACTTGATACAATGATCAAGTGAACTGTCATCAGTGCAACAAAGGAACACAAATCTAAGGTTAAGATTAAAACCATCATCGTTAATTTAACTATATCACATCACTGACATCAGATTAAATCGGGCAGGGAGGGAGTGATGGGTACACATAGTGACTTCAGGAAGAGTAGTTTAACTGCGGCCAGGTAAAGTACGAAAAACGCCGTATTCCAAGGTATTCACGTGTGAATACTGGTTGGAATAAAACACATATTGCAAGCGTATTCCGACGTGGAATATTAGTGTGAATACGGCATCGTATTCTTAAGTATTCTAAGTGTGAATATGCTGTGAATATGCGCGTATTCCGACCAATATTCACACTTGGAATATCTCACTTCTCGCTTAATCCGTGTTTCCACAAGATATTTTGAAACAACTTTATTTTGAATGCTCAAAAAGTAGAAGAAGTGGAATTTTATAAATTTTAGCGAAAAATAAATATGGGTCAGTCAAGAAGAGAATCAAGAACGCCAAGGGCTTATAATGTCAACGAGTATTTGTATGCAACGATTCCCACGAAGATAATGCGCAAAAAAATGAGATTGCATCATTGGCGAGATGCACACGGTACATTATGTTACTTGTTCACCAGTTAATAAGATGATAACGAATATTAACCATATTACAAGGATTTATTTTTTATTGTCCAAATTTTGATCCCAAATTCCCAACCGGCAAATACCGTTTGTGCGTATAAAGGGACCTCTTCGGTGAGTGACTGAATATTGTGTAGTTGAGTGCAATAGCTGGCCTGTAGACTATACCCTATGGCCTAATGACCATGTGGTGAGTTCTCTACATTTCTTTCACGAATTACCTTATAAAGCATATGATAAAAAGTTATTGGGTTATGCGTTGACAGTCCGTGTGAATGTTTAAGCATTTATTGCCCTTCAAGCTTATCTATGAACAAAAATATCATTATGAACAAACATGATCTTCAGGTTGCCATATTAATTTGCATAGCATATATGCCATGATAAGATTATTTGAGATTTTGTACAGTTCTTAACAGTATAACAGATCATGTACATGTGATGTTTTACAACATTTATACATCTATTATTGCTGTAATTAATTGCAAATTATCTAAATCATCAAAAATTGGTTGCATACAGTCTGCCATTAACTTCTAAGCTGTTATGATTTTCAATCCTTGGGCAGCGGTCATTAGTAGGACCGCATGGTTGCGAACCTCTGTATAGTTTCTGAGTTTCACTACATATGTACCGCCGATATATTTCTTTCTGTCTGCATCTTATTTTGTGCAACAAACTGAGCATAGTTAAAACATTTCCAACTGAAGTTTGTAACCTTGTAGGTGAGTTACAATTTTTTATATCAGCATTTTCGCGCCGCTATTTCCTAGCGCCAAAAATGTCACCAAAATGACGGTAAGGAAATTTCTATAAGGAAATTTCCTTTGAAGCAAAACTGTTCATGTTACATTGCTATCTTTAGAGAACAACGAGAGATAAGCCACATAAAATTCACACTGGGCTTTATGCTGTATTTTTATACACATATGGGACTTGAATGTTAATCTTATAACATAGGAGCGTACAGGAGTTAATCATTCAATACAAGGGTATATTCGAGCGGATTAAAGGCTAATTTCCACTCCGGAAAACGAGCAGCGGATCGGATCGGAACGAAAGATAATCCGTGCGTGCGCCGTCTGTTGAAATTTTTGGCTTATATTGTTCCGAAAGCGTCCGAGACCGGATAAAAAAAGTTCAAATAATTTTAACTTTTTTTTATCCGATCCGAAATCACTTCATGGATCGGACCAGCTCGGAAAAAAATCCGATCCGATCCGCTGCTCGTTTTCCGGAGTGGAAATTAGCCTTAACAATGTATGGCAAGGCCAAGGCATTGCAAAGGAGGAAAAATCCGATCAAAACTTGCCATTGAAAATCAGAAAATATAGGTCCTGGTCATCTGTTTATAAGTTTATTGGCGAGCAAAGACACTAAATAAAGTCTCGATAATGTAATGTATATCGTCAATAGCTGACACTATATATAGCAGGCGATTGCGGAATCACAACAAGGCTATATATGTATATTTGGCACTATATAGACAAATTAGCGGCAAATTTTTACAGTGAATGATTTCTCGCTTATTCTATACTTATTCAACAGCACTTAATAATATGACCAAGTGTGAATATCCTACCTCAAAAAATATTCACACAATATTCGAACATGTTGTAGGTGAGAATATGGGGTGTGTTTTATTTACAGGTATTCACGTCGGAATACCCCTAATATTCCGAGGATATTCACAGTGAATATGTGTGAATACGTGTGAATACTATAACCATATTCGAACTCATATTCACACGTATTCACCTGTGAATACTCGGCTTTTCATTCAGTACTCCAGGTAAATATATGAAAAGTAACTCATTGAATATAATCATCACATATTACCTTGTAGTTTCATGATTGTTTTTTATTACAATTCCTCCTAACAACAAATTCGATAGCCTGAAAATAGTAAATATTATAATAAAATCGTAATAATGCAGATAAGAAAAAAATACTAGTATATGCATAATTATAGTGAAATGTGAAATGAAAAAGTTCATCTTACCTGGTTTTAAGTTTCCCTTATCTCACTCCAAGAACAGGACCATGAAAATGAGCAAGATTGATGAAATGGCGTGGCTCAAGTATCGACTTCCACACACTTTTCTGAGCGATGATGTGTGTTTAATTAACTAGAGGGGAACTGTTAAGACGTATATATATAGGTTTAGGTTATTATTATGGAGAGATGTTTTGTCGGAAGAGCTTTATAATAATTTCCTGTTATGTGAGTTGATCAACCAAGAATCTGAATACAATTTTAGCTGTTAGAATGATAAGATATTTTATGAAATTTGAATAATTTTGGGTACACTTTCTGATTTAAAATTTCGCTTAAGTCCCTGGTACATACATTCAGGAAAACAGGCAACTTCTACACCTTGTTTTCACACTGATTTTGGTTTAAATTGCTATATTCTCACGTGTTGCATATATAACTGTAGATTACCCCTGAGGTACACATAGGCATTAGAATAAATTGTGTTTAGATCATGGTATCTTGTATAATCAATTATGTAGAGTTGTCGTAGATTAACAACACGTACTATGTGTATAGAGTATAGTCTCAGTTATTAGGCATTTGGTAATATAGCCACGCCGAGCTCAAAAATTAAAATAGTTGAGAATTTGTAGACATATATATATATATATATATATATATATATATATATATATATATATATATATATATATATATATATATATATATATATATACCCATATGTATGATACTTAGTTAACTAAAGTTCTTCTCTTCACTCGAAGCTGAAGACAGCTTATTCTAGGTGAGGAGGATTGTTACGAAATGCGCATATATAATGTAATTTAGTAGAAGGTCAATATAGATGAGGAAATTACTTGGGGAACAAACATATCACATAAAATGACGCGTGTAAAGTAAATATTATTATGACCCTTCGGAATCACAAGATTGCTTTTCCTGTCATAAAGTGACAGCCCATGGGATTTCCTCCGAAACAATAGTATGTCGTACAAAGTACAAGTGTCACGACTCAAGAACATAAGTTCTAGGCGGATACTAGTTTGTGTCAATCATTTCTTTGTTATATTTTGCTCGGTTAAGCACTTGAAGCCTTATAAAAGCTTAATTCGATGAAATTATAAGTGAAAAAGATACGGCTCACAAAGTAATAAGTTGATAATTATATTTTAAGTTAATGATAAATATTTTAAGTTGTGAACAAGTTCTAACAGTGATCGATTAAGTAGAAGGCCAACTTGACTAGTGCGTCACCGCCATTAAGTAAACAAAGTATGAGAGCTGGACCGAGCTTCTAACGCCAACCCACTCTTGCAACCTACAACGCTGATTGGATAGAGGGAATCACATAACCTTGCACAAGGCGTCTTCAAGATCCCCTCAAATTTCATTATAAAAGAAGGCGCACAGCAACAGAACCCCCAGTGGACTAAACACGAGAGTGGACTAAACACGAGAGTGGACTAAACACGAGAGCGGACTAAACACGAGAGTGGACTAAACACGAGAGTGGACTAACCCTCAGTGGACTAAAGTCAGTACACTAGCAGAGCATGGGCGTACGAGCCCAACTTCGTTTGGGGGGAAAAAAAAATCGCCCGAATTTTTTAATTATACAATGTGCCCGAATGATCACTTTTACCAGATTTGTAACAATAGATTTGGCTAAGCGGCGGATGTGCTTTTAGGAAAGTGTAACAAAAATAGCGAAATAGTATACAAATGTTATATATATTACAAAATTTGGTTTTAAAAATTTTTGCCATGTAATTTAGCTTCCAGTTTGCCCGAAGTTTCGGCTAAACTTTGCCCGAATTTCTTGATTTTCGAAATTTTTTTGGGGGGGGGCAAACCCCCCCTGCCCCCCTGTCTCGTACGCCTATGTAGCGGAGTAAAAAGCATATGAAACGTTGGAGAAGCTCAACCTTACAAAACCAACGACCAAAGACAGGGACAGCAACGACGAATATTTGAAGAAGAGAAGAGAAGAACGGAGAAAGAAGAGAACATTGGTGAACTTTAGTCAAACCTTGTAAAGATCTCCTACCTCGCGTAAATAGAAATAAAGTTACATAACAGCAGTGTTAATACAGTGCAAATTTTCTTAAAAATCTCAATACAATTCTACTTTTAAGAGATTTACCATTTTGTGTTTATCACACTCTACATATGTCTTCTTATACCTTAAAAAAAATGCTTTTCTAAAAAGTAGAATTGCATACACGGCTTTCGACATCTTTCTCTGGCTACAACAAAGACTTTTCTAGAGATTACATCACAGGCATCTAAATAAGTGGGTTTTATTGAAGTTCAATTCGACTGACTTTGCAAAAAAATTCAATACTGAGTGTGCTTTGTTTCACTTCAATTCAGCGCTATGATGTCAGAGACGTTATAGTATTATAGTTATAAAGTCGCATGCAAGTGATCGCATATAAGAGATCGAACCAAATGCAAAGACTCTAACTTATTAATTAAAGTACCTATGCAACGAAAATTTGCCATTTATTTGATTATTGCATTAATAGAATACTTTTAATACTAATAATACTTTTATTCAGTGAATACTTTTCGCTGAATACCCGACCAATGTTAAACAATAACAAAATCAGTTCATTCCATACGTCAGAAGCGCATTGGATCCGACAAAGTTGAATCATGTGAACGGAAAACTTAAAATGACTGAACAATTTATTTTGTAGAATTTAGTTAACGTTGTTCTTTTTCAAGATTTGTAAGATTTCCAAATAGGCCAACACGACTAATGACATGACATTGCGTAATGAGTTTTTAAAAAATCAGTTGTCTTGAAGAACAATTACACAACATATCCTCTAACAATTACTCCTGTAAACAGTGCATGCATGTGTGAATTCATAACTGGTTAAACGGCTGAGGGTGTATGCAGTCGTGAGGGTGTGTACACAAACTTTGCTAGCGGTTTGGTGTTTGCCGTAAACGTCAAACTAAAGGTCTCTATATAGAATACAAGATGTGCTGCGAAATAAAAAAGAAACGGCAGTTTGGCGTGCTGAAAACAAACTTTTGAGAACACGCTTAGCGAAAGGGTCAAGGTCAACTTTACATATTTATAAAATTCCAATTTTTGGTATGATTTCGAAAATGCTGTGATCTTCATCTTCTATGATCCAATGTGATTATGTGATCCTCGTTCCCAGGCTTCGGTTGCGAGATTGCCGATTGCCGTAATTTATTTTATTTCATCACAAATTATGCGATTTTATCACAAGTTTTGCGAACTTATGGCTGGGATTTGCCAATTCCCTGGTTGATTAATGCGAAAGTGTTTAAACCAATTCAACGTGGCACGTGTCTAGAAAAACGATTTGATAAAACTGTTCTTTTTCATTTACAGAGCTTAGAATGAATTTTAACTCCCAAAGGGAACAAACTTTATGTTTTAGGTTGATTAATGATTCACTTATCTGATATGCTTCGTATACCCATGAGATATTTTAGGCAACTTCCGTCACGTAACTATTTGAATGTCTGTGGTCATATTGGTGTTTGCCCGTCGGGAAATTAAAAAAAATCATCTTTGGGGGGATTACCACTTGCAGAGATATAGGTCTCTGCAAGAAATATAGGTCTATAGGTCTCAGAGACATATTGGAAAGGACGTGGTTCGCCTGTGGTCTAAACATAACTCTCTAATTTACGAAATCGTAAATCTCCAGTTACTAACCCTCTTTTAATTCGCGTACACACGTTTCATTGCGCTTTATTATTATAAAATATGCTTGTGCTTTTGTTGCAAATGTATATTATATAGAGCCGTAAGCTTGATGAAAATTGACCCCCTTCATTAAAAAAGTATTAAGACAATGAATACTTAGTACTCAGACATTTATTTGCAAAACACAAAATACAATTGACCAGCCAACATAATAGAACTATATAGGACATTCTCACGGCAATATTTGCCAGATTGATATCTACTGGTAAACACTTGAAACAAAGTATATCAAACTACACATTAATTAATAAACTAATCTTATGACATCAGACAGCATCTCTTCGTTCTCTATTCTGTATTATTGGCAGCCTATGAAACAATGAGTAACGTATTATTTTCCGACAGATTCTTACGAAAGGTCACAGGTTTAAACCAAGAATCGGGGATTCCGTTTGTTTGAATTCGCGTGTGCGCAAAATGCTTTGTGTGAATCACGCTTAAAAGCCCATAGTACTTAATGAAAATAGCATATTTATCCGAAATTGTTGAGCATTCGAAAAAAGTGGAAGTGCATGCAGGACAATCACTGGCTCAGTAAGTATACAACTACAAAAATCTCTGAAAGTCATAAATTAAAGGGATAACTTACTATTTACACTCTCCATGATGCGCCAATCTAATTTTCCCGTCACTTTCACATTGAGCTTGTTTAAAAGTACAAGGGTTTGAGTATGTCTTGCTATCTGTACCACATTGAGGATTGTATTCCTCGGTGCAAATCGCTGAACACTTTGGTTCTACAAAGAAATGAGAGTATTTTAGCGTTTTAACCTCGTTCACGATCACACGATGTCGTAACGAAGCCTGCCGCAGAGGGCTTCGTCCTGTCTCGTTCTCATTTCTCTTCGCCCTTGAATTTACTTTTAATTTTTCTAATAATTGTTACCACAATGTCAGCTAATATCCTGGAACGACATCAAAATTAGCCATGTCAAAGCGAATTTTACCCCCAAAAAGTGATAATAGCATGATTGCTTTTGTTAAAATAAAAAGCTCTGGGGATGGAGATGCCGTAAAACAACTTAAACTGATGTCGTGATCGTGTGAATCCAGTATATAGTGTAAACAGTGTCTCACCTATACCCATGGCTCTTACTTTTGTGATGAAATTAAACTCTTTAACAGGACGCACACTCGTCACTTAACAGGACGTTAACCTAACTAAACTGTATGCAGCATTTAGAGTTAAACGTGTTAAACATTCAGTCAACTGAAATGACCAGTTTTAGCAACTTACTGCAAGCTCCAATGTAAACAATTTTGATTTCTTGGTCAAACTGACAAGCAGTCTCTTTCAATATGCAAAAATTGGGATATGTTTTGCCATCTGATCCACATACTGGAGGAAGTCGTCTTTTGGGGCAAGGAACAGCACACGTCTCATCTTGCTCAGGTCCTGTGATTTCTGATTAATTGAGCGATGAAATTAATTTTGAAATGTCATATCATATTTGACAATTGTTGAATGAAGTCAAACTACATACTGGAGGGAGAAGTATTCTGGGGAAAGAAACGGCACTGATTGGAATAACTGAATATACAGGGTGTCTAAAAAAACGCAACCACTTAAATATGCAAGACATTAATACAGCTCTAAAGCACAATAGATAAAAGCAACTCTGGGAATTGAAAATGACTCTTAATCCTTCATTTAAAAATGCTGAAAAGTCATTCTAGCTGAACTGTGATGCAAACCCGAACAATATTAATATTCTTGCATATTTAACTGGTTGCGTTTTTTTTGAGACACCCTGTATAGGAGAAACTAAATTTGAGCAGAAATGTACATACTACACTCTCCATGATGAGCCAGTCTCACTTTTCCATCACTTTCACACAAGGCGATTTTCAATTGACATGGGTTACCATATGTTTTACCATTTGTACCACATTGAGGGTTGTATTCCAGTGTGCATTTAGTTTGGCACTTTGGTTCTACATTAAATACAGGTTTATAACTCAGCATTTTTTGTAACAGAATGTCTTCCAAGATAACGTATCATGTTTTGATACAAATTAACTAGTTCCGTCTGGCTGACATCCATGTTTTCGGACTTTAGTCAATCCTTGTCAACAACGTGAAGTACTACTAAACACAAATTATTCCTCTTATGATTTAGTTCATTTTCCCCTCTAAATAATTACTTCCAGAAAGAAATGAATAATTGAGGATCCAAGGGTATTGATACTGACTATATTCAAAGAATAAAGCCACGGTTTTCGTTTTTTTAAATTCATTATGCTATCATGCTATCACAGTGCATGCATGATACTCACGTATAAGAGCCATACCCTGTACAAGTACCTAGTTAAACACTGTGCAGCGATGTAGTTTTAAAACGTGTGTAGTTTTAGCTTCTTACTGCAAGATCCTTTGTGAGCAATCTTGATTTTCTGTCCGAACTGACAAGCAGTCTGTCTCAATATGCAGGCATTAGGATATGTATTGCCATCTGATCCACATACTGGTTGAAGCCGCATTATGGGACAAGGAAAGGCACACTGCCTCTTATCTTGCTCGGCTTCTAAGATTTCTGATCGAGCGATGAAATTAATTTCAAAATATTATGTCATATTTAACAGCAATTGAATGAGGTTGAACACGAGGTGGTAAATTATCGAGTCGTATTTTGTCGTTCAAACGTTAAATGTCCATTATAGTGGGCGAGGATTGATAGCGAATATCTCTACACCGAAGATACACTTTCAATCATACATAAGCTAGTATACTAGCTAAGCTGACTTACAGGGTCAAAAGCTACGGTGGGGCAATTGAGGACGACACTCCCCCAATTTTGTTGTCTGCCCCTTAGTTCCCATCCTCCCCCCGACAAAAATTTAGTGTTATACGTAAGTAGACACTATAGTTTTATGAGATGTTCGCTTCACTTATATAATACCTTGCCCCCCAAAACACTTCCTACACCCCCAATTGCCCCCACAGTCGTTTCTATCACTGGTTACAATAGGAATTGAACCACCGTTACAGAACACAGTTTTGTAAGTCTTGCATGTTTATCAGAAAGTAACTGTTCAGTTATTGTCGAGTTTATAATGGTCATGCATGTGACAGGATGTCTAATCAGGTCCAATATAAGACTATGTAAGTAATGGCAAATCAAATTCATTATTAATTACGGTTTATTATTAGTTGATATCATACCTCTGTTTTTGGCGTGTACGGAACTTGATATAATGATCAAGTGAACTGCCATCAGTGCAACAAAGAAAGACAAATCTAGGGATAAGATTGAAAACCATCATCGTTAATTTAACTATCACATCACTGACATCAGATTCAATCGGGCAGGGAGGGAGTGATGGGAACACATAGTGACTTCAGGAAGAGTAGTTTAACTGCGGCCAGGTAAAGTACTCCAGGTAGAGATATGAAAGTTATCTCAATGAATATACCATGAGTATAATCATCACATATTACCTTGTAGTTTCATGATTATTTTTTATTACAATTCGTCCTAACAACAAATTCGGTAGCCTGAAAATAGTAAATATAATAATAAAATTGTAATAATGCAGATAAGAAAAAAAATACTAGTATATGTATATTGTGAAATGTGAAATGAGAAATTCATCTTACCTGGTTTTAAGTTTCCTTTATCTCACTCCAAGAACAAGACCATGCAAGATGAGCAAGATTGATGAAATGAGCTTCTTTAAATAGTATCGTTTTCGGGCGTGGCTCAAGTATCAACCTCCACACACTTTGCTGAATCATGATGTGTGTTTAGCTAGAGAGGAAATGCCAAACCCTTAATAATCAAGAGGCGACTTAGGACAACCCTCGTGTCACAAGACCTAGAAATGGCTTCTGAGTATGTAGGAAAAACCCAGTGATTTGATTCTCGCTCGTAAGCCTGACCAAAGTCGTATTCATTTCCATAAAATACGAGAGTTGCAGTATATATAGAAAAAGTTCTGCATAGCGTATATAGCCTTAAAAATATGCAATAACACTTCTATTTTGTAGCTCATTTGAATTGCTGTATTATTCATTTACAGATTATATTGGTTTATGAAAGTGGGCAACTGATTTAGCAGTGTTATATACAGTGCAATTTTTCTTAAAAATCTCAATACAATTCTACTTTTAAGAGATTTACCATTTTGTGTCTATCACACTCTACATACTGCATGTTTTCTTATACCTTAAAAAACGCTTTTCTAAAAAGTAGAATTGCATATATACATGTGCACGGCTTTAGATATCTTTCTCTGGCTACAACAAAGACTTTTCTAGAGATTACATCACATGCAGGAATCTAAATAAGTGGGTTTTATAGAAGTTCAATTCGACTGACTTTGCAAAAAAATTCAATACTGAGTGTGCTTTGTTTCACTTCAATTCAGCGCTATGATGCCAGAGACGTTATAGTATTATAGTTATAAAGTCGCAAGTGATCGCTTATAAGTGATCAAACCAAATGCAAAGACTCTAACTCATTAATTAAAGTACCTATGCAACGAAAATTTGCCATTCAAGTGACTGAATACTCGACCAGTGTTTAATAATAACAAATCAATTCATTCCATACGTCAAAAGCACATTGGATCCTACAAAGTTGGAACATGTGAACGGAAAACTTGACTGAATAATTTCTTTTGTAGAATTTAGCTAACGTTGTTCTTTCTCAAGATATTGTAAGATTTCCAAATAGGCTAACACGACTAATGGCATCACATTGCATAATGAGGTTTTAAAATATCAGTTGTCTTGAAGAACAATTACACAACATATCCTCTAACAATTACTCTTGTAAACAGTGCATGCATGTGTGAATTCATGACTGGTTAAGGGCGTAAACCTTGTTTTTAGTTTTATCAAGTTGAAATATTATTTTCCATTTAAACTTATTATACGGTGTGATGTCATTAGTTGTGTTAATTGGAGATGTTACAAAGTTCATTATCTTCAGAAAGAAGAAAGCACAAAAGAAGTTTTTCATGCTTTCTTTACATTGCAACCATAAAAATCACGGGTGAAATGAAATTGGAAAACACGTTTTAATAATTTGAATTATTATATGTCAGGTAGTTTCATATTAGTTCCGTCTATTTTCTTTGAAGAGTTAGTGCTGACACACTCTATGAATTGTTTGAAGACTTTGATCCAAGCTCATGTCAAATATTGAACTTCATTTTCCGGCTCTTTGCACCTCAAGTGCTCGGCCATGATGTAATCTTCAAAGTGTAACGGAATGTACAGCTGATTCAATAAAAGTCGTTTTCGGACAAGTCGAACACGAGAGCGATGATGGTTTGTAAAAGAATATTATTATATTCCCAATTAAAGTCACAATGCTGCCTTCAGAGCAGGATCGCCGATATTCTGTTGTGGAGATCGCAGATCCCTTTCTCTCATGCAAAGTTACTTTGAAGTGAATTTTTTAGGACAAAATAACAATAACCCATCATCCTTCGCGCGCCCAGGGTTTAGATCTGTCTCAAAAAGACAGGCTTTACAGAATTATTCGCTTACCCTAAATATTGCAAGTTTGCAATAAATTAAGTTGCCTTATAACTGTTGTCATGTAAACTTGAATGTTACTGCATAAGTAACTAGCTCATTAAAAAGAGTACTTTCAAGATTCGAGTGTCTTATGCTGGACTACCGGCTCGAGTGTCTTATGCTGGACTTATACAAAAATAGTTGTGCTAAGTAACACACCCAAAGCGTGCTTAAGAACACGTACGGCATACGTGTTATATAGCATACAAGATGTGCTGCGAAATAAAAAATAGGTATGCAATGCATACATGTGGGTAGCCTCCAAAGCATTGGCAAAGATTTTCAAGTTTTGTTCAATGTCAAATGACAGGCCGCAATAATGGCGGGGAAATCAACTGCATGATGCTTAGTTTTACGTTCTAATGCCATACGCAAAGGCGAAAATGGGCTAGTTTGCTAGTTGGATACAGTTATAACAAAGTAGACATAAGAATAATCAATGAAATACCATTTCTGCAATTAATTTATCTGAAAGTTTAGGCCAGTTTACACCGATCAGACTAACAAAATTTTGGCTCGGCCCAGTCTCTTTGGCAGATAAATAAACTCGGCGGACAGACATGCATCATCGCTCATCGTTTTTTGCGTGTAGCATAGTGGTTAGCCCGCGAACGGACTACCCACAAAAAGGAACGGCACTTTGGCGTGCTGAAAACAAACTTTTGAGAACACGCTTAGTGAAAGGGTCAATGTCAACTTTACATATTTACTAAAATTTCAATTTTGGTATTTGGTTGCTCATTAGTACAGTCTCGAAACCACCGCGATCCCCGATGGATCCTCATTGCTGTGATTCTCGTTCTCAGTCTCCGGTTGCGAGATTGCCGATTGCCGCAATTTATTGCAATTTATTTTATTTTATCACAAATTCATTATTTGTTTGAAATATTCAATATGGCGGACAAAAGTCAGGGAACAATGAAAGCGTTGGTGAAAGAAGCGGAAGGTACCTCATATAAATACATGGATTATCCCGTATCAGAGCCAGGCGAAGGAGAATTACTTGTCAAAGTTACTAAAGTATCAATTTGTGGTTCTGATCTTAATTTATATTTTTGGAATGAAGGTATTACATTTTATATCATGTATTGCGAAATATCACTCGTCTCACTCTCATTAATGACTGTACTAGATCTAGATGCACAAGAAAATTGCTAGATGTACAAGAAAATTACATAATTTGCAAAAGGAGATCCTAGTGCAATAAGGTTGTTTCTTCGGAGATTCACAGGCTGTGATTTTTTTTAAACACCCTGCATGCTATCACCACTAGTCTACCCACACCAGCAGCCCAGAACTACCAAAAGTTGATCTGCAAACTCCACATGTGCGATTTCAAATGGCACCTGTGAACAGATGGAAGGAATCAAAATTGAAAAACCAGGGCCGTAGTTAGACCGCTTAATTGGGGGGTGTATATTCATATATTCATGTTTATATACCATAGGAACAATAGCAATAAAAGAAATCATTCGGGCATATGACGAATATATGAATATGCACCCCCCCCAATTAAGCTTCTAGCTACGGCCCTGTGAAAAACACATCAATGACAGGATCCCCACAATTGAATGCATGAGCTGCAATCATGACAATTATAATCATGTGGACACTTAACTTTTGTGAATGGCTGAATTATTCTCTGACTGGAAAGTATGCAAACTGCAGAACCGAGATTTCAAAAAATTACTAGTAAATATGTAGGAGACATCAAAATTGCACACCCGATATCTTGGTTGCACAATACAAACTTTCCACACTGGAATCATTCTTTCGGCAAGAAATCTCTCTACCCCTTATCCCCTCCCTACTCAATGTCTGCCCCCCCTTTCCAACATTGGATGGGTTGGAGGGGATGAACATTTTCGAAGGGTCATTTCTGCAGAAATAAATTTCAGTTTCTTTTATGCACGCAATGTCCACAATAAGTATTGCGAGGATTGTATATGCATATTGTATATATTATAAGAATATAAAATAAAAGTTCTCATGAAAAGCTAATAGTATATGGGAAAAAGCAGCCTTTAATCATTTTGCATTAAAACATAAACTGCAGTAAGTCTTTAGCACATAATGAACAAATGCACTGATTTCAATGATCTATGGGAAACTATAGAAATAAAGCATGTTCATAAATGCATATGCTTCAAGGTAGCTAAGAACTGGTAGTAATTAGTCTCTGATATTTTTTCAGTTGCAAGAAAGATTGCAAAGGTTCCGTTTATCCCAGGCCATGAATGTGTTGGAGAGGTGAGTTTTGAACCTTGAAAAACTAAAACTAATCAATTCCATATCAATTTACTAATGTCACTCCCTCCATTTTTTTATGCCCCCGGTGTTGTCAGTCCAACTCAGCTTGCAATAATATATATAATGGGTTAGTACAGGAATGCTGGAAGTTATACAGGGCAAGGGGTTCAGTTTCTTATGAAAAGGGCATATATTTTTTAGGAAAGGGCAAAGATAGAAAAATAATGCGCACTACAACACACTACAACATACTTAGTTATTGGAATTTGGAAAAGCGCAATTGCACCCCAGTTTTGCACCTGTGAAATTGTAAAAACGAAAGGCAACAAGTGCAACTGCATCTTTGGGTTAGTAGTTGCTGAATCAAAAAATAGCAATTTCTTTATCTTTAGATTGTCAAGGTGGGACCAGGTTGTTCTGACTCATTTAGAGTCGGTCTTCGAGTCTGCTGTGAGAATCACTATTTCTGTGGAAAGTGCTATCAGTGTCTACATGGTATTATAATTTTTTTTGTATTATTATCGTAATTTCTTATACTAAGTGTATAAAAAATGTAGACTCTTGGTAAATGTATTCTAAGAATCTGTGTTTAAATCAATAAGGATATCTTCATCTTTCTGTTGTCATCATCTGCATCAAGACAAATATATGAATATGCACCCTCCCCCCATGCACCTTCTCTCCATGCACCCTCCCCCATGCACTATCTTCTATACACCCTCCCCCATGCACTTTCCTCCATGCACCCTTCCCCATGCACTCTCTACCATACACCCTCCCCCAATGCACCCTCTTCCATACACCCTCCCCCCATGCACTCTTCCATACACCTTCCCCCCATGCACTCTCCCCATGCACTCTCCCCCCATGCACCCTCCCCCATGCACTCTATTCCATACACCCTCCCCCTATTCACGCTCCCCCATAACCCTCCCCCTGCAACCTCCCCCATGCACCCTTTTCCATACATCCTTCCCCCATGCACTCTCCCCCATACACCCTCCCTCCATGCACTCTCCCCATCACCATCCCCCCATGCACCCTCCCCCATTCACCAATGCACCCTCCCCATTCATCCTCGTCCATGCACCCTCCCCCATACACCCTCCCCATACACCCCCCCCATACATCTTCCCCCATACACCCTCCACCATACACCCCCCCATGCACCCTCTCCCCATGCACCCTATCACCGCATTGACACTTGAATTGTTACACTGTGCCAATATTGGTATTTCAAGCAGGGGTGGCAGAACATATTTTTTTGGGGTGGGGCAATTATTTTTTGTATTCAAAATTTTTGCTACTGTACTTGTCCTAAAAATGCAAAACCATACAAACCAGAAATACAAATGTAAACCATATTAAACGCCCGATGTCAGGCACAGAGAGCAAACCCAAGTTAAGGCAAACCCATTGGTAGTAAATTACCCAAAAAAAATGAAGAGCGCTGGGGAAGTGTGTTTCTGCTGATAGCTGCAAAGCATATGCCATTGGTACAGCGAGATTAGACATCAAGAGAAGCCCCGTCTGTATGCTACATCGACCGAGAAACCATGCACCAACCGAGAAATCATGCACCGGCACCGAATTAACACACGTTCAGCTAACTGTTAACAATTTGGCCAAGGTCAAAAAGGAAGAAACGAATTACATTCTGTTTCATGTGTGAATTGAATGTTGGGATGTTTAGAATTGTGTTATCAGTGAAATTCAGGAACGGAACTTGGATTGAAAAATGTGAAAGTGATCATCAGTTCGTGTATCGATGATAAAAAGGGCCTAAAAAAGAATAGGAATCTGCTAACCAAGATTTAACAGTCAATTACCTTTTTCTTATCGACCTGTTCGGAGAGGGCATTCAAAATACTATATATCAACGCTGCGAAGAAGAAATTTATTGGTCTCTGTTTTATGACTAAGGAGGCTATATAATGTATTTTCAATGCATGTCATATGCTATTTTTCTAGGTCAAGAAAATATTTGCCAAAATTTAAAGCAATATGGCCATGGAAAGGGCACAATCCATGGAGGTAGGGTCCGGTAGCATATTATAATCCTTCTAATAAGACTGGCCTTCTAATAATTCCTGGCCGTTAAAAGCCCTTTTAATCTCTTATGAGCTCTGAACTTCGAAGAAGCCAGACGTCTCTTAACGTGTAAAAATTCACCAGTGCTAAAATATATAATGTTCGCCAAACAATGTGGCAGCATCGAGTTTGACCAGTCAGAACAAAGTTGTTCAGGCGACAATCGTTATAACAACATTGTTCCGACATCTTGTTTACTTTTAATGGACGAACAATGGTTGTTGCGATGAAAAATGGTTGATGAAACATGCTTGGTAAATGCTGTCAGAACGAATGTTGTTCAGTGCTGTCCATTTATTAAGCGTTCATTAATCCCTGCCTTGGGAAAAAGCCAAAATCGTAAGCCATGCCTCACTCATGTGCCTTGGGTGACAAAGGTTGGCTTATTTATTACTAAAAAATCTGCCTCTCTAAAACTTTTTGCCTGTTTTAGTATGCTCTAAACTATTCTCTATAAACTAATAAGCCCCATCTCCTCAGTGTTCTCCATGTCTAATAAGTTCAGCCTATGCAAAAGACCTTCTTAAATGATTCTTCCTTCTCTGAGATCATTGGTCTGTATGTACCCATATACCTCCGTATGTCCTCAAAACGGTTCGGCATAAAAAATAACCAGTCAATTAAAGTCGACAGTCCCTTTGGCAACTTCTTCTGATTAGAATTAATGATGTAAAAGGTATTCGTCCATCAAAACCATCTACAATATGAAACGACGGTAATTTTCTTATTTTAATAGGGTGCTGCCAATATACCATTATTCCCTCTCGTTACGCTTATGTTTTAAAGACAGATATTTCAGACAACGCCGCTTGTCTGTTGGAACGTATGTGTATATATCTTTATTTGCTGGCCTAGGGGGGGGGGGTTGTATCAAGCCCGTTCAGCTTAAACGGCGGTTAAGTTCAAAATAGAAAGCAAGTTTATCCTTTTTTTCAACAAGCAAACTAAATGTTTTTAACCTTACCGATTACAACTACATATTCAGTGCACAATATTCAAGTTGACTCATTCAATAGAGATCTAAGAGTCTTTTTTAATTTTGACTTATCCACCGTTAAAGCTAAACGGGCTTGATACAACCGTTTAGCTTAAAAATACTCTCATACATCTTGTGAAAGACTGAACTTGAAATTTATGCATTAATATCAACTTCCACTAAAAGTTAAGGTATTCACTACATCGAAATATTTAAGCTCAATTGTTCGATAGATGAATAACTGATTTTGTTTCCATGTTGAACTTATCCGTTGTTTAAGCTAAAGGCTTTTCGAACTGGCCCGTGTAGAAAAATAGAATCTATATTAAAACGGTTTTTCTGCATCGCTATATTTTAGCATTTGGAGTTTCGCATTTAGCAATGGAAAAGCTTGAACCAACTAACGAGACTGTTCTAATTCAAGGTATAGTTGTTTGCTTTGGTGGTATCACTAGTATGAATGGTAAAAGTTAAAGTAAAAATAATTAACTGGTACAGACAAGGAAGCCCACCCAAACCGTATGTTCCGCGGAGTCTGAAGCTCTTTTTCGACACTTCTCGTTTCCGTAATTATCTAGACTAGTGTAAAAATGCCTGGAGCTATATTTATAACTGCATTTGTATTGCGAAATTCAGCCAGGTTATTCATAATATTTATAATTCTCCCTACATTTAAAGTTTGAATATTGTCTGAGACTTCCTCAACCGAGATTACTCAGTTTCCTTTCTAACCCCGCACTTTAGGATGTGGTCCAATAGGTCTGATGGCAACGGGGATTGCAAAGGCAATGGGTGCGAAAAAAATGTAAGAAATATAAAGAGCATTTTTTGTTTGTTGTTTCGTACTGTTTGCTTAAACGCTATGCAGCCTCCTACCCAGGCACTTTATTGGGAAAAATATCGCTCCTGGCTACTAGTATATAAAGAGAGTGACTGAACTCCCGGCTACTAGTGCTCCCCCCCCCCATTGTGCCCCCACGAAAGTACGAAAGACCCTGGGTACGAGGTTACTGATCTCTATATGTAAGCGATCAACACGATGTTTTATGTTTCCAATAAGGTTCCGTCTGGTTCAGGTTTTCCATTATCTAAAGAAATTTCCTGAGAAAAGGGCTCCTCTGTCCAGGCGATCGCGCGCTCATATTTTAGCCAATCAGTGCCCAGAAGGGTTGTCCGGCAAAATAGAAGTCCATTCTAAGTATTTATCGTTAATATCTATTGTTATTCTTTATGAAACTAATCTATGAAAATAATGTTTAGTTATGAGAACTATAGCTTTGGCATAAATTTGAAATCGAAATGAGGTATATTTCAAGAGATACTAAGTTGTTTCAACCAATAAATGGATTTTTATTTGACAACTGGTCCCACTCCTTTTCCGCTATTTCAGATCACCTGGATAGGGTAGGGCTCATTATTAATCGGATAAAATCAGTCAACTCAAATAAGACTGGAACGCTCACTCTCTGAATTTTCCTCATTAATGAGTGAAGCCAAGATGGCGGATTATGAAGCCTTTCTTGTAGGTATGATCCAGGCCTCTGGCGGGGAAATTTCACAGGAAAAATAAAAATTGCCGCCTTTTTACCTACAAAATTTCCGCGTGGAGGCCTGGATCATACCTACAAGAAAGACTTCAGTGTCCGCCATCTTGACTTCAAACTTCGGACAGAGTGAGCGTTCCAGTCCTATTTGAGTTCACTGGATAAAATATGCATTCTTTTCAAACAAATTGATTTTTCTCTGCTCACCAATTGTGGAAGTTGTGACCTGGTTAAAAAACTGCATGTCATGGTTCCGTTGTTTATCAAACGTGAGCTCGCTTCACGATTCAAAGAGATTAGGGAGTAGCTGTAGTGGCTAAGAGTGAAAGCGAAGTACAATCCTGCGCTAAAGGTACAATCAACGTGCGTTAGCCGCATAAAGTAAACTCAATAATCGCGACTTACCCAATCTCATCCAACGTACACTTCACCGACAGAGCAAAATTGTTATTATTTTTATACATTGATTTTCTACCAGCATTGTCACGGACGTTATCGAATGTAGGCTGGAGTTAGCCAGGAGAATGGGTGCCAACGTTCTGGTGAATGGTAGACATGACAATCTTGCTGAAGTGGGTACGTATTACCAAATGAAAATGTTTTTTCGTTTAAAAGTTAAAACAACAGCAAAGAAGATTTTCTTTATAAGCCTTGCTGAGCCTATCAATGATGCTAATGACGAAATGTTGATAGGCTGCTCCGCCTCCAACCTCATACCCAGGATCTTTACTCTGGGTACGAGGCTGCTCCGCCTCCAACCTCATACCCAGGGTCTTTACTCTGGGTACGAGGCTGCTCCGCCTCCAACCTCATACCCAGGGTCTTTACTCTGGGTACGAGGCTGCCCCCGCCTCCAACCTCATAGCCATCTTAATTCTTTACGATTTTTTTACATGAAGTTTTTAGGGAAACAAATGGCGATGGAGTTGGCAGGATACTTGAAGCAAGCGGGAACGCCGACTTGATGAACAATTGTTTCAAATTACTTAGGTATGGTTAGGTATGGTTAGAGTTAGGATCACTATGGATGGTAGCATAATGTGTTTCCTATATCATCTATTTCCTCTTCTAGGAAAGGAGGTGTAGTGGTGCTCGTTGGATTAACCAAGGTAATGGAATAACACCTAGGCCTAGAATAACACCGATTGAAAAAACCACTATCCGGTGGATAGCGCTAACCAGCTTTCATACAACTGGCCTCTGTATTCTAAAAGCTCACTTACGCTCAAACTCTCTGAGTGGGAGATTTCAGTCTCAACGTATTTCATTGTATTTCCACGTGAGTATGTGCTTGATCTTCAGTGTTTTACCTCAAATATTTCCATTCAAAATGAAAGGACGTTCATTTATCAGTAAAAATAAAGTTTAGAAACTTTATTTTTACTGATCAATGAGAACGTCCTTTCATTTTGAATGTAAATGGAAATGGAAATGTCACACTTAATAAGCGAGAGTGTAAGCGGGCTTTTAGAAGACGTTAAAGTCAACCTTTTTTTCTGACAAGTCAGTGCTTACTAATTTGCTTTTTTACTCTTTCACGGCTTAATTATATTTTTAGAAAGCACTTCATGTTGACGAGTTTCTTCAAGACATTTTGTTTAAATCTTTGACCATAAAAACTCTTCACGGACGAAACATTTTCTCAACATGGGAGAAGGCTGAGAAGATGTTGCATCAAAAAGAGTAAGAATTTTTATAATCATGAGTTTAAAAGTGCACCACATATATTTTTTTACCTAGTACAATGCATTCGGTCTGTTAACCCAGGTCCCCATTAACTTGCAAATGTTGTAATTCACACCTTGACGTATTAATTTTTTGGAAAGTCTATGGCATTCATTAATGAACCGAAAGGTTAGCAGTGAAAATATACATAGTGCACCTCCTTAGTGACTCATGAACGCGCATTTATTATCACTTTTCCTTCTTCGCTTACCATGTCTGAGCTGTTTTTAACAATATAAACTGTAAGGATTTTAGACATTTTCAGGCACACTCCTCCACCGCATTGACCCCCTCCGCTGCTTTGACCCCCCTCCACCGCTTTGACGCTTCTTCACCGCATTGACCCTCGTCCACTTCTTTGACCCCCGTCCACTGCTTTGACCCCCGTCCACTGCTTTGACCCCCGTCCACTGCTTTGACCCCCGTCCACTGCTTTGACCCCCGTCCACTGCTTTGACCCCCGTCCACTGCTTTGACCCCCGTCCACTGCTTTGACCCCCGTCCACTGCTTTGACTTCCGTCCACTGCTTTGACCCCCGTCCACTGCTTTGACTTCCGTCCACTGCTTTGACCCCCGTCCACTGCTTTGACCCCCGTCCACTGCTTTGACCCCCGTCCACTGCTTTGACCCCCGTCCACTGCTTTGACCCCCGTCCACTGCTTTGACTTCCGTCCACTGCTTTCACCCCCGTCCACTGCTTTGACCCCCTCCACTGCTTTGACTCCCCTCCACTGCTTTGACCCCCCTCCACTGCTTTGACCCCCCTCCACTGCTTTGACGCCCGTCTCCGCCCACTCTAAACGCCTTTAAATGCGGCTCGATATTAATTAATAAATTTTGAGAAAGTATGTTCTCGTCTAATGCCTGATTTCCATTTCCGTGTCGTAAACATGTCAAGGTGGCTGATGTGATAGAATATTTCTGTGTGTCCCACTGCATGACCTATATATATATTCTAGTATAGGTCAATGGTGTGTGCATCAAGTGAGTCAACATCGACAGATTTGAATACAGAAATAACGACAAATTTACATCAGGACTATTTCTCGTCGGTGGAAATGACTTGTTCACGACCATTGCGACTAAATGGAAACCTGGCTTAAAACAGCAGTGTATAGATTTGTCTAGATCTTCATGTTACGTCTTTAAAAACCGCTGTAATAATGCACGTTTCGTTTTAGAGTCGACATCGATGCGGTAATATCTCACATTATTCCTCTTAGCAAGTTTGAACAGGTTTGTAAACAATTTTTAATTTTGCATGCTGATATCACAATATAAGTGAATTAGCTTGTATGTAGGTTAAATACTTAGGTAGTGTACCTACAAGCCTATGTACTGATAATTCAGTAAACGTTCATCTCTTCTCTGGTGCCGTCAACGTGGTGCCGTCACCCCAGCTTGACTGTATCACTGTTGGTACGGAGTGTTTTATCATGCATTCGACCAACGAGTGTTAACTACAACATCTTGTGCATGAGAACGAAATTGATGCTATTAAATCAATGTTTTCACAAGAAACTTATAAGTACTTGGTTTAGTGCATTTGTTTAACTTACGATGTTGTCTTGTTGTCGTACTGGCTTTCGTTGGAGTAATTCGGGGCTTCCACAGTTGAAGGAATTTCCTACAAAATGACAATGAAGAGGGAGGGAGGGACTGTGTTGATATGATATATTATGCAGTCTTTTCGAAAGTTCCTCCCGCCCTATGGAGATAGTTATTTCAAATATGTGGCTTTAGAAGCCCGCTACAAAATGACAACGAAGAGGGTGGGAGGGATCTGTGTTGATGTGATATATTATGCAGTTTTTTCGAAAGTTCCTCCCGCCCTAGGGGGATAGTTATTTCAAATATGTGGCTTTAGAAGCCCGCTATACCCATATAGACAGGCTGACGAATTAAAAGATCAAGTGAGGCTGTCAGGTCAGCAAGTTACTCTCGTGTGCGGATAGCTTTCGTGAGGAATTCGCCTCGAGAGGCAAGTTACTCTCGTGTGCGGATGGTTTTCGGGCTGAGCTAACTGTCTCGCGAGGTCGTTAGCTCAGCTGATACCTCTCGTGTGCGGCGGGCGTAAGGATCTGTTGACAAAGGTCTTTTGACTCGCTTAGCTGAGATTCAACGGAGCGTAAAATTACTTCAAGGTATTGAAATGTTTAGATAACATGGTTCTGGCTGTCATGTAGTCATTCCTACAATATATCATATCTTATTAACACTGATCCCAATCTCTCTCACTCCCTCCCTCGTGCTTGTCATTTTAAAGAAATTTTCTTACATTGTGGAAACCCTGTTAACAAATCATCAGATCGGCAATCTAAATTTTGTACTACATTCTTTTGATAGGCATTCGAGTTGTTGCTTTCTGGAAAAGCATGTAAGATTTTAATGGATCCACAAGAATAACATTTCATGTTATTACATAACATTTTTACCATATATAATTTATTTGAATGACACTGGAAAATTTTCGAAAATCCAAGGCATCGAAATTGCATTGAGAATACACGGGCACTTTATACAGTTGCCATGAAGAGGAAACTGTAAGTTTTGTCTTTTTAACGTTGTATTTCCTATACCAATTCCATATTATCCATCCAGCTTGGTAAATGCACAAAGTCAGAGTTTTTTGAGTGGCGCTTATGTGGGTTCTATTATGCTATTGTCTTTACCACGAAGCCTCGCTTTTGTGTAAAAAAAAATATTGCATTAAAGTGTGGCTTAGTGCTAAAGACAATAATCTAAAGGCTCTGTTACACGGTGCAATTTTCATGCAACTTGCAACACAATTCTACTTTTGAGTTTAGTACAATTCAAAGTAATGGACCGCTGAAACTTCTTCTCAGCTAATCACTGAGCTCCATTTCACCGGAAGTGACGCTTGCCATATAATCATTGAACTCCAATAAGACTGGTGTTTTATAATGACAAATCAGTTCATTCCATACGTCAGAAGCGCATTGGATCCGACAAAGTTAGATCATGTCATTCATGTGAACGGAAAACTTAAAATGACTGAACAATTTCTTTTGTAGAATTTAGTTAACGTTGTTCTTTTTACGTTGTAAGATTTCCAAATAGGATAACACGAATAATGACATCACATTGCATAATGAGTTTTTAAAAAATCAGTTGTCTTGAAGAACAATGACACAACATATCCTCTAACAATTACTCTTGTAAACAGTGCATGCATGTGTGAATTCATAACTGGTTAAGGGCGTAAACCTTGTTTTTAGTTTTTCAAGTTGAAATATTATTTTCTATTTGAACTTATTATACGGTGTGGTGTCATTAGTTGTGTTATTTGGAGATGTTACAAAGTTCATTATCTTACAGAAAGAAGAACATTAAAATAATTGCACAAAAGACGTTTTTCAGGCTTTCTTTACATTGCAACCATAAAAATCACGGGTGAAATGAAATTGGAAACTAGTTTCATATTAGTTCCGACTATTTTCTTTCAAGAGTTAGCCCTGACACACTCTATGAATTGTTTTGTAAGACTTTGATCTAAGCTTATTTCAAATATTGAACTTCATTTTCCAGCTGTTTGCACCTCAAGTGCTCGGCCATAATGTAATCTTTGTAACGGAATGTACAGCTGATTCAATAAACGTCGTTTTCTGACAACTTGAACGCGAGAGCGATGATGGTTTGGAAAAGAATATTATTATATTCTTAATTAAAGTCACAATGCTGCCTTCAGAGCAAGATCGCCGATATTCTGTTGTGGAGATTGCAGATCCCTTTTTCTCATGCAAAGTTACTTTCTGGAGTTTTTAGGAGTAAATAACAATAACCCATCATCCTTCGCGCGCCCAAGGTTTAGATCTGTCTCAAAAAGACAGGCTTTACAGAATTATTCGTTTACCCTAAATATTTCAAGTTTGCAACAAATTAAGTTGTATTAACTGTTGTCATGTAAACTTGAATGCTAGAGTACTTTCAAGGTTCGAGTGTCTTATGCTGCACTTATACAAAAATAGTTGTGCTAAATAACACACCCAAGGCGTGCTTAAGAACACGGCATACGTGTTATATAGCATACAAGATGTGCTGCGAAATAAAAAAAAGGAACGGCAGTTTGGCGAACTGAAAAAACGGCATGGTAGAAAACGCGGGTAGCGGATTACGGACTACGGATTACGGACTATGAACACAATCTTTAAAAAAATGCGAAGATGTTGCCTTCACTCAATAAAACATTTTGGCATTTTTTACATATGTTTTCAGGCTTTAGGTAAATAAAAGATTTTAACAAAATTTCAGCATAGGTCACCAGACAATTTGATAACATGGCGCTATTTTGTGAAAATTAATGACGTTAGCAATAACTAGGATCCTCGTTACGCGTAGTGACTATGTCACGCAGCTAGGAATTTTATGTTTTTTGTGCGCTTTTATTGGCTTTGATAGGATAGTCCGCTACCCGCGTTTTCTACCATGCCTACTGAAAACAAACTTTTGAGAACACGCTTAGTGAAAGAGTCAAGGTCAATTTTACATATTTACTAAAATTCCAATTTTGATATTTTGGTATTTGGTCATTACTCATTATTGCAGTCTCGAAACCAGAGCCCGCGATCCCGATGGGTCTTCATTGCTGTGATCCTCGTTCCCAGTCTCCAGTTGCGAGATTGCCGTTTGCCGCAATTTATTGCAATTTATTTTATTTTATCACAAATTCACTATTTTGTTTGAAATATTCAATATGGCGGACAAAAGTCAGAGAACAATGAAAGCGTTGGTGAAAGAAGCGGAAGGTACCTCATATAAATACATGGATTATCCCGTATCAGAGCCAGGCGAAGGAGAATTACTTGTCAAAGTTACTAAAGTATCAATTTGTGGTTCTGATCTTAATTTATATTTATGGAATGAAGGTATTGCATTTTATATCATGTATTGCGAAATATCACTCGTCTGACCTCACTCTCATTAATGATTGTGCAAGAAAATTACATAATTTGCAAAACGAGATCCTAGTGCAAAAAAGTCATTTCTTCGGAGATTGTGATTTTTTTAAACACCCTGCATAGTGCATACTATCACCACTACTCCACTAGTCTACTGACACCAGCAGCCCAGCACTACCAAAAGTCGATCTGCAAACTCCTCATGTGCGATTTTAAATGGCACCTGTGAATGGATGGGAGGAATCAAAATTGAAAAACACATCAATGACAGCATCCCCACAACTGAATGCATGAGTTGCAATTATGACAATTATAATCATGTGGACACTTAACTTTTTTGAATGGCAGCCATTCAAATGCCATTCGAATCATTCTCTGACTGGAAAGTATGCAAACTGTGCAAGTATGATTTCAAAAAAAATACTAGTAAATATGTAGGAGACATCAAAATTGAACGCCTGATATTTCGGTTGCATCATACAAACTTTTCACACTGGAATCATTCTTTCGGCAAAAAATCTCTCTCCCCCTCATCCCCTCCCTATTCAATGTCTGCCCCCCTTTCCAACAGTTGGAGGGAGATGAACATTTCCGAAGGGTCATTTCTACAGAAATAAATTTCAGTTTCTTCCATGTGCGCAATGTCCACGATAATTATTGCAAGGATTATATATGCATATTTTAATTATTATAACAATATAAAATATAAATCAAAAGTTCTCATGAAAAGGTAATAGTGTATGGGAAAAATCAGCCTTTAATCATCTTGACATTAAAACATTGACTGCAGGAAGTCCTTAGCACATAATGTACAAATGCACTGATTTTAATGATCTCTTGATTCTTGAAAAACTATAGAATTAAAGCATGTTCATAAATGCATATGCTTCAAGGTAGCTAAAAACTGGTAGTAATTAGTCTCTGATATTTTTTCAGTTGCAAAAAAAATTGCAAAGCTTCCGTTTATCCCAGGCCATGAATGTGTTGGGGAGGTGAGTTTTGAACGTTGAGTTTTGAAAGTTTTGGTGAGTTTTGAACTATCAATTCTATATCAATTTACCAATGTCACCCCCTCTATTCTTTTATGCCCCTCCAACTCAGCTTGCAATAATATATAATGGTTAGTACAGGGATGCCGGAGGTTTTACAGGGCAAAGGGTGTGCACAGTTTCTTATGAAAAGGGCATATATTTTTTAGGAAAGGGGCAACATACTTAGTTATTGGAAAAAGCGCAATTGCACCCCAGTTGCGCACCTGTAAGGTTGTAAAAGCGAAAGGCAACAGGTGCAGTTGCACCCTCTGCACCTGTGGTTCCGGCATCTCTGGGTTAGTAGTTGCTGAATAAAAAAATAGCAATTTCTTTATCTAATTAGATTGTCAAAGTGGGACCAAGTTGTTCTGACTCATTTAGAGTCGGTCTTCGTGTCTGCTGTGAGAATCACTATTTCTGTGGAAAGTGCTATCAGTGTCTACATGGTACTGTAAATTTTGTGTATTATTATCAAAATTTCTAATACTATGTGTATAAAAAAATGTAGACTCCTGGTAAATGTATTCTAGGTATGCGTGTTTAAATCAACAAGGATATCTTCATCTTTCTGTTGGGAATCAAGACAAATATATGAATATGCACCCTCCCCCCATGCACCTTCTCCCCATGCACCTTCTCCCCATGCACCACCCTCCCCCCATGCACCTTCTCCCCATGCACCTTCTCCCCATGCACCCTCCCCCATGTACCCTCTCCCATACACCTTCCCCCATGCACTCTCCCCCATACACCTTCCCCCCATGGATTCTCCCCCATACACCCTCCCCCCATGGATTCTCCCCCATACACCCTCCCCCCATGCACTCTCCCCCATACACCCTCCCCCCATGGATTCTCCCCATACACCCTCCCCCCAATGCACTTTCTCCCATACATCCTCTCCCTATGCACCCTCCCCCATGCACCCTCCCCCATACACCCTCCCCCCATGCACCCTCGCCCTATGCACCTTCTCCCCATGCAGTCTCCCCCATACATCCTCCCCCCATGCACCCTCCCCATACACCATCCCCCATACACCACCCCCCATGCACTCTCCCCAATACACCCTCCCCCCTGCACCCTCCCCCATACACCCTCCTCCCCATGCACCCTGCATGTATCGATGATAAAAAAAAGCCTAAAAAAGAGTCGGATTCTCCTAACCAAGGTTTAACAATGAATCAATTACCTTTTTCTTATCGACCTGTTCGGAGAGGGTATTCAAAATACTATATATTAACGCTGCGAAGAAGAAATTTATTAATCTCCGTTTTATGACTAAGGAGACTATATAATGTATTTTCAATGCATGTCATATGCTATTTTTCTAGGCCAAGAAAATATTTGCCAAAATTTAAAGCAATATGGCCTTGGAAAAGGCACAATCCATGGAGGTAGGGCCCGGTAGCATACTATAATCCTTCTAATAAGACTGGCCTTCTAATAATTCCTGGCCGTTAAAAGCCCTTTTAATCTCTTATGAGCCCTGAACTTTGACGAAGCCAGACGTCTCTTAACGTGTAAAAATTCACCAGTGCTACTGTACAATATATAATGTTCGCCAAACAATGTTGCAGCATCGAGTTTGACCAGTCAGAACAACGTTGTTCACGCCTAATGAACGAACAATGGTTGTTGCGATGAAAAATAGTTGATGAAACATGCTTGGTAAATGCTGTCAGAACGAATGTTGTTCGGTGCTGTCCATTTATCAAGTGTTCATTAATCCCTGCCTTACTCATGTGCCTTGGGTGACAGAAATTGGCCTACTTATTACAAAAAAATCTGCCTCTAAAACTTTTTGCTCCTTTAGTATGCTCTAAACTATTCTCTATAAACTAATAAGCTCCATCTCTTCAGTGTTTCTTCCTTCTCTGAAAAATGATTCTTCATTCTCTGAGTTCATTGTACCCATATACCTCCGTATGTCCTCAGGGAAAACGGTTCGGCATGAAAAATAACCAGTCACTGATTAAAGTCGACAGTGTCTTTGGCAACTTCTGCTGATTAGATTTAATAAAATTTAATAATGTAAAATGTATTCGTCCATCAAAACCATCTACAATATGAAACGACGGTAATTTTCTTATTTTAATAGGGTGCTGCCAATATACCATTATTCCCTCTCGTTACGCTTATGTTGTAAAGACAGATATTTCAGACAACGCCGCTTGTCTGTTGGAACGTATGTGTATATCTTTATTTGTTGACCTGGGGCCGGTCGTTTGAAAGGCGTTTAGCTTAAAAATACTCTCATACATCTTGTGAAAGACTGAACTTGAAATTTATGCACTAAAAGTTAAAGTATTCATTACATCGAAATATTTTAGCTCAATTGTTCAATATTTGAATAACTGATTTTGTTTCCATGTTGAACTTATCCGTCGATAAGCTAAACGCTTTTCGAACAACTGGCCCCTGTAAAAAAATGGTATATATATTAAAACTGTTTTTTGCATCGCTATCTTTTAGCATTTGGAGTTTCGCATTTGGCAATGGAAAAGCTTGAACCAACTAACGAGACTGTTCTAATTCAAGGTATAGTTATTTGCTTTGCGCGTGAACGAAAATGATTCAGATTATCTGAGAACCAGACCTATATAGTCCAAGAAAATAATTATGTAGAGATTACTCAGTTTCCTTCTTAACCCCGCACTTTAGGATGTGGTCCAATAGGTCTGATGGCAACGGGGATAGCAAAGGCAATGGGCGCGAAAAAAATGTAAGAAATATAAAGAGCATTTTTTGTTTGTTGTTTCGTACTGTTTGCTTAAACGCTATGCAGAGCCTCCTACCCAGACACTTTATTGGGAAAAATATCGCTCCCGACTACTAGTATATAAAAAGAGTGACTAAGCTCCCGGCTACTAGAATATAAAGAGAGTGACTAAGCTCCCGGCTACTAGTATATAAAGAGAGTGACTGAGCTCCCGGCTACTAGTATATAAAGAGAGTGACTAAGCTCCCGGCTACTAGTGCTCCCCTTCCCCACTGTGCCCTCATGAAAGTATGAAAGACCCTGGGTACGAGGTTACTGATCCCTATGCGTAAGAGATCAACACGATGTTTGATGTTTCCAACACGGTTCCGTCTGGTTCAGGTTTCCATTATCTAAAGAAATTTCCTGAGAAAAGGGCTCCTCTATCCGGGCGATCTCGCTCATATTTTAGCCAATCAGTGCCCAGAAGGGTTGTCCGGCAAAATAGAAGTGCATTCTAAGTATTTATCGATAATATCTATTGTTATTCTTTATGAAACTAATCGAAAAATGTGATTATGTTTAGTTATAAGAACTATAGTTTTGACATAAATTTGACCAAGAAATGGATTTTTATTTGACAACTAGTCCCACTCCTTTTCCGCCATTTCAGATCACCTGGATAGGGTAGGGGTCATTATTAATGGGATAAATCCAGTGAACTCAAATAAGACTGGAACGCTTACTCTCTGAATTTCCCTCACAATTTTCACAGGAAAAATAAAAATTGCCGCCATTTTACCTGCGAAATTTCCGCGTGGAGGCCTGGATCATAGCTACAAGAAAGGCTTGAGTGTCCGCCATCTTGACTTCAAACTTCCGACAGAGTGAGCGTTCCAGTCTTATTTGGGTTCACTGGATAAAATATGCATTCTTTTCAAACAAATTGTTTTTCTCTGCTCACCAATTATGGAAGTTGTGACCTGGTTAAAAAACTGCATGTCATGGCTCCGTTGTTTATCAAACGTGAGCTTGCTTCACGATTCAACGAGATAAGGGAGTGGCTGTAGTTAGATTTCTGGAAGAGTGAAAGCGAAGTACAAACCCGTGCTAAAGGTACAATCAACGTGCGTTAGCCGCATAAAGTAAACTCAATAATCGACTTATCCAGTCTCATCCAACGTACACTTCACCGACAAGGCAGAATTGTTATTATTTTTATACATTGATTCATTGACTCCTACATTGATTTTCTACCAGCATTGCCACGGACATTATCGAATGTAGGCTGGAGTTAGCCAGGAGAATGGGTGCCAACGTTCTGGTGAATGGTAGAAATGAAAATCTTGCTAAAGTGGGTACGTATTACCAAATGAAAATGTTTTTTGCAACGTTTAAAAGTTAAAACAACAGCAATGAAGATTTTCTTTATAACCCTTGCTGAGTCTATAAATGATGCTAATGACCAAATATTGATAGGCTGCCTCCGCCTCCAACCTCATAGCCAAGTCTTTACTCTGGGTACGAGGCTGCCCCCGCCTCCAACCTCATACCCAGGGTCTTTACTCTGGGTACGAGGCTGCCCCCGCCTCCAACCTCATAGCCATCTTAATTCTTTACAATTTTTTTACATGAAGTTTTGAGGGAAACAAATGGCGATGGAGTTGGCAGGATACTTGAAGCAAGCGGGAACGCCGACTTGATGAACAATTGTTTCAAATTACTTAGGTATGGTTAGGTATGGTTAGAGTTAGTATCACTATGGATGGTAGCATAATGTATTTCCTATATCATCTATTTCCTCTTCTAGGAAAGGAGGTGTAGTTGTGCTCGTTGGATTAACCAAGGTAATAGAATAACACCTATGCCTAGAATAAAACCGATTGAAAAAACCACTATCCGGTGGATAGCGCTAACCAGCTTTCATACAACTGGCCTCTGTATTCTAAAAGCTCACTTACGCTCAAACTCTCTGAGTGGGAGATTTCAGTCTCAACGTACTCCATTGTATTTCCACGTGAGTATGTGCTTGATCTTCAGTGTTTTACCTCAAATATTTCCATTCAAAATGAAAGGACATTTTCCCTTTCATTTTGAATGGGAATGTAAATGGAAATGTCACACTTAATAAGCGAGAGTGTAAGTGGGCTTTTAGAAAAGTCAATCTTTTCTTCTGACAATCAAGTTAAAGTCAATCTTTTTTTTTGACAAGTCAGTGCTTACTAATTTGCTTTTTTACTATTTCACGGTTTAATTATATTTTTTAGAAAGCACTTCATGTTGACGAGTTTCTTCAAGACATTTTGTTTAAATCTTTGACCATAAAAACTCTTCACGGACGAAACATTTTCTCAACATGGGAGAAGGCTGAGAAAATGTTGCATCAAAAAGAGTAAGAATTTTTATAATCATGAGTTTAAAAGTGCACCACATATATTTTTTTACCTAGTACAAATCATTCGGTCTGTTAACCCAGGTCCCCATTAACTTGCAAATGTTGTAATTCACACCTTGACGTATCAATTTTTTGGAAAGTCTATGGCATTCATTAATGAACCGAAAGGTTAGCAGTGAAAATATACATAGTGCACCTCCATAGTGACTCATGAACGCGCATTTATTATCACTTTTCCTTCTTCGCTTACCATGTCTGAGCTGTTTTTAACAATATAAACTGTAAGGATTTTAGACATTTTCAGGCACACCCCTCCACCGCATTAACCCCCTCCACTGCTTTGATCCCCCTCCACCGCTTTGACGCTTCTCCACCGCATTGACCCCCCTGCACTTCTTTGACCCCCGTCGACTGCTTTGACCCCCGTCGACTGCTTTGACCCCCGTCCACTGCTTTGACCCCCGTCCACTGCTTTGACCCCCGTCCACTGCTTTGACCCCCGTCCACTGCTTTGAACCCCCGTCCACTGCTTTGACCCCCGTCCACTGCTTTGACCCCCGTCCACTGCTTTGACCCCCGTCCACTGCTTTGACCCCCGTCGACTGCTTTGACCCCCGTCCACTGCTTTGACCCCCGTCCACTGCTTTGACCCCCGTCCACTGCTTTGAACCCCCGTCCACTGCTTTGACCCCCGTCCACTGCTTTGACCCCCCGTCCACTGCTTTGACGCCCGTCTCCGCCCACTCTAAACGCCTTTAAATGCGGCTCGATATTAATTAATACATTTTGGGAAAGTATTTTTTCGTCTAATGCCTGATTTCCATTTCCGTGTCGTAAACATGTCAAGGTGGCTGATGTGATAGAATATTTCTGTGTGTCCCACTGCATGACCTATATATATATTCTAGTATAGGTCAATGGTGTGTGCATCAAGTGAGTCAACATCGACAGATTTGAATACAGAAATAACGACAAATTTACATCAGGACTATTTCTCGTCGGTGGAAATGACTTGTTCACAACCATTGCAACTAAATGGAAACCTGGCTTAAAACAGCAGTGTATAAATTTGTCTAGATCTTCATGTTACGTCTTTAAAAACCGCTGTAATAATGCACGTTTCGTTTTAGAGTCGACATTGATGCGGTAATATCTCACATTATTCCTCTTAGCAAGTTTGAACAGGTTTGTAAACAAATTTTAATTTTGCATGCTGATATCACAATATAAGTGAATTAGCTTGTATGTAGGTTAAATACTTAGGTGGTGTACCTACAAGCCTATTTACTGATAATTCAGTAAACGTTCATCTCTTCTCTGGTGCCGTCAACGTGGTGCCGTCACCCCAGCTTGACTGTATCACTGTTGGTACGGAGTGTTTTATCATGCATTCGACCAACGAGTGTTAACTACAACATCTTGTGCACGAGAACGAAATTGTTGCTATTAAATCAATTTTTTCACAAGAAACTTATAAGTACTTGGTTTAGTGCATTTGTTTAACTTAAGATGTGGTCTTGTAGTCGTACTGGCTTTCGTAGGAGTAATTCGGGGCTTCCACAGTTGAAGGAATTTCCTACAAAATGACAATGAAGAGGGAGGGAAGGACTGTGTTGATATGATATATTATGCAGTCTTTTCGAAAGTTCCTCCCACCCTATGGAGATAGTTATTTCAAATATGTGGCTTTAGAAGCCCGCTATACCCATATAGGCAGACTGACGAATTAAAAGATCAAGTGAGGCTGTCAGGTCAGCAAGTTACTCTCGTGTGCGGATAGCTTTCGTGAGGAATTCGCCTCGAGAAGCAAGTTACTCTCGTGTGCGGAAAGTTTTCGGGCTGAGCTAACTGTCTCGCGAGGTCGTTAGCTCAGCTGATAGCTCTCGTGTGCGGCGGGCGTAAGGGTCTGTTGACAAAGGTCTTTTGACTCGCTTAGCTGAGATTCAACAAAGCGTAAAATGACTTCGAGGTATTGAAATGTTTAGATAACATGGTTCTGGCTGTCATGTAGTCATTCCTACAATATATCATATCTTATTAACACTGATCCCAATCTCCCTCCCTTTCTCGTGCTTGTCATCTCAAAGAAATTTTCTTCAATTGTGGAAACCCTGTTAACAAATTATCAGACGGACAATCTAAATTTTTGTACTACATTCTTTTGATAGGCATTCGAGTTGTTGCTTTCAGGAAAAGCATGTAAGATTTTAATGGATCCACAAGAATAATATTTCATGTTATTTCGTAAAATTTTTACCATATATAATTTATTTGAATGACACTGGAAAATTTTCGAAAATCCAAGCATCGAAATTGCATTGAGAATACAGGGGCACTTTATACAGTTGCTATGAAGAGGAAACTGTAAGTTTTGTCTTTGTTGCTTTGTATTTCCTATACCAATTCCATATTATCCATCAAGCTTGGTGAATGCACAAAGTCAGAGTTATTTGAGTCGTGTTTATGTGGGTTTCTATTATGCTATTGTCTTTACCACGAAGCCTCGCTTTTGTGTAAAAATAATATATTGCATTAAAGTGTGGCTTAGTGCTAAAGACAATAATCTAAAGGCTCTGTAACACGGTGCAATTTTTTATGCACCTTGCAAAGCAAGTCTACTTTTAAGAGATGTAAATTTGGGAACTACAAAACTCTTGTGTTTATTACACTCCACTGGATGTTTCTAACACTTACGTTTTAAAGACTTCTCACTAAGTTAGTGCTATTAATCCCCGAGCGGGCGCGGAGCGCCTGGGAGGGTACTAATTCCGCTCGGAGATTAGGAAATACACCCGGAACCCGGTAGAACATAGGCGAATCCAAAGTTGTCTTTGTCATGGACGGTCAACGTTGGGTGGTTTTGTAAGTTATGCGCATGCGCGAGTAACGTCTGGTCACAGAGTACTACATTAAACATATATCATTAAACTGTGGTCTGGTAATCAACGAACGTTCTGATTGGCTAAGACAGAAAGTTTGTATTTCAATGAGAACGTCAGCAATTTATATTAACTGTCATTTCGTAAACATTTTTGAAAAAGCGTTTCATAAACTTTGTGCAAAGAAAGTAAAACGAGAAGAAACATGATATATGAAGCATGACAGTTGGCAAAGATGAACGTGGATACGGTCAAGACAAAGCCGTGTAAGATAAATAATTCATAATCTGCAAACTTATAAATGTTTTCAAAGACAAAGGGTACGTGTGGGAATCCCGAAACATCGAGTTTGGATCCGAGTTCGAGTTCGAGTTGAACTTCGAGTTAAATATTAAATTTCGCGTTACCCTAATCACTAATGAAGCAAAGTAATACACTAATATATACATGTCAGTGAATGTAATGTGTTGTAATCGTTTTCGGCATTTCGGGTTTTTTCTGAGCTGCTCCGACTCTTGTTTATTTTCTGAAGTTCGGAACAACGTGCCTGAGCTTTGAGCGAAATGGCGCAAAAAAGGTATGTAAATTATTGAAAATTAAACATAAATATTTATTATTTTCTATTCGTACCCGTTGTCATTATGTCTAGCTGTTTATGTCCGGTCTAATATAGACTAAGTACAGTTACTTAGTTTAAAAGTCCTATGCAATCCCAAAGGCAAAGAGGAATAAAATATTTTGCTCTTTTTTAGAGAAATCTTGGGGGGTTAGTGCTGTTTATTTATAACTAGTTACCGTTGCAATGCAACGATTTACCGTTATCGTTACTGGAAAATTTAAGGATTACTTGTAACTAGATACTTTTAATCAAGTAATAGCTAAAGTAGTGGTGTGTGTGTTTCGGGAGGTTCCTAACCACTATTACAACTATAATAAAGACTGCATTTCGCATACTAACTCTCGCTAGAATGTGTAAAGTTTTTCGTGCATGCTCATCTACGAAGAACTCCGTCATCAATATATAGAATCCAAAAAGAACACGGATTTGTAGATATTTTGGAAATGTGCATTATATATAGAGGTAGCCGCTGCAAAGGAAATGGCGTTTAACACAGTAATTTTATGATTGTATATTAGCCCTTTTCCTATAAAACAAGAAAAAGCATTCGAAAAAGCAACTCGAAATATAACTCTAACTCTAACTGGAAATTTAACTCGAACTAAAACTCGAGTCCAAACTCGAGGGTACCTACCTCCCGGTACGTGTTTACTTTGCTATTTCGTATTTGTTTCGCGATAAGAATGAGCCGTATTTGTATTTTTATACTTTTCAGCTTTTTATGCCGTTTATTTGTTAAATTTTTTAGCTCAAATTTTATGTAAACGCATAAACCTGTGAAAGGCTATTACACCTTTGCTTTAACTTCAAAAAGTGTTTTTGAAAGTGTAATTTGAATTCTGGTATCAAAAATACACACTATATTTATAAAGTATTTAGAGATTACTTCATGGTTGGCGAGTGCGTACGATTTTTGTGCACGAGTTGTGAAGGATCGCAAAACGAACGAGTGAGCGCAGGGAACGAGTGAGTTTGCGATCCTTCGCAACGAGTGCATAATAAAAATCGTACAAACGAGCCAACCATGAAGTAATTTGTTTATTAAATGTGTATACGGAGATCAATTTGATAACGACACGCTTTTAATATACAAAAACACAGCGAGCAACAAAATCGAAACTTTATGCATGAAAACAGATTTATTACCGTTCAGTTTCTTTGTAATTTTGTTCAATAGAAGTTAGACATTCTTTCCGAAAGATTTGAGAATGTGCTGAATGTAAAAATATCTTGAATATGAGAATTATGTTTTGAATCTCACTCCTATATTTCGACGCCATCTTGAAAGAAAATGTAAACAAATTGCCGCCAAAATAACATACGACAATTTTTCACGTGTGAAGAATATCGTATACGTCCAATCAAAAGCCGTGTATGGCATTTTTTCACACGTGAAAAACATCGTACGTCCAATCAAATTGCATGAAATTAATTTGCACAGTGAAATACGATTTTTATTTCATTCTGCTGTGCATAAATCTCTATACACATATAATAAAAAACTTTTAGCCGCCGGCGTCGACTGCAAAATACAGAATAAAATAACATTTGAAGTTTTTTCTTTGTCTGTGAAGATTTTTTATTGTTTTAATCGTTTGAAACTTCGATTTTAAACCGTTACTTAATTGCTGGCATTTTGAACGGGCAATGTTTACACTAGCTTTATGATTATTTTTGTATTGAATGATGGAAACATTAGCTATAATATACTCGGTAAAATATAATAAGACTGATTTGAGTTTTGTGTCATTTCATAATATAAGTTTAGGTCAGGTTAACTCAGGAAATTGTGTACTTGGTTTGAAATAGCGAGGGGTTGCTGCATGCATGTATTTCTAGTGTATGTTTTTAATTAACATATAGAGCCATAGCTTCCGACTAATAATATTAGTACTGGTTACACCCAGCCTCCGGCACCAGCTGATGGCGTCATATGTCAAAACAAAATACTTCATGTTACTTGTCGAAAATTGCGTAAAACTGCTGCAAAATATTAAATTAACATGCAGTTAGAATCATCGGGGTCGTATCGAGCGAGGTAGTGTGTGCTGACAACCACCACTTTTTAAAAATAGTCGTTACATTTCATTGGCGTCAATCGAGCGTTAATTAGTCAACTATCGGTCCTCCGGCAGGAATCGAACCCACGCTTTTGCGTTGACTCATTTTTCCATTAACTGTTCCAGGCTTGAATTTAAAGTGTGTATAATTCCACTCGAAATTAACCCCTTTAAACCTCTATTACGTAATATATTAATCGCTCAACAAAGTTAAATAGTAATTTAAAATTGCATCGAAGATATACATTTTGCCCATGTGAAAATGGCTTTAGTTAATATAGGTAACTTAATAGGCTACTTAACTTAGGAAGCGTTATGCGTCGGCAGCAAGATAGTTGCTATGAATGCTACAGATATTATTGCGACATTAAAAACTGTTCCATAAAAATACCTTTTGGCGAACCATGTCTCAAAGATGAACGGTCCTAGGAGAATTCCGATACGACCTGCAGAGACACAAGTGCCCGAACCAACGCCACGAATTTCTGTCGGGTAAACCTGCGATACAAATACGATTAGGAGAGATTCGTCTGGTGAAAGAAGGCCACGACATAACATTGCGATTATGAGTAATGGCATTCTTTGGTTTACGACGAACAATGCAATGATCTGTAATAGGAGTGTCAATAACACAAGTGTTAAAAGCACTCTTTTAACTGTGAAAACGTAAGAAATCGTAGCGGCTAAGATAATGAACATAATTTCTGGCAAGTTCATCCAGGCCATAATGGCATACATGTGACTGCTTGTTATATCCTCGTGTTGCAAACCAGTTGTCGTAGATGTATAATTTTGGCTGCCTGCCACATCAGACGAGGTGTATATCATGACATAATGCGCTAGGAAGGCGCTAAAAGACACGGTTAAGGCGCATGTTGTGATTTTCCAATAACCTGATCGAAATAACTGTGTAAAATCTGCCCTCTGTGTCTCGGTATGGTGTTTCCGAAGTATTGTGTCGCTGAAATCCATTTCAGGCGCGAAATCTTGTAGAATGTTCAAAGCTTTGTGCTCGTCTCCGGCTGCAAGGTAAAAATGTGGTGATTCCGGAAGAAATACAATACTACCGATAAGGACAACTGCGCTCGGAAAACACACGGTAGCCAGAGCCCAATGATAACCGATCACCGAAAGCTCCATTGAAACAACAGCCGAAAGTAGAAATCCCACTGGCCAGAAGACAACTGTTAATACGGAAAACACAGATTGGTATCTTTTAGGAAATAATTCCACTATCACAACATAATTCTGAAACACTATAGACAGTCCACAGCCAACGAAGAAAAGGTTTATCCAAAGCCAGTAATAGTTCGTTGAAAACGCGCTCACACATGAGAAAACAAGTATGAACGCGGCACCGCCGATAACTGAACGCTTTCTACCGTATTTGTCCGACACCCAACCCCAAAATATTGTCCCAACGCTCTTTCCGGCCGATGTAGAGATTGTCAATACCCCAGCCATAATTGAAGAGATATTCCAGTCTGGTTTCAAACTCGGAAGTATAGCGGGTAATATGGCTGTTCCCAGACCACATGTCATATATACGAGGCAAAGCAATACAAACACTTTCCAATGAAGAAGCCTCAATCCTATATCATCCAGAATCTCGTCGATTGAGCGAGATTTGAAAAGATTGTCTTTCACGGCTGCCTCTTCGGCATCTGGAATATGTTGGTATTTGACTTCGACCTTCGTACTTTGTTTGGGTTTCAACTCATCAGAACTTCTCGCTTCAGAAAGACGCATAGTTGGCAAAAACTGTTTTAATTTGGTCCATAGTCGTTCCATTTTCAATTGCTTGGTGGGTTCATAATATGAATAAAGATACACGCTTGAGCGGCCATGTTACCATGGTATAGTTAATTTGCATACTAATTAGTTGGAATCAGTGATGACACCATCAATGCACTTCAAAATCCGGTGATTCGCTACTTGGGGACTCTTCGAATTACAAAGAAATGCATGCATGCGTGATAATTATTCTGCCAAATATTCTGGCATGCATGTGACATGTCGCCATTGAATTCACCACTTGCACCGTGGGCGCCACGTGTACTTGACACGTGATCAAAAATGTAAACAATCGCAAAAGTTCGGACTTTACGGGTCACGCAAACTCTCACGCGATAGTATAGAAAACATTAGTACATTGCACGCAAATTGGGTTGTTCCGTAGTTTTTTCAAACTTGTGCTGTTCAAATTTTCTATTCTGTTTGATTAAAAAAGATATATATCTATATATATGATGTCGCGCGAAAACATAGATGATAAGTTCAAAGCGATGAGCGTGAAAGAGCTTCAAAAATATTTATCGGATCACGGCGTTACCGTAAGCGGCCATCTAAAACCTACTTTAATCAATATTGCATCTTCTGTCGAAAAAATGGGGTTGCCAGTTGATCCGAATTTTACAAAGGATGACCATAAAGAAAGTCTGGAGCGTCGATTATTTATTCATGATATTCAAATAAACGACCCGTTTACCATGAAAACAGAGAACAACTTCGTCCAGTCACCCCCATTTGGATTGTACGATATATTTAATCATTTAATATATCATTCCACCGTATATGATAAGCAAGGACTTGCTTCATACAAGTCATACGATGATTACAGACTGTTTGTAAACGGTTATGTCCATTCGTTACAAGCAACAACTTTACAAGATTGTGGAGTTCATGTGTACGTTGGTAAAGTGCAGCCAAGCATGAAATCAACAACTGACGACGGCAAAAGGTTTTACGAACTGTGGTTTATTTTAGAAGGTCGTGGACCAAATCGTGGTAGTGTTATAGATGCGTTTTGTACATGTAAAGGAGGCAGGGATGGTGGGTGCAAACATATAGCCGCTGCAATGTATTCGCTCGAGGATTTGTTGAACACCCGTGAGGAGGATAGCGTGACAAGCGGACCTTGTAAATGGACAAGAAAACCTCGCGTGAACACAGAGCCTTGTCCTGTGAAGGAGTTAAATATTACGAAGGATAGGATTGCACCTGCAGTTAAAGCAAAGAAAAGACCATACCAGTGGCTCCAAAATAAAGATTTTGATCCAAGGCAAATTCAGAAACCCGTAGACAACGAGGAAATTGCACGATTTACGTCGAGAATGAAAGAATTGAATCCTGGATCACCCCTCTTCCCACTGCTGAATAAATTATATTTATCAACAGATGAACCTTGCAAACCAACTTCACCTGCTTGTACCAAAGCACCACTGTCTGACCAGCAGAATAAACCATCTTTGGGTATAATGGCACAAAAAATTATCAAGTTACTCCATTTACACAGATCCCTAAGTCCAAATGATCTACTTGCATATTTGAAATTCAGTGATGAGGAAATCAAAAATATAAATGAATCCACTATTGAGCAATGGCAATCTGAGGACTGGTACATTCACAAACAAGGGTTCCTGTCGGCATCTAAATGCAAAAACTATTGCACCAGGCAAAACAGTATTAGAGAAGGAAAGTTTGATGGTTTTTGTAAACTGGCAAAACAGACTGTAAATGTTTCAGCTAGTGTACCAAGGGAAAAAATGCACAAGGACATCAATAATCCTAGGGAATGGGGATTAAACAATGAAGCAAATGCAAGAAATGCATACAAGAATGTACAAAGCCATTTGCATCATAATGTCCAACTTCAACATTGTGGCTTCATGATATCAGCTAAAAAACCTTTCATGGGAGCAAGTCTTGATGACATTAGAAGTTGTGGGTGCATAACTGGTTGCCCCAATGTAGCTGTTGAATATAAGTGTCCATGGTCGCATAAGGATAAAGATCCCAAGGCTGCATTTCTCTCAAAAGAAATTGGAGGTGTTATTGTCAATAGTAAATTATGTTTGCAAACAAGCTGCAAGTATTATTATCAAGTCCAGATGCAGATGTTTGTCAGTGGCTTGTTATTCTGTGATTTTGTTGTGTGGACAACAAAAGGAATTCAATGTGCAACAGTGCCATATGATGCTAATTTAGTTCATGAATGATGTAATTTTGCAATTGGAGGAGTTTTGGATAGGGCAGGTTGCACCTTTGCTGATATTAGAAGTTGAACATTTTACTGAAGAAGGTAATTACATATAATTTTGGAACTTATGCTTTAATTATTACTTCTTTCCAATAAAGAATATAGTTCTACATAACAAAGTTCTTGTAGAATATTGAAATTCCTTAATTTTCATCCATTTCAGATCACTCAAAATCTGAAGCGGAGACTGCCAAAGCGTGTGCAGGTTCTTGTGAAGATAAAGGTAACATTTCTCATTTGTGACTAATGATATAAGTTGTATACCTTTATCTTGCTTCTCTTTTTGTTCACACCTTGAAATTTATCAACAATAAATCTATGATTACAGGGCAAGATGGATCCATTTATATAATTGATGATGATTCTGAACCAATTGCAAATTCCTCCATTAAACTTAATGATGTTGAAATCAAAGAGCATGATCTATTTTCATTAACCCCTGGATAAAGAATTTATATGAATTATTAGTTGTCCTCATTGAATAGTATTTTAATTAGGTACCTGGATCACCTCTGCACTGTCAAAAATATTCCAAAAAAACACATGCAACTATCACATCATGTACTGAAGGTAAAATTATGTATGCATTCTGATATTTATGTTATTCCACACATCTCACTTCCAGCTTAATTTTTTATATAATAGGTTCCAAGGCAACAGATTGACAGTAACAGTTGTGGGATATATAATGCATTGTTCCTAAAGCATTTTTTAATGGTGAGCAAACATTTGAGTATAAAAATGAATCATATATATATTATATATATATATATATATATATATATATATATATATATATATATATATATATGTATATATATATATAATACATAATTATTCTTTTTCACTAGGATTTAGACATATATGAAAGTAACCCAAATCATTATGTCAATGAAAATCATCAATGGTTTACTTGTGAATACGCTGAAGAATACAGGAGACAAATTAAAAGGCAATGGGATATGCAGTTTTTACTCCACACTAAATTTGGAAAATCATAATTTTTGAGATCCAAAATGTAAATACAAAATATAACTGATTTCTATGTACATATAAAACAAAAAGATTCCTCATTTCTTCAATCTGTGTCTTTGATAATTGACGGTTGAAGATTGACCAGATAGGCACACACCTTAGCAATAGAATTTATGTAAGGCTTTATAGTAAGTGGAATTGGGCTTCTTAAAATTCTAAAAAGTTTTAGCTTTCTTATCATCCTCTCCACATGAACCCTCGCTCGAGCAATTCGACGGGTTAAAGTCACTGCTTGTTCAGATATTTTGTTCTTTGCCATGATTGGAGGAGCCAACAAGTATACATGGTGAAGGGCGAGGATGTCCTGAATGTTAAAACCTTTGTCTGCCATGACAACGTCATTAGCTTCCAAAGCATTAAGAAAACCACTTCTTTGCACTATAGATTTGTCACTGATTGACCCACTATATAATTCTGAAACAAAATTAAAATGACAGATCGGAGAGAGGGAAACCAACAGCTTGAAAGTATTTGCTGACTTGTATCCACTATATGTTCTACGTTGGCTTGATGGATTGGAAGGTTTTTCAATGTAGAATTCAGTACAATCAATTACAGCTCGAAGATTTGGATAAGGTCTGAAAACCTTTGGTCTTTGTAAACCTTCCATTTCAGTTAGGGTAGAAAAAGGTAACAGGAACTGTAACTCCTTCTCCAAAAACAGCACCCAGGTAGTGACTATTCTGCTACAGGTTGACTCAGATATTCCGAAATTGTTGGCCAGCATAAGTAATGTTGGACTTCGCTTTAACCTCACCAAAGTCATCACAAACTGTTCTTTAATACTCAGGGTTGTTTGTATAACTTTTTGCTATAGATAAATAAAATGGTCAAATATTAACAAGAAGACCAAGCAAAACATACCAAACTGGTATTTACTGACCTTCACATGCTTTTTATCCATCTTAGATTTTTTCAGTTTAACACTCTTTCGCCCTTTCCACAACTTTAGCTTCTTTGCCTTTGACTTCAAGTGACCGAGAAGCAATTGTATTGACTTATTTGTTAAACCTTGAATATAAATAAAATAATGAAGTATAATGTAATGCAATATATATAATTATTTATTCAAAGGATTATATATACAAACATACCTGTGTAGTGGAAAGTTTTTTTTGGATCATCTACCAACGCCATAAACAACTGCCTTCGTAACCGCTTAATATTTTTCAGTTCAGAGTCTTTGTACAGCGAAATGTCGGTCAAATCAATATCAGTCTACATAACAAAAATATGTGCGAGTATTGAGTCACTTTGACATAAATTGTAATCCATGTAAAATAAAATCCATCTGAGTGCTGAGAAATTAATACGTGTATTTAAATTCCATGTACGCAGTGTACAACAAACCTGTGTACATGTACTGTTATGTTTCACTGTACTTTTCGGCGGAGAACAACCCGAGTTAAATGCATTAAGTTCTTTGTTATTTGTTCTTTGTTTGTCATTAAGTTCATTAAGTTCACTATTAATAGTGTCTTCATTTGCATCAATCGCGTCGACTTTTTCCACGCTCAAATTTAATAAACTTTCGGCAAGAGATAATTCTTCCGAAGATCTCGCTGTGCTCGATGACAAATTCAAAAGTGCCTCAGCAACCTCCTTCTCAAAAGCGCGTTGTTTTCTCTTGGTAGGGCTACGTCGTTTCCTTTCAAATCGTTTAGCCTTAACAAAAACACGATTTTTAGTTGGGATGCGTTCATTAATGCATGTCGAAAATCATTACTTAATAATTTTATTTAATGCATATTATTACCTTTTCATTGCTCGAGACGGCGGACACAGGATCTGGGTTTTCCTTCGTTGGTCCATTGGTACCGATAAAATGTAAACTACAAATGTAGCTGTCTTTCGTGCAAACGAAATTATCACCTCGGTGACACGCGATTATCCATTTTCTTCTCCTCTCTGCCGATCGTACAATACCAGGAAAATGATAAAATTTAATTGGGTCATTGTTTTTATTTCTCTTATGCAGGTGCGGGTATCTTGAATCATTTTTACATGTTCCCCAAGCGCATCTTTTAGTTGCGACCATAGTCCGAACTTTTGCGTGCAATGTACTAATGTTTTCTATACTATCGCGTGAGAGTTTGCGTGACCCGTAGTCCGAACTTTTGCGATTGTTTACATTTTTGATCACGTGTCAAGTACACGTGGCGCCCACGGTGCAAGTGGTGAATTGCCTTTGTACACCTTTCGTTTATTAACTCGCATTGCGCATGCGCAAGCGAGTTCTTAAAACCAGGGCCGTTTTTTTTATTATTATGGTCGAGAATTTTGTCCCCCCTTGCAGGCACGGTACCTGCACAACCTTCACATATGGTTTGCTATGGTTTGCTTACATTTCCACGTCGCCGGACATTTACATCAAAGAGTAAATATAATATATATATTTACTCTTTGTTTACATATTACTTATTTTAGCTCGATCTCAAAGCTGCGGTTGTCACGAGAGCTAAATATTGTGAATTATATGGTTGGCAAGTACTATTCGATCTATTTATATTTTATAACGATCATCTTATAGTTATGTACAAATACTCACGATGAGCAGAATCAGTAAGCCTACACCGAAGGACGGCGATTTATTTATATTTTATAACGATATTCTTACATACAAATACTCACGATGAGCACAATCAGTTAGCCTACACCGAAGGACCGCTAGCGCAATTTTGAAACGGGCTTTAGTTTAGACGAAATATCTGGAAGTCTTGTTACAATTATTATACTGCCTTTCCCTGCTAGCAGAGGTTTCTATTATCTTTATATGATGGGATTTCAATCTGTATGGCGAAGTATTACAAAATTACGGATATTCAGCATCGACATCTTATTGTATTTGCGATGCAACAAGTATATGTGGACAATAACATAGTTAATGAGATCCATTGAATTTTAAACGACTATCCAAACCATTTACTTCAATAACTGTGGATGGACGTATTGCAAACTATATTACCCACGTAATAAATAAATATGCGAAGTAGTTTTCTCCTGTGCTTTTGTTTCAGACAAATAGCGGTATACAAGCATGACTTTATTACTAATACTCATACTGTACATATGTACTTCATTGTGGGTTGGGTAGAGAGATTTTATAGACATAATTCAAGAAACAAAATAATGGCTTTTGTCTCATGTTCATAATAATAATCATGCTCAATAAATCATTGCTTCAGTATAAAAACAGAAACTGGGCTATAAGATCTAATAGTGATAATATATTTACTTCCTTGTGGGTTGGGTAGAGGGATTTTATAGACATATTATTCAAGAAACAAAATAATGGCTTTTGTCTCATGTTCATAATATGTTCATGCTCAAATCTTTGCTTCAGTATATTTAAATAAACTGGGCCACAAGATCTAATAGTGATAATAGATCTTGGTAACAAGCTCTATAATTCTGCTTAATCAAGATTGTCAAGACAAACATTAAATCACAATCATAATATATAATATATATATATATATATATATATATGTATATATATATATATATATATATATATATATATATATATATATATATATATATATATATCATAATCACAATACCTACCCCAAACCTCAACTTGAGGTATGCTACTGGGGCAATGCTCAAAATTGAACATTTCCTGATCCACGACAATGCAAATTATCTGTATTTTAATGTAGTATCAGTATGATATTTATGAGTATGCATACTTGTGTAACAGGCAGAGGTCAATGTTATCTAACAAAGACAAAGAGACAAAGTACCGAAGAGTAAGCACCAAAATAAATGCTGTATCTCAAACTATTTGTACTTAACCACGAGGTTTCAATATCCAATGAATATATGATTAATAACAAAGTCTATTAACATTCAGAACACAATAAAAATTAATTATAATAACTTGTAGGTACACCACGTAAGTATTAAATACTGCAAAGCTTTCGGTCCGTTAACCCGGACCTTCATCAGTGCAATTACTTGAATACACGTTTGCGCGTCACTTAAATATCATGTTAGTCGTGATTAGTTTGCTCGCGCTATTAATTAAACGGTTTCATTTAATTATGTTCTAATTAATGCGCGCGCCCTAGACAAGTATTTGACTAAGAGACACCGAAAAGAGCACGCCACGTACTATTAAGTTGCTTTCCCTCTTGGACGATAGTTTGATGTTTATAAATTTCAATAGATTCTCTCATTTTACGAGAGACAGTAAACTTATCGTTTGCTAAAATGGTAGCATCGTTCCATTTAATGCGATGATCATAAGTCCATGCATGGTGAGCTACTGCAGACTTATCCAGTTTACCTTTCTCGCAGTTCGTCTTATGTTCTTTAAGACGTATTAACTAATCACGACTAACATGATATTTAAGTGACGCGCAAACGTGTATTCAAGTAATTGCACTGATGAAGGTCCGGGTTAACGGACCGAAAGCTTTGCAGTATTTAATACTTACGTGGTGTACCTACAAGTTATTATAATTACTAAAGTCGCCATGCAATCATACAAGAAAATTACAATAAAAATTGTTTATAATAAGAATATCAATGTTTTTGTCACAAAAGTTTAGTGGACAGGTATGAACAGTAAAACATGGGCAGTAAATGGCAACAGAATACAAAAATTTCACTATGCTAGTTTGCAGAATGGCCTACAAACATTAAATTACAGTAATAAATGTGAATTTTTTTCACTATCCAATGAATAATAGTTAATAACATAATTAAGATGTAAAATTGTATAAACAAAGCAAGAATATCAACTTTTTTTTCACATGCAAGTTTTAACCCCTCTAAAACAGTAAATTAATAACATAATATGGATTTATGCTGATATGAACACGAACACCAGGTTATGGTGAAAAAATTTATAACTAAGTCAAAAAGTTGTTAGTGCATGACACACTGACTGACAGTAGAAGTCAATTACGGTTAAAACTTAAATACTAAATAGCGACGTGCAGTACCTTAGTAATTACGTTGCTAATCACATTGTATCGGAAAGTAATGTTTTTAACAGCAATCAGCCTTTTCTCGATGTCATCCGAGGGAGTTGAACTCAAAATAATTTGAGGCTTCCCTATCAGCAGATCATTCATCACATCAGTGAATGCCGTAAGCCAAAGTTCTTTTTGATCTTCGCCTGGTAACTCCACAAGCAGCTCGATGGAGGCATTTGTTTTACATGTCGCCTTTCGTTGGCGTGCTCCACATGTTTTCGCACCGCACTTTAGGACTCGTCTATCCTGTAAAAGGCTCTTCAATTTTGCGATTACATGACCTGCAAGCGGGGAAAATGTTCAGCTTTCTCACCATCTCGAATCGGTCAACTGTGACTTCAGATTCTCTGCTTTCAAGCATCTCCGGACCCATTAAATTTTCAACAACTTGTTCTACTTCTTTAACGGTGGACGTGAAAGTTGTGGAAAGGTACGTGCTGCCCTGGAAGGATCTTGCCACAAGGTTGTCAAATTGGTAGCTTCTCCCACCAATAACCATGCCAATGAAACGATCCCACAAGTGTATTGTTGCTGTGCCGGTCCCATCCTCTAGCACGCAGTCATCTTTCACCAATGCGAAGTTCTCCGGCCCCTTCGTTTTCAGCGCTACTTGTCTGGGTGCTTCACAGCCCAAGGATATCGCTGCTTTGACACTGATCTTTTGATTTGGGCGCAAAGTTGAAACCTGATCCAGTGTAATGGGTGAAGAAACATCTAGCGAAGATCTTGAGGACGAACCATTCGACGGCTCTTGAGAATCGTTGTAGTCAAAGCCCACATCCGAATTGGGTGCAACACGCACACAGGATAGCTGGTTGAAAACAAGGTGACCGCCGTCATTCTCCTTCGCGTTGACCAGCACGACAGGGGATTTACTATTTTCTAACTCCTTTAGTTGTTTATGGCTTGACGTGTTGTATCCCAAGACTCTTCGCACTTTTGAAGGACTTGTTTGCAGATCGAAGTCGAACCAGTTGGTCTTCCCGCTTCTTGACAGCCGAATGGGACTTAAGTTGTGGATAAATCCTTGATTAGCATCTAAAAATACGAAAACGTTCAAGTTTATACCATTGCACCAGTGGTTTATATAGCAGTGCAAAGCTGAAACGTTGTAGACGACTTCACAACAACCGTGGGTAGTGGTAACGCGTGACTTTTGCAGGGTTGTGAACTTTACACCAGCTGAATATTCAAGATTGTATATTAGCATACATACCTGAGTTTCTCTTTTGTGCCATGTCGTTAAAAACAGTTGTAAGGAGCTCTATAAAAACAACTCGCCGTTCGTCGTGCCTCGTGGCCACTGCAAAGAAGCCAGAATTCAGTCAACCAATAAGATTTTGATACGATATTTCGTCACCAACGCATTGGGCCAACCACCGCAATTTATATCGGGCACGTGCCGGAAGTAAAGACGTAAAGAAACTACTGGCCTGTATAGTCACTGGTATAGTCAACCCAAGTTACCCAACCACGGTTCACGTACAGGGCTCTCACATTTGGGGAAATTTCCCCAAAACGGGGAAATTGGTGGATTTTTGGGGAGCGATCTGGGGAATCACTCTTTTCGGGGAAATTTTTTGGGAATTTTTTCGAATGTTGCTGAAACTCGTGCTTCAGTTGTTTTTGCCTGGTTTTTATGTTAAACATGATTATTTTGGTCTAATTGGTCACATGTGGCAAGCAGCATTGTTTTATTCGCGACTTGAGAGTATTTTACAAATTGGCACAAAAGGTGTAATGTTATGTTATGCAATTACAGAGTAAAACATGTTTTAAATATTTTGACGCCAAGATACTTTTCGTTATTTCACTGTAGTAGCAATATAACTGCCAATGTAAAATTTTGTATGAATTATTTATTTTTAAACAATTTAAAGTGTATTTTCTGGTAAATAATTGAAAAGGTGTAAATAACGCAATAGCTATACTTGTGTTATACTATATATACTACGTTATTTGTGTCTAAGGAATTCTTCGGAAATCTGGGGAAATTTTTAGAAATTTTTGAGGAATTCATCAATTTCGTTGTGAGAGCCCTGTTCACGTAATCACGTCGCCTAGTCGCCTACCCAGTTTTACAGTAATGAGTAGCTTCGTCAACGCCATGTGGCTTGTAACAACGTCTATTATTATATTGCTCAATCTGCTTACAACTGCACACACAGAGCGCAGTAGGCCAACACTAAAAGATGAAGAGCTCTTATTTCGAACTACTAGGCCGTTCTGCTGCTCAGACAGACAACCCAATAACAAATCTATTGAGAAATCTATACCTATGAGTATGACATATTTGACAACCACTATCACTATGTCTATGACCATGAGTATTAGTGTTCGCAAGAAGATGATGAATATGAGCAGCATCGATAACAATTTATATTCCAGGTCTATACGAGGTGAATATGTTTCATCTAGAAGCTCTGTTACGGTGGCAATGCTGTCTCGTATACCTGGTTTGTGCGCTGCAAGAAGAAAAGCATACACCTTTATAAATAAATGGTATGTTATGGGTTTTATGTTTGTGATGTTTATTGCAATTGCTTGTAACAAATATTGGAGAGTCCATTGTATTAACAGACAAAATCACAAAGAATTTAAATATGTAAAACAATTAGATCGACCTGCAGTGCCCATAGATTTAAATGATGACCGCATGACTACCATGACTATACGCACTTCGCAGTCCCTCAAACCGTACAGTTGCCTCGATGTTACTGTTAGGTCTCGTAAAGCCAAATTTCAGCACCACTACTGCAACTCTTTCATGACTTTAACTTTAAATCGTCGACACTTTCATAGTAGACGCGATCGAGAACCAAGCCGAATCTCAGGTAAGAAGCTATCACGAGTTTTTGAGAAAAGTAGAGAATTGCGAAGGCGCTTACGCAAGTATATTAGGAAGAAAGTTCCCAAGTCTTCACATCTCCATCGTTTTTTGTATGCTTCAACTCATGAACGTAAACGATTCTTAAATTCTCAACAATTACACAGTTATTTAAAAAGGCCCCGAAAATGGCGAAGGAAAAAGCGTTTATGCATAAACAGTGTGTTCGAAAACAATCGATGTTTAGGACTAGCTCTTTCAAAAGCAACAAGGAACATACATTTTGTAAAATACATAAATTTAAAAACTTAAATCACTTAAAAAACTGTTGCAAGTTTAATCTTAGTAGAGACATTGAAAAAAACCCCGGACCGGTGTTTGTTGAACCAACTAGAACTATCCATGCACCTTACAGTCAGGGTAATGTTGCAGTGTTTGGCCCCAATGCAGGTACACAATGTGTAGCTATGAGTTTATGTGCTTTGATTTATAAGTACACTGAAGCAGCAATAACATGTCCAGACGATCTTATGGTAATTATGGATATTGGTAATGAACTCTATTCTGCATTATCAAGATTATCTAGACAAACATTTTTATTGTTAACTGAATTACCTAACATGGTTACAGTATTTGATACAAATTACCATCTTCAGTTCAGTGAAAGTTACACTGGTGGACTCCCTGCACAAACTATCAATGATGACAATCCTTATGTTGTGCCTTTTACTTGTGCTATGCAAAATTTGTTGCAACAAAATTATGATTCATTCCTCGTTACAATTGGATGCAATACAGTGTCAGTTTATTTGATGCCAAATGGCTCACTAAAAATATTTGATTCACATGCAAGAGATTCCTTTGGTATGCCTCAACCACATGGGACATGTGTATTGTTAGAAGTATCCTCTGTCGATCGATTGGCTGAATATTTTAAAACCTGTTACAATCGTGATGTTTTGTTTGAATTGAAAGGAGTTAAAATTGTTATTGGTAATGAACAACCAACAAATAGCACAACATGACCATGTAGAATCAGGTGAATTGGTGGACACATCACACAAAGAAGCTGATATAATCACATTTTCAGAATTGTGTGCAATATATATTTACTCTATTTGTTTTTCTACAATTAAATCATCTACATACTGGGATGATTCCACAAGAGATGCTATTGCAGAAAATGCTATCCTATTTACAAATCCCTGAACATTAAAAATAATATTACATATCTGGAAGACTTCCCACAAAGATTGTTTATTCTTGATGCTGAGGTTGACATAGTATACACAACAAGACAACAGGGTATTTATCTGTTCAAAGTAAAGCTGTACTTGTGAAGTTAATCTCACAAAATACTGCAAACAACACTGGATTTTTGGTGTGGTTTTCTGATTTCTGTTTAGCTTGCATTTTCAACCATAAAAAATGTGTACAAAATATTTTATTGCATACAATGATATGCTAAGGAAAATTGGTTTGAAATTTGTGATACCCCAAATTGTTTAATTAATAAACTCTACGAGTTTTCTAGTAAAGTAAAATGTCAAAATGTGTCATACGATGTTCAATTTTTATTTTGTTCGCACAAGTTGTCAAATTCAGAGAGGCAGAAAGTAGTAAGAAACTTAAATCCTCTGAACAGAAAAGAACAATGTCAGGAAAACGCAAAAGTGATTATACAAATTTGGGTCCTGCAGAGAAAAAACAATGTTTGGCAAAGCGGAAAGAAAATTATAAATATATGGATCCTTTAAAAAAGAAAGCCCTTCTTGATACAAATACTGAAAAATACAAATCAATGAGTGATTTAAAAAAGAAAGTTCTTCTTGAAAACTGTGCTAAGAAATATAGCTCAATGGATCCTTTAAAAAAGAATGTTCTCCTTCAAACACGTGCTAAGAAATATAATTCTATGGATCCTGCAAAAAAGATGAACATTTGAAGAAGAAATATGAGAAGTGCAAGTCCAAGCAATCTGACTTAAATAACTGTATATCAACATTTAAGTCAAAAATAAGAGATGGGCCATTTTTTGTATGTTCAATTTGTCAGCGGTTATTGTACAGGAAATCAGTTGTTTTATTGCAAAAATCTACATATGACAATAGCATGCTAAATGTGTTCACCAATGTCAAATCGTTCGATCAAAACAGTACATTTGCAAAACATGCCATTCTAAAGTCTCAAAGGGTAAAACACCATGTCAAGCCGTATGTAATGACATGTATGTTGATGACATACCAAATGAATTGCTGTGCTTAGAAAAGCTTGAGCAGATTCTTCTAGCACAAAGAATAGTTTTTGAAAAAATTATTGTGATGCCAAAAGGACAGCAGAAAAAAGTAAAAGGAGCAATATGTAATGTGCCTGTTGAATGTGACCAGTCCTGTAAAATTTTACCTCGTCCACCAGAAAGATCTGGTATCATTATGTTGAAGCTAAAAAGGAAGCTTGAATTTAGGGGTCATGTTTATTTCCAGGCAGTACGCCCTCAGTTGTTTTGAATGCCTTAAACTGGCTTAAGGTCAACAACCCATTGTATCATAACATAACAATTGATATTAGCAGTCTTGGAGATAATGTGACAAGTCTTCAGCAGCAACAATGCCATGATGATCTTACAACAAACAAAAATAATCTGTCAGATAACAGGCAACATCATGTCTCAGATCCAAATGATCATGATGATGTTGAAGAACAGGATGACCCATTAAATGAGTATCGCCAAGCACCTAATGAGACCTGTTTACAATCTGTATTACCAGATTACCCAATTGCAATAACACAAAACAGTAAAAATTGCTCATTAGGCAATGAAGTGTATAACATTGCACCTGGTGAAAACAAACACCCTGTTTCATTAATGATGGATAAAAATTGTGAAGAGCTTGCATTTCCTGTACTGTTTCCAAAAGGTAGATTTGGCTTCACACATGAACGGACAATTAAATTGTCACCAGTAAAATACTTCAATGCTAGACTTTTACATTATAGTGGAAGGTTTGCAACCAACCCGGAATACCTTTTCTTTGCCCAGTTTATAACAGAACAAAAGAAAGTATCTGACAGTATTAACATAGCCATGAAAAAAATACAAGGACAACCTGTCACTGCATCTGAAATAAAATCAAATGTAAATAAATTAAAAGGGCTGATTTGTCAAGACCAAGCATATTTATTTTTAAGACAGATTCCAGGTACACCACCATATTGGCAAAAATTTATGTATGAAGTAGTAGCAATGGTGAAACAATTAGGCATCCCAACATGGTTTATGACATTGTCATGTGCTGATCTTAGATGGACAGAATTATTTCAAATTATTGCTAAAACACAAGGTAATGACATCACAGATGAGGAAATTCAGGCTTTATCTTACAACGATAGATGTTCAATGTTGAATCTTAATCCTGTTGTTGTTGCAAAACACTTCCAACATAGAGTTGAAACTTTCTTCACTGAAGTTTTACTTCGTGCAAATAACCCAATTGGCAAAATAATGTACTATGCACTTCGTATTGAGTTCCAAATGAGAGGATCACCTCATTTACATGCTTTAATCTGGACCTCTGATTGCCCTAAGTTAACCTCTGATAGCAAGGAGGCTTATATACAATTCATTGATAATCATGTACATGCCAACCTTCCAGATAAAAACATAGAACCAGAGTTACATGAGTTAGTCAAAACATATCAAAAACACAATCACTCCAAAACTTGCAGAAAATACAAAAATGTTAGTTGCAGATTTAATTTTGGGCAATTCTTCACAAACAGAACAATTGTAGCAGAACCTCTGAGTGATGAATTAGATGAACAAGCGAAAACTAACCTGCTTGAAAGACGAATGCAAATCTTAAGTCCAGTCAAACAAAAAATTGATGAAGTTCTTAACCCATCCAAAACAACTTATGATGCCTCATTAAGTGACTCAGATATTTTAAAGTCTTTGGATATCACTGAAGAGCAATATTACTGGGCATTATCTATTTCCCCTGATTCAGACTTTGAGCTACATCTTAAAAGACCTGTAGATAGCTGTTTTATTAATAATTATTTTGTTGCTGGTATGAAGGGCTTTGCAGCAAATGTTGACTTGCAACCTGTATTCAATCATTATAAATGTATAACATATGTATGCTCGTACTTTACTAAAGATGAGACTGAATGTTCACAAGCTATTATGAATGCAGCAAAAGAGGCAAAAGCTGCCAATATGAGCATTAGAGAAGGCTTGAAAAAAGTTGGTGCTGCCTTTCTATCCACCAGAGAAGTGAGCTCACAAGAATGTGTTTACCGAGCAATGCCTGAACTTTGGTTGAGGAAAATATTTCCAAGAACAGTATTTGTCAACACAAATCTCCCAGAACAGAGGGTCCGGATGACTAAAACTCAGGAAGAACTTGATGATCTAGATGATGATAGTACAGATATATTTAAATCAAATATTGTTGAACGTTATGTCATTAGACCAACATCTATAGCTCTAGTTGATAGCATGTGCCTTGCAGAATTTGCAGCATACTATTACAAAGATTATAAACTAGACTGTGAAACACAAGATGGCCAGCCAGATATCTTAACAGATGACATAATTGAAAACCAAAGTACAATCACCAATAGAGTACAAGCTCTACCAAAAACAATCAAATTGCTTAACAAAAATGAGTACATGAAACGTCGAAAAGTGAAAGTGTTAAGATACCATACACCAAATAAAAAGAAACAACCAGAATTATACTTCCATCACCTACTTATGCTATATTACCCATGGCGACATGAAAATAATTTGTTGGCTTCAACCAAACATATACATCCAAATTTTATGAAGCAGATGTTCAAAAAATTGTACAACTCAACAGATCAATATTTGAACCTGATGCAGATGCCATTAGCGAAGCATTTGACATACTTAAAGCTAACCAAGGCAACCTTGGTCAATCATTTGATGCACTTAATGATCAGGAAAATGCAGATGTACAAGATGAGATGCCAGATGATGTAAACCAAGATGAATTGTTCAATGAACAGTTACCATCACATCTTGATCCAGCACAATGTAATAATGAATCCACACCTGGAGCTATTGCAACTTATCACCAACCAACAGAAATCTCTGATGATCTATTACGTCAAAATATCAGATCACTAAACAAACAACAACGTCTTGCATATGATACATTCCTCACATGGTGTCGCAATAAAATGAAGAACTTGAACAGTCTAAAACCAGTTGACATAGATCCAATCTATCTGTTCTTGACTGGAGGTGGTGGTGCCGGAAAAAGTCATGTCATTAAAACAATATACCATACAGCAGTTAAGACGTTTAGACACCCTCCTGTTAACCCTGAGTTACCAACTGTATTGCTAATGGCACCCACAGGTGTAGCTGCAATAAATATTGATGGAACAACAATTAATACTGGTCTTGCTATTCCTAAAGAAGCTGGTGATATTGTACCACCATTGTCTGACCAAAGAAAGACCCAATTAAGATTAACATTGTCAGAGTTAAAGCTTATTGTTGTTGATGAAATTTCTATGGTAGGAAACACAACTTTGCTTAATATTCATCAGAGATTAAAAGATATATTTGGTACACCAAGTTCTCTGTTATTTGCAGGAATCTCTATCATAGTCGTAGGTGATCTTTGTCAACTACCACCAATACGTAAGAAGTTTGTTTTTGATACTTACAGAAATAATATTTATAATTTATGCCATCCATGGAGAGTATTCCAAATGATAGAACTCGTAGAAATCATGAGACAAAGAAATGATAAAGCATTTATTGAACTTCTTAACAGAATAAGAACTGCTAACCAGACAGAAGATGATATAAAGGTAATCCAATCAAGATCAGTATCCCCAGATGACCCTAATTACCCATCACATGCACTCCATATTTGGGCAGAGAACTCACCAGTTAACAAACACAATAATGAGAAATTAGAACAACTTGCTGGACCATTGTTTGTTCTAAAAGCTAAAGATCAATTCCCACCAAATGTGAGAAACAAGATATTGATAAAGTTCTTGCAAGGAAACGTTCTGAAACAGGTGGACTTGATTTAGTAATTCACATCAAGGAAGGTGCCAGAGTAATGTTGACAAGCAATATTAGCATTGCAGACAGACTTATCAATGGACAAATGGGAACTGTTTAAAGTTGATGTCAATCCAACTAACCAGAAACCAACCATTGTTTACATTAAATTTGATGATCCAAATGCTGGTAAAAATCTTCTTAAGACTACTAGCAACCTGTTGGCAAGAGAACATCAAGTTGTCCCAATTGAACCTGTTTTGGTGAAGATTAAAATAAGACCAGGTAAACCATCATCCCCAGAAATACAGAGAGTACAATTTCCTGTGACACTAGCTTGGGCATGTACTGTACATAAAGTTCAAGGTTTAACACTTGATGAAGTAGTAGTCAGCATGGAGTTAGTAAATCAGAGATCATTTAACTATGGACAAATTTATGTTGCCTTAAGCAGAGCAACTTCGTTACAAGGTCTGCATATTTTAGGAGAGATTGCTAGTAAACATGTGAAAACAAACCCAAAGGTTCTTGAAGAATATGAAAGATTAAGGAAAGAATGTATTGTTAGTCATCCAACCACTACTTTGCAACATCATAGTAATGCTGTCACCATAACACTTTTAAATATCAGATCTCTTAAAAAACATTGCATTGACATGAAAAGTGATTCACGACTTTTTGCTAGTGATGTTATAGCCTTAACAGAAACTCAATTGCTCTCCTCTGACTCTGACAATGAAATTATTGATACACTTCGACCCTCAAACTGTACCGTCAAGACCATGTCAGTGATAAATATTCAAGTATGGCAATCTGCACACAAAATACTGTAAATGTTGGAGATTTTGAATATTTTCCTTCACTAAATGCAGTCAAATATGAACTGGTTAACAACATGTCCCATGGAACACAAAATATTCTTCTACTCTATCGAAAACAGAACTCTAATGTCTCACAATACATAGAATGCTTGAGATACATACTTACAACTACTACTGTTGATATTGTTCTTGGTGATTTTAATATTAACTACTTCAGTGATAAACAAATTGAACATCTTAAATTAATAATGGATTCTTTAAATTATATTCAAATTGTAACAAAGCCAACATTTGTATCTTCTGGAAGTTTATTAGATCATATTTATATCAGATCTACAACAGTTGAAATAATTGAAAATGATGTCCTCAGTGTTTATTATTCAGATCATGATGCTGTGAAAGTCAAATTTATAATTATCTAAACATAACATCCTATTATACAATACACCATATAATTTTAATATAGCTATTGTGGCATATAATGTAAATTGTGAAACAGATGAATACACTTCAAAATGTTACCAGTTACGGTTACTAAACATTTGCATTTACAACTACTAAACATTTGCATGACTAGAAACAATGCACCATGTAATGGTGCATATATGTGTGTCAGTCCTGAAAAGGACTGATCCCACATACATGGACATGCCTGACCCATTGGGACAAGTGACAACACATGGTAAGTATGCTGTGTGGTCATTACGTCATGTCATATCATTACTTATGGCCTGGCTGAGTCTGCTATTACCATGTTTCATAAATTGACTGTCATTTAATATAATACTTAATTATAATCTCATTTTCCATGTCTTTACAGATAACATCAAATCAACAAGTTTACAGCTGCAGAACTTCTCACAGAGAAAATAGTGTTATTAATAAATATTCACTACCATATAGCACCCATCAAAAGAAAACACATAATATGAAGGATACTATTCAAACCGAGCATCTCTAGCAATTCCACCATTTCAAATGTACAATTTTACAACGGTTGAACTTGGGTGCTGCTTGGAAACTAAGTCATGATGAACAGTTTTTCCTATCCATTCAAAGAAACATTTTGGTTCCACTGTGCTTTAATATCGTCCAGTCTGGTACACAAACTATCAATACCAGTACCTTTAGTTACTACAGCGTGGTTAGTGTCAAAATGCCAACGAATGCGGTGATCATATGGAAAATATCAACTTCACCTGAGCTAAAACAACCATCAGAATACTATGAAACAGTCTTATTTGCTGCCTGGATGCTCGAGAATTATGAGCTATATTAATTGTTCATTCACACCATAAAACATTCCTGCTTCACTTCTGGTAATGATACGTACCTTAATTGTTACTACATGACCAAGCACTATTTTTAGTGTCATTATGGCCAACATGTTAATGTTATGCATTGACCATATATGGTATCATTTACTCCACCTGGACTACAGCAATCAAATCACTATCATCAAATAGTCAAGACTTATTTTCACAATGGTTGAATGTGAATGTCTATCAATTTGGATTTTATGTTACCAGATGCTAGAGGATTATGATAAACTGTGGATTATGTAACAATCAAGCAACTATAATGCAGCTATTACACTGACTCATGCTGAACAACTGGAATTATATGCTGCCTATGGTACAGTACATGTTAGAGCTTGGACTGTCAACTACAATATCACTTGAACACAAGTTACTCTAGAAAATTTCTTCCATTATACTGCGACTAAACACTCTGCCGATAACAATATGGACTACCCACAGTGTACAGTGGAGTAACTCTCTGAAAAAAAACTGCACGTCTTGTACGTAGTTGCTCAGAAAAAATGTGCCATGCTATTACTGTTGTATTCTGAATGCACAGACAACAACATAATTTTCATTTGATGTAGAATTGTACCATACTCTTCATCTAAAAATATGTACTGTTATATAGTGTTTATACCTATATAATTAAAAATAATTGTTGTCGCATAGGTCCCTCATATTACAGGCTAGTTCATGTTTTTTAATAAATCACCCAAAAATGTTTTAATATTATTACTCTTTTTAAAAATATGACCATAGAGTTCTATTAACTATGATACCAGACGACTTGTAACAACTACTCAAGGTCGGCCTAAGTACCCAGGCAATGCGAGTTTAATGCCTAGTGGGCATCTTGTCTTATTTTGATAACGGTATGGTTCGTGTGGGGATTCGCAATAACCCATGAAAATCATGATTTATTCAAAAATGACAGCCTGCAACGAAACTTGGTCTTTAATGCAGCAATCAATGAACTCAGATTGTATATTAAAAGTGTTAGTCTGTTAGAGACTTTATGTTCGTGTTTTGTTTACAAATAAACGCACTTGCTGACCATACAATGATTTCTCGTTCATTGTATGTATGGTCAGCGCGTGCGTTTATTTGCAATTGTGAACAAAACACTCACAACAGTCTCCAACCCTTAATTAATATATTTACAATCCTGGTGCATTGGCCTAAATTTACTCACGTGATTGGTCAAAATCAATCACGTGGTTTCTTGTTGCCTGGCGACAGATCATCAGATCATGGGTATAATGATTTTCGCAATAAGTCAATAACCCATGAAAATCATGGTTTATTCAAAAACGACAGCCTGCATGCAGCGAAGCTTGGATCTTCAATGCAGCAATCAATGAACTCAGATTGTATATTAAAAGTGTTAGAGACTTTATGTTCGTGTTTTGTTTACAAATAAACGCACTTGCTGACCATACAATGAACTCGAAATTTCTGGTATTTCTATATATACCTGATGCCCAGTACATGTATAAACCAATAGCACAAAATGTGTATAATTGTTTGTTTTAATGAATTTTCTCATGCCTAATTTATAAATGTAGATGAATATGTACAGCCTTATCAGATATTAACTTATTTTCATAGTAAAATGAGATATCATATTAGTAACTTATCTGATCAGTTGACCCCTGCATGCATGCATGTCAGCCTCGTACCCAGGCGCTTTCATACTGAAAAATAATGTTGCATTCACTTATTGTATAGAGGTCAGCTAAAAAACGCGAGCGCACCCCAAGCACCCCTGCGCGCTTGCTTTTTTCTGCTGACCTCTATATAAGACCTGAATGCAACTTATATATTTTACTATTAAAGCGCCTGGGTACGAGGCTGCATGCATGTCTTTGCTGATCGACTGTGCACACTTTGAGTGCTAAAAATTGACACTTACAAAGAAATTGTATTTGCCAGTGGGCCAGTCCATGTGAATTGCTCATTAATTGCCAGTTTTGATCTGTTATTTTTTTAATACAGTATTTTGGCAGCAAGTATATTTTCATTTTATATATTTTCATATATAGCTATATATATTGCCTACTTATGCATGTCAGTAGCTGCAAGTATATAATTATATGGCTATGTGAAATATGATGTCAGATGAGCCCTAACTAATATTAACCTACCAGCTATGAATAGTTCGTCCGATACTTTTCATCATCAATAAGAGCGAGATGTTCTCTGTTATTAATAGCAATTCACAACTTCACAAGAGGCACAAAAGTGTGTAAAACATCTTTTTATTTCTTGTATAACATTCGAAAGATCCGAAATTATTTAACCAAGAATGTTACAGCTACACTTGTTACTTTTCGCTTTGAACATTGCATTGGTTTACTGTACGGATAACTTTGAGATATCAAAACAACGTTAATCTTTAAAATATGTAAATCAGCTCTCTTGGTGTTTTTCAGTGCAAAGGAATCTACTAGCTTTCTAATTATAGATATGCTTAACGATCTTGGTTTTGTGGAAAACAATGCTCTTCCGTGTCTTAATGCACATGTTCGAGTCGTTGAAGGGAATGTTTCCCTCATTGAATTTATTATTTCATATAAAATCCCTCCAAAAAGAATTAAGTCAAATAAAAAAGTAAAGCTTTCACCAGAAGTTCTGGCGGTTTAGTGGAGAGGAAGGGAATGTTTTTCTCATTGAAATTATTATTTCATTTAAAATCTTTCGAAAAAAGGATTAAGTAAAATAAAAAGCGGCAGCCTTTCACCACAAGATCTGGTGGTCAAGTATGCAGTCGATGGTTCAAGTCCTGGATGAACCGAAAAAGAACAAGGTAAAGCGACAATTTGTGAGCGTGAGAGGACTAGAGCGAGTGGGTGAAATATGCCCTCGCCTTGGGCGAGAAGTAGACTTAGGGGGGTTGTCTTTCCCCCTCCTTTCCTGACTTTTAAAGCAAGCTTTCCTCAAACATTTAGAGGTGTTAGGGAATAGTTTGGAATATCTAGGAAAAAAAGTGGGGATAAATAGGAGTATATATAGGAATAAAGAGGAGTAAGTGAGTATAAAAAGATTTTTTTTCTCTCGTTTCCCATCTCATCCCAAGCCCCGGCTCCCACTCGCCCCCCAAGTCTTTTTGTATTCATATACCCCTCATCACCCCTACATATCTCCTGGTTTCCCTGAATTTCCCCAAAGATTAATTTTGATTGATCAACATACCTACCATACGTTATTTCTTTAACCGTGATGAGAAACGTACCATCCCCTTCTTGATCCCTCGATCACATGAGACTAAGGGGCTGTTTACATGAGCCCGGTTACCCGAGATTCAACGAAGTGTGAGAGGACTTTGAGGTATTGAAATAAGTCTTTATGACACCAAACAAGCACATGCAATTGTTGTGGTGATTATACGACTGCCAGGATTATGTTATCTGCTGATTTCAATACCTCAAAAATCATCTCACGCTTCGTTGAATCTTGGGTAACCGGGCTCATGTAAACAGCTCTTAACTGGTGATTGTTGGAAGCCTAAAGCAATTCTAATTTTGCCAAGTATTGTTAAGAGTGAAAATTCTGATATAAAACGTGTTAAATAGGATTCGAACCATGGACTGCTGACACAGGAAATTTTTATCTTTACCACAAGACCACGAGAATAACTAACGGCAGTGGTTAACGGCAGTGGTTATTTAATTCACTTTTTGCTTTTCTCGAAGGTCGTGATGAAAAAGAGTTAATGCTTGGATTCGAACCATCGCTTGCCACTAGCTGTCAGAATAATTGTCTTCGCCACAAGACCACGAGATATTTTGCTGCACTCATTTATTTTATTTAATTCTCTTCTTAGTTACCACAAGAACGTGTGCTGAGCAAGAGCGATTATTTATTTTACCTAATCATTTTCAAGGTCTTAATGAAAAAAAAAAGTTTTTGCAGGATTCGAACCATTGATTTACAAATATTGGGGGCACCATAATCACCATTCATTTAAACTTAGATCAGAGACCTAACCTCGAGTGCAAAGCTTGTGAGTTGTGTAAAATGTTTTTCTTTTCTTCTTCGTGAATTTCTAACTTCGTGAATTGTTTACGACTATTCACGTAGAACATTTATTAATCGACATGGCTGCGCCCATCGCTGCATCTGCAATTTCACATGTTTCAAAATCCTTACGAAAGATTTCCCGAACATTTTCCTGTATCATTTTGTTTTGAAGTAATGCATTACCAGTTCCTACAAGTTTGGTCACTTTATATTTCGTAAGAAACTGGTCAATCATTGAATGGATGTTGACCAAAAGACCAAAGCATATCGAATTATAAATATTCCCAAGGGACAAAGAACCAGGCAAGATATCTTTAACAAAGGCTTTTTGCTCTGGATCATGGCGCTCTCCCCAAAGTACTGGATGTATTGTAAGTTTAGGAACATGTCTATCTTGAACACCACATGTGAAGAGTCGTTGGTAAATGTAGCTGTCTGGCGGCGGATCATATCCCAGATCATGTAACCAACTTTTCAGTGTTTTTACGAAATAAGCCAAAACATTTCCTCCTGTAAAGTGAAGGGAATTTTACGATATAGCATAAATTTCTAGAGTATTAAAATTAAAGAGATAAAATTGTATCTTTACAATTTCCGGCAATTCGAGAAGCCATGGGGAGATTTGAGACTTCTATAGACAGCGTGGAACTCGATTTTACACAAACACATTTAAAAATTTTGTTTTATTTTGTAGCCCGACTGCTTCATTTCTTTTGACCGCTTTCTTTTTTTTATTTTTTTTTGAATTTCCAGCTTTTAAACAGGAACGTTGGTAATATTTCCACTTTCAGTAAATTAATCCTCAATAACAGGATTTGGTTTTAGACTAGATTTATGACTGATTATGGTTAATCCTAATCCCTAATCTAACTTTAATCCTAACTTAATGTGAAGGATTAAAATCATGAATTTAGAATTTGCTAAACATGAAATTTTTAAATGGAATGTAAATGAGACGACTCACGGATGCACGAACAGCCTATTAATTGTTGTGGCAGTGCTTCCACTTTCAACAAAAATTCCAGAAACAACATGTTTAAATTTCCATAAAATTTCCATGAAAGAAATCTAGAAAAGGCAGTATTTTTTAACGCATAAAGTTGTTTTCTGTCAGTTTCTAATATCAAATTATCAATAGTGTTCCATAATAATGCCAACAATTACGAAGTTGTTTATTCACTTTCAAAATTGATGATTTTCTAAAATTTTCTAAAATTTTCTAAAGTGTGTTACATACCAAAAATGGCTTCAAATATTTACTAAGGCTAATCTATTTCATTTTTGGGCATATTTGTATTTTGACTTCATCGAAAATACAAAACAATCGCACCGTAACCATTAGCTTCACCTGGGCCGCATATAACAAGCTTATGGCAGAATGATGCTGCTCCTTTGCTTAATGGTTTCCATACCTGTGATATTTTAGCGTCAGCACAAATGTTGATATTATTAGTTTAAAGCTACGAATAAGATTCGAAGTTTTGTGCGTTTTAGACAAGAAATTAAATCATCATCGTCAAAGTTGAACTGATATAAATTTATGTAAAAACCTTCGAAAAAAGGTTGAGTAAAATAAAATAGTGTCGTAGTTCACCAGACGTTCTGCTGGTCTAGTGTTGAAGGCAATGCTCTCCCATGTTCCAAGCCTGGGGTCCCAGTCCAAACATGTCCTTCGACAAAAGGATGAAGTAAATGAAATAACCATAGTCTTTCAGTACATGATCTCGTAGTCTAGTGGTGAAGACAGTGGTCTCCCAATTGCGAAGTCATTGGTTCGAATCCCAGTATGCCTGTTTTTCATTATGAACTTCGTGAAAAGGATAGAGTAAATTAAATAACCATAGCCGTTCAGCAGAAGATCTTGTAGTCTTTGGGGAATACAATGGTCTCCCAAGTGGTAAATTGATGGTTCGAATCCTACCATAGCCGTTTTTCATTATGAACTTCGGGAAAAGGATAAAGTAAATTAAAAAACTATGGCAGATCAAGACAAGTTCTTGTAGTCTAGTGGCTAAGACAGTGGTCTCCCATGTTGTAAGTCGATAGTTCGAATCCCACCAAAACCATTTTTCATTATGAACTTCGTGAAAAAGATAAAGTTAATTCAATAACCATAACCGTTCAGTAGAAGATCTTGTAGTCTAGTGGTCAAGATGTTGGTCTCTTGTGTCGACAGTCGAAGGTTCGAATCTCGTTTTAGATGGAAATTTTAGTTATTAATGTTACATGGTAAGGTTATGGAGAATAAGTTAATGTAGGCTTCCAACAATCACCAGTTAGCCTTGTGGTAAAGTCGTGGACTATCAAGTACAGGATCGGGGTATCATGAACAGGATGGTACGCTTCTCATGGCGGTAAAAGAAAAAAAAAGTTGGCTATGTTGCTCGGGGGAGGTTTATATTCGGTTAATGTTTGGAATTCAAAGTTAATCTTTGGGGAAATCACGGGATAGATAGGGTGAATGAGGGGTATATGAGTACAAAAAGACTTAGTAATTGGGCGGCCTCGGCCCCCGGGGCAAGGGGGGGGGGGAGGGGCGGGGGGGCGGCCTCGGCGGGGGGGAGGGTATAGGTGAGAAAACAGTATATAAAATGTTTAAGTCTTTTTGTACTCATTTCAACCTCTTTACCCCTATTTATCCTCCTATTTACTCCTATCTATCCCTACTTTTTCGTATCCCCACATACCCCCAACTATCCCCTAACACAATTAAATGTTTGAAGAAAGCTTGCTTTGAAAGTCAGGAATAGCGGGGGAAAGAGAACCCCCCTCAGTCTACTCCTCGCCCAAGGCGAGGGCATATTCGCCCTCTCGCACTACTCCTCTCACACTCACAAATTCTCGCTTTGTTACCTTGATCTTTTTCGGTTTATCCAGGACTTGAACCATCGACTGCATACTTGGAAGGTCACCGTCTTCACCACTACACCACCAGTTCTTGTGGTGAAAGCCTACAGTTTTTTATTTTACTTAATCTTTTTTTGGAAGGATCTTTGACGAAACTTAATACCTTTTGGTATAGGATCTCAAATGAAATAACAATTTAAATGAGTTAACTTTAATGTTGATGATTAATTTTCTCAAAACTCACACACTATATCTTTACTATCTTATTTGCGGCTTGTAACTTAATATTAGCCATTTGTGTTGTCGCTAAAATATCACATACAGGTATGCAGTGCCTTATTGCACTGACTTTCCATAAGTTGCTTATATGCGGGCCAAGTGAAGCTAATGGTTACGGTGCGGTTGTTTTGTATTTTAATGAAGTGAAGTCAAAGTAAAGTACAAGAATTAACAATGTATTTCAAAATAGGTTTAAAAGATAAAGTACAAGAATTAATAATAGCCGAATACTCATCTTACTGAGACGGGAAAGTTGATAGCCGTAAAAACCCGTCTGAATGTGACTAATCGGGATATGGAAAATTTATACGTACGATGGGTCGGGTAATGCGTAATCATTACGATAATAATTGTGTATACTTTCCTTAGCCTTGTTCCGTCCTCGACCGTGCTGATATTTCTGAAACTCGTCTGATTTATCCGTCTAAATGCGATTTTAAGATGAGTTTCTCTCCCAGACAGGATTCCCGTCCAACTTACTCGGGAAAATTCGGACGAAAACCCCGTCTGTGATTCACATCAGACGAGTTTCCCGTCTTGAATGAGTTTCCCCTCATCGATGAGTTTCCCGTCTCTAATATGAATTAGGCTGTATATAACTCGTAAAGTCATGAGGCAACAAGCATTATATCTGAAATGGCTAATGAAGCAAATATCCAGTTGAAAAGACATTGACTATTTATTTGAAGACTTACAAAAAGACGAAATACTAGCTAGTCTAGCCGGTTCGTCGAATATTTAATACTTGGATCCTTGGAATGAAGAGACAAACGTCTTAACAACTACTTGACGACCACATTGTTTGTCGATAAGCTATTGTTCTTTATTTTACTTAATCGTTTCTTCGAAGAACTTTTAAATGAAATAATAATGAATCGTCGCCGTAATATTGTTGAGCTGCTGTTTGTTTGTTACCGCGGTTAACTGCTTTTTAAGCGTATTTTATATTCGACGAACCGGCTAGACAAGTTAGTATTTCGACTCTACCAGAGTACGAGGTCCATGCTTGTTGCCTCATGACTATATATACGCGTTATACACATTGAAATACATTCTTAATTCTTGTACTTTTTTTCTTTTAAACCTATTTCTACTTTACTTTGACTTCACTTCATTAAAAATACAAAACAATCGCACCGTAACTATTGGCTTCACTTGCGCCGCATATAACTAACTTAGTTATGGTATGGTGGTGCTTTACGGCAATTCGTACATGCATGTATGTGATTTTTTAGCGACAACACAGATGGCTAATATTAAGTTACAAGCTACGAAGAAGATAGTAAGATATAGTGTGCGAGATTTATGAAAATAAATCATGAACATTAAAGTGAACTTATTTAAATTGTTATTTCATTTGAGATCCCAAAAGGTCTTAAGTTTCATCAAGGATCCTTCCAAAAAAGGATTAAGTAAAATAAAAAGTGTAGGCTTTCACCACAAGAACTGGTGGTGTAGTGGTGAAGACGGTGATCTGCCAAGCATACAGCCGATGGTTCAAGTCCTGGATAAACCGAAAAAGAACGAGGTAATAAAGTGAGAATTTGTGAGTGTCAGAAGAGTAGTGCGAGAGGGCGAATATGCCCTCGCCTTGGCCGAGGAGTAGACTGAGGGGGGTTCTCTTTCCCCCGCCTTTCCTGACTTTCAAATCCAGCTTTCTTCAAACATTTCATTGTGTTTGGGGATAGTTAGGGATACATGAGGATAGGAAAAAGTAGGGATAGATAGGAGTAAATAGGAGGATAAATAGGGGTAAAGAGGTTTAAATGAGTACAAAAAGACTTAAACATTTTATATACTGTTTTCTCACCTATACCCTCCCCTAACCCCGGGGGCCGAGGCCACCCAATTACTAAGTCTTTTTGTACTCATATACCCCTCATTCACCCTATCTATCCCGTGATTTCCCCAAAGATTAAATTTGAATTCCAAACATTAACCGAATATAAACCTCCCCCGAGCAACATAGCCAACATTTTTTTTTCTTTTACCGCCGTGAGGAGCGTGCCGTCCTGTTCTTGATGCCCCGATCCTGAACTTGATAATCCACGACTTTACCACAAGGCTAACTGGTGATTGTTGGAAGCCTACACCAACTTATTCTCCATAACCTTACCATGTAATATTAATAACTAAAATTTCCATCTAAAACGAGATTCGAACCTTCGACTGTCGACACAAGAGACCAACATCTTGACCACTAGACTACAAGATCTTGTGCTGAAGTGCTTTGGTTATTTAATTCACTTTATCCTTTTCACGAAGTTCATAATGAAAAACGGTTTTGGTAGGATTCGAACCATCGATCTACCACTTGAGAGACCATTGTCTTCACCACTAAACTACGAAATATTGTGCTGAACGACTATGGTTATTTAATTTACTTTATCCTTTTTTCGAAGCCCATAATGAAAAACAGCCAAGCTTGGATTCGAACCAACAACTTACGACTTGGGAGACGATTGTCTTAGTCACTAGACTACAAGATCCTGTGCTGAGCGGCAACTGTTATTTTATGTACTTAATCCTTCTAACGAAGTTCATAATGAAAAAACGTTATGGTAGGATTCGAACTTTCGAATTACCACTTGGAAGACCAATGTCTTCGCCACTAGACTACAAGATCTTCTGCTGAACGGCTATGATTATTTAATTTACTTTAACCTTTTCACGAAGTTCATAATGAAAAACGGTTATGGCAGGATTCGAACCCCCAGTTTGGAACCCGGGAGAACATTGCTTCACCACTAGACCAGCAAAACTTGTGGCGAATTACAACACTATTTTATTTTATTAAACCTTTTTCGAAGGATTGTACATAAATTAATGATGTCAAAGAGTTTATTTTGACGATGATGATTTATGTTCTTTTCTAAAACGCACATAACTGTAAAGGCTAATTTCCACTCCGGAAAACGAGCAGCGGATCGGATCGGATTTTTTTCCGAGCTGGTCCAATCCATGAAGTGATTTCGGATCGGATCAAAAAAAATTTAAAACTATTTGAACTTTTTTTTATTTCGTCTCGGACGCTTTCGGATCAATATAAGCCAAAAATTTCAACAGACGGCGCACGCGCGGATTATCTTTCGTTCCGATCCGCTGCTCGTTTTCCAGAGTGGAAATTAGCCTTAAGCAAATCGCACCGTGACCATTAGCTTCACCTGGGCAACATATAACTAGCTTATGGTAAATAATTCATTTTTGCTCAATGGATTCCATACCTGTGATATTTTTGCGTCAACACAAATGGTTGATATTAGTTAAAATCGGAACGAAAGATAATCCGCGCGTGCGCCGTCTGTTGAAATTTTTGGCTTATATCATCCGAAAGCGTCCGAGACCGGATAAAAAAAAGTTCAAATAGTTTTAACTTTTTTTTGTCCGATCCGAAATCACTTCATGGATCGGACCAGGCTCGGAAAAAGATCCGATCCGATCCGCTGCTCGTTTTCCGGAGTGGAAATTAGCCTTTACGGTCAATGAAGTCAAGTCTGATTTCATAGATCACAAATTAAAATTTCAGGAAATGGTATTTCATTTGGTAGATTCATGAGAACTAATTTCACACCTGAAATTGTACTCCAATACCAGGCAACAGATAATAAATAACTCTACTTCTCTTAAGCTCCGTTAACATAAAAAATATTGTCAGGACAGGAGAGAACCGGTAGACTGGCGTGTCACACAGTGGATGGGATTCCAAAAACAGAAGGCTTATTGCGTATATGACATTGCTCTTTGTGGGATTATTATTCGTTCACTGCGACTGCGCGGGAATTCCTTATATTAAATTTGACTTTTTATCGTTTTCCAAAAGCGTTAAGTATGTTTATTAATCGTAAAGTGTCCTTTTTCACTCACTGCGGCTTAGAAAGTTTACAGCTCACAGCAACATAGGACAAGCATTTGACATTAAAACAGCGTGGTTATCCATATCAAAATATTTGACATTCATAACCAAAGCATGGTTATATTGTTTAATGTTTGTATATGAGCCCGAAACATGCTGGAAACTTTACATAGAACAAGCATTTGACCATTAAAACAGCGTGGTTATCCATATCAAAATATTTGACATCATAACCTAAGCATGGTTATATTGTTTAATGTTTGTATATGAGCGCCAAACATGCTGGAAACTTTACATAGGACAAGCATTTGACCATTAAAACAGGAGGGTTATCCATATCAAAATATTTGACATTACAAAGCATGGTTATATTGCTTAATGTTTGTATATGGTCATTAGGCATTAGTATTGCTTCATTAAATAAGGGCATAGGCCCTCCAAGATGTCATCGCAGTCCCAAAAAGTCTTTGGAAATATTTAATTTTAATCACTGAGCTCTATGATTTTAATTAAAGAAAGAAAATGTTGAAAGTTCTATAGAATTTCCATAAGTTTTTCATTCCATAAAACTTCCATTTCACTTGCCTGTATATCAAAATTTCCATAAAAAATCGCGTTATGTCGTATTTCCACTTTTTGTCAAAATCAAAAATTATTTTTCATGCATGCGCTGAAGAAGGATGTTTTGCATCCATCTCATATAAGGTGGTTCTAAATTTAATTTAAAAGGATAATTTTGTGACATAATTACCGAAAAGGTCTATCGCGAAGTTTATTTTAAAGGCATCTTTGACATCCCATCCTGAAGCTAAAATCTGCAATTTAAAAAACTGTGGTCTAAATCATGCATGCATACTTCTTACCTGACAGTGCAGCTGCGACAACTAAATAGCAACTGTTGAAGTATGGTAAGATATGCAAGGCTGGGTAGAGTGATATGTCATTTGAGACCTCATCCTTTCTGCTCTCATTAATGATCACTGATAGTTGTGCTGAGGTGCCAATGTTAAGAACTAGAAAAATGCAACAAAATGAGTCAGTACATGCATGAGCAAATTATTATTCAGAAAAAGATACAGGGGTTACTAAAAAAACATAATTGAGATTCATACAGAAATTTTCAATGGCACCCTTGAAATTGTTTGCATAAGCGTCACTTTCTGAAGTTGAAAATAGAAATTTCCTGAATGCCCTAGCTATTTTATGTATCTTATTAATTAAGTAACTATCTGTTTTAGGGCCAATTACAAGATTGGACCATTCACTTCTGACATATGGAATGTAGTTTTCTATTAATAAAGCATTAATACTGCATTGGCTTTAGATGATTTGCTGTCGATGTACATTGCAAACCAACAGATTATGAAACATCCATCAGAAGCAAATTGAATCTGACAAAATTGGATTGTGTGAATGGACCTTTATATCTCATAAGAAATTGACAAATATTTCCTATAAGATTGTGAAGACTTTTTGTCACCCATTTCCTTGCAAATGGCAGTGATGGCACTTTCAATCAGCTTTGGGTGTACCCTTTGAGAAAATGTGCCCTTTCCCAAGCTTCATTTCAAGTCTCATGTAGTTTGCCAAGCCTCAATCATTCCTATGTCTCATGTAGTTCGCCAAGCCTCACTCCTATGTCTCATGTAGTTAAAAAGATTTGAAGCAGATACCAGCATCTGTAGATCCAGCATTAGTAGCTAAAATGGAACATTGCATATCTCCGAGGGCAACTCTGACTGTAGCATTTGGCTGAATATTTTCCCAGGTGTGTGACAGATGACCAACAATATATCCTGGTGGGCAAATGGTAGGTAAAAGATGAACTGGGAAATTTGCTGCTTGTAGTCTAATTAACAATAAAGTACTCAGGTAATTTAATTAACTATATATACTTTTAATAATTAAGTTGGGGACAATGGGTAGAAATAGAATCAGATAGAATCTTTATTAAGCTTTTTCCTAAGGCGTAAATTTTACCTAAAGAACAAACTGCAATACTTTTTTAATTTTTTGCTATTTCACTTTGATGGATTTTACAAGTCACACTTTGCCTTCTAGCTGCCATTTTGCATGGGCACATAAAAAATTAAAATATTGTTGGTTATGAGAAAACCACCAAAGATGTAACTTGTACATAAATCTCTAAACCTCCAATGAATTGATTGAATTAAAAGCCTCTTATAACCTACGATGGCAGCACAGATGGCAGACAACATACTCGTGTGATACCGTCATTGCAAGAGCCCTGATTACCTTACTCTACCATATCTTATGCAGAAACATTTATTGTGATTGCATGTCCAATAGCACATACTTTTCAATCTCCCATTCCTGCTTTTCAATATCATAATAGCCCCAACTACAAGCATTCTGTGTAGAGATATAAACTCCATTGGAAGAACAAAGGTAAGATACAACAAGATCCATAATGGTGCCTGCACTGTCAAATTGACTGACGAAATCAGGCTGGTGTCTTTGTAACCAGAAAAGAGTCGCACAACCAAAGCCTGAATACAGCGATAAACTTGACTTTGGCAGCGAACTTAAAAATTCTGTCGAACAACGTTTGTCTTCCCAGGTGAATAAAGATGATATCTGAAGTTTTTCATTTTGAATAAAATTCTCCTTGACTAGATTTTCAATATTTGTACCGCTTGTCGTAAATTCCTTGTTCCATAATACGCACCCATGCATTTGTCCACAAACAACAATATCTTTTACCAGCCTGCTCTTGTCTTTCGGTAGCAATTTGATGCACTTGTCTATGGCCACAAACAACTTCTGCACGTCTTGTTCGCGCCAGTTGGTCCCATTTTCTTGCAAAATAATTTCAGCACAGTGCTCAACAGTATTTCTTGCAATAACCTCTTCACTAGACATAACAACAGTTTTTATACTAGTTGTTCCAATATCAATTCCCAATGTTAGAGATTCAAAATTGTCCGCCATATTTTCAAGCTGAAATTTTGCATACATCCACCAGAAAAAGGGGGGGGGGGTTTGTGGGCGGAGCCCCCCTTCTCAAATCTCGGAGAGGGGTGAGCCCCCCTTCCACTTTAGGAAATTAATAATTTATTAAAAAGAATATTAAAGAAAACTTGTCTACTTTTTTATTAAGCGGAATAAAAAATTCAATCAATCAATGTCTCTTTATGCTCCTATGTTCATCTTAGCTAAGCTAAATTTAACTTCCAGCGTGAGTCTTGTGGAGCTATTTTGATTGGCGCAGCCAGCCAACTAATATTTGATATTAAAGGATGTAATATGAGTTATGATCTGTGCGAGTCGATATCTTTTTATTCTCCCCTATACGAGTAATCTCAGTGACGACTTCTGACGTCACACAATGACGTCACCACAGCTCCAACCTCGTTAAGAGAGCTCCCCTCTGGTAAATTTAGTTCTCCAGCACTTGCTAAAAGCACAGAATACCATAGAGAAAGAATAAAGATGACTTTCTATTTAGTCTTCTGTGCTGAAAGTGAAGCAAAATAGCGAAAAAATAGCAAGAAAAATAAACATCGAAGGAAAATTCTCTAAAATTAAACCACTATTCACTGTTTAGTGTTTATGTGAATGTGAATGCACTGACTGACCTATATATAGGTCAGTGTGAGCATGTGACATTACCTACCTCTTCCGCAGGCCCTTTTTGAAATTGCCATACCTTTGGAATTGCTATACCCATAGCTATACCATAGCCACAGCCACAGAGGCCCAATAACGAATAGTTTATTTGAAGTAAAATGCAAACAGTAAAACAACAAACCATTGCTACTTTAATGTCATTTATTTACATGAAACTGATGAAAGTAGCAATTTACTTTCATGTCATCTCTTTACTTGGAAATATACAAAAATCCTCTTGCCTACAACGGGTGACGTGCGAGCCTGACAATGTTCAGGCAATGTAGGTATTGTATGGTATATATATTATATATGTTATAATCTTAATAGTCGTGATAATAGCCATTTCAACCGATGTGAACTAGTCCGGTTATTTCTACACACACTTAGAAATATTCTATCACATTAGCCACCTGGGGCCGGTTGTATGAAAGCCGGATAGCGCTATCCACCGGATAGTGATTTTTTCAACCCTTCTAAAAATGCTTGAATAGCTATAAAATTTCAGCTTTGTAGCCAACATTGGTTAAAGAGGACCCTCACTTTAGGAATACTAAGTGTTAATCAAAGTTATACCCAACAACGGGCGATTTTAAAGCGATTGAAAAAATCACTATCCGGTGGATAGCGCTATCCGGCTTTCATACAACCGGCCCCAGGTCATGTTCACGATACTAATGGCTTTATTGAAACCAGGCATTAGATCTTTAATACAGTCGTGCTCACGTTCTTTCGTCTTTTCTTTTCGACTTTCAACTTAACTGCGACTTTTCACAGTAAGTTACATCTGGAAGTTTTATCATCCGGTATAGGCAGTTGAGACGTTCGAGAACCCCGAGGAAAGTCTCTGATTGGGTTATATTTCCCGCGTAAAAATTCTATCATATCTTTCGGGACAGGAAGCTGATCTAACAACGTCGGTCTGACACATTCAACAATAACGGCCCGACACAAGATCTTTAAACTGTACATAGCAGGAATCTTGTAAAAAAGCAGCTCATATTTCTGTTTATTCCGTCTACCATTCTCTTTCGCAATGTGGCAAGTAATGAGTTTCGTCTCACATTCCGAAAAGACAGGAAACCTCCAAGTAAGCCACAAGTCATCCAAAGTGCTGTCCATTGATATCCGACACAAAGGCTCAAGTGTGCTGACTTCTATGATCAAGCAGGCATCCATAGACTCATTTTCTATGTAACAAGGTACACTCAAGAATCGACCATCCGAAGAGAAATCAATTCGATCCCCACGATAATCCCGAGCACCGTACATCCAATAAATTGGCCAACGGGATTGAGGTTGCACTGATTCCAATTGAAGAATTGAATGTCTCAGCGTTACCAGGTTTAGCATAGTCAAAATGATTTCTTTTTCATTTCCTGTAATCATAGCCATTTGATACTGACCTTGCAATACACTGGAGGGATTCAATGCAATGGCAAGTGGGTCATGCTTCACAAAAGGTGTTTCTTCAAAACGTCTTTCGAAAAGTTGTACTGGAGGTGATAACTGGTAAACAGCAATTGCTAGTAATTCTGGAGAACGAGGTGGTCCCAAAAGAACAGCATGGTTTCCATCATGTGTTAATCTGCAGAAGAATTGAGTCTTCTTTGTAAAGTCACCACGAACAACCATGTTAAATAATATGCTCTCAGGTGCAGGAAAATAGCCCAAAAGAGTTATCTCATTTGTAGCATGATCAATAAAAATTACTTTAAGATCCTCTTCGAATTCATCAGAAAGAAGAATTGTTACCAGGCCATTCCCATGAAGTGGAACTGTGAGATTTCCTTCGAACACAAGATGTTGTAACGCAACCTTACATTGCTTTTGTGGATCCTTCTGTTTCCTTAAGAACCATAAAAACATCCTAACAGAGTCAGCAGAGTATGACTGCAGTACCCTGCTCACAGCTGATTCAAATTCATCTTTGATACCTGTTTTTAAGTAAGGCTCAACAAATGTTGCTGTGATGGTTGGGTCCGAAATCTAAAATATGTAAACATAGTATAAATAAGAATCTAAGAATACCTGGTATCTAGTCACATCTGAAACAGAACAATTGACCAGACAATTTGCTTAAAGGATATCATTGCACAGTCCAGATATGGGGCATAAGCCTTCATAAGGCATGGTGGATAATGATTAATGGTCTGTTACTTGTACTAGGGAAAATATATTTAATAATTTAGTCTGAGGTTGTTTAATTGAGGCCCAATCAACACTAATTATCCAGGGTTTAATAATAACTGCTGTTATTCTGCATGGCTGTTCTCTTTGAGGACTTTCTTTGGGAAGTAAAATCTATTGGACCGGCCAGGGAAGATTTCTGCAAATCCAACTAAAACTTTTGGAAAGTTGGATTTTTTTAGTAGTTTTTCATTATAACCAAGGTTTAAGCTGACTTTTGAAAATTAAAATCATAAAATGCAGGTATTAAATGTCGTACAATCGTACATCGTATAGAAGTAACAGAACTTTAGGTCAGATCCGACCAATTATATGATGAAAACTTCTCATACCTTCTCACGATAACTGGCCATATTCTTATTTGACAAGTTGACATCTTCACCCATATTTTTTTTAGAGTTCCATCATGGACAAAGATCATGATGATTTGCATATTATTGATATTGCGAAATATTCCAGTGAACTATATATACAACTGGAACGATAACTGAGATGTCTTGATTTCAGATTTTTAACAATTAGCCTCAAGCTGACTGTGAAAATGAACAAATAAAAACCTCGACTTTTTCAGTGTCCACCTCGTCTTCAATGAATAATTGTTACCTTCATTGTAAGCCGTTACACCTTGACAAGCAAATGAAACAATGTCAAACAGAACATGGTTATGGAACGTATGTTACCACAGCTCAGCTTGTGTGTGTATACTGATTAATGATGAACTAATGAGAACGAATGACTGAACGTTTCATAAACTGGTGAAGACCTTTAAAAAATGTTTGCCTTATTATGTCACTTGCGGGCAAAACAGGAACAACTTTTTACGAAGGTTTATGTTATTATGTACCACAGCTATTTACAACTCTTCCGCTCCTCTCTGCGTCACAGTCTCACAGACGCTCTCGGTCAAAAGGTGGCCGATATAAGTCTGCAGATTTTCGTCTTCAACACACTATGCGTTGTCTATACCGCTTCCCGTGGAGACAAAAACAGTGTTTACCATTCTATTAACAACATATCCTTACAAGTGTCTATTTTGTACCAAGTATATATGCATTTCATTTGAATCAATCGACTTTTAAAGTCAAATTTGATAACATTGCACATAACATCATTGTTTCGTAATTAGTTTACATATTTTTGCTGTGACAGATGTGTAATGTTTCAATTAGAAGCATCCATTCCATTTATTTTTACAGTTGTTTGAGAAGGCAAGCTCACTTCGCAAGCCTGTGAAAAGTTTCGAGGTGTTTCTGTATTCGACGTAGAAGATTATTTCTTGTTGAAATTGTAAGTCTTATTGACAGTTATAGGGGTGGAAAATTTTGGGAAAAGGAAAAAAATGAAATTCGATTGCCCTGTATCCTGGAAATGGACATTTCGGATCATTTCTAAAACCTATATAGAACTGTAAATACTCAGTTTGAATTTTAAAACATTTTCTTCAACGGATACTCTGCCGGTCCAAAAACTTATTCGGGGGGGGGGGGGGGGAGCAACGCTCCCTCCGTTTTCCACGCCTCTGACATATTATTTTTAACACAGAAGACGAGGCGGAAGACGAGGTGTGTATTTACATGAGCGTGCAATTTTGTGCTTTTAGCTTTTAGTGTCTCGCATAAATAAATTCGGGACAGAAAAAGCAAAGAGCAAGACGTTAGCTCGAACATAAAATCGTTATTCGGCTTCATTCAATGTTATATCTTTTGTGAGTGAGTGCCAATACTTGGATTCCTTATTGTGATATTTAAGTGTCTCAAACCATTGTTTCAGCAGCTGACCCTGCGATTTAACTCCCAGGTGAATACCACCTGAAACAGATCAGAAAAAATAGAATTTTAAAGACTTTCGGATTAGATATTAATATATAAATAAATTATCAATAGTTTATATATATAAAAAAGGTTTTCTCAATTGTTCGGGGTGAACTCTATGAGAAAGATAGATAATTTTCAAAATTATTCCAATATTTTTCAAGTTATAGATTTTCACTATTTTCATGCACGACACCAGGGATAATGGTGAGATGCACGAAAATAGCTAGCATATCGTTACTTGGTACAAAAATCGACCTTTCTAAATGGTTCAAGGTATTGAATCTGTTTTTACCGTGTTTGAAGTTAAGATTTGATGTTTGGGTAAAAAATTATCTATGTTCCCTTGGCCTCGTATAGAAAAAGGCTCCCCTCAGCCAATCGGCGGCTGTGTACTATAAACATTACTATAAAAACAGAATAAAAGTTGAGTTTCCAAAATTACCAATAAATTCGTTAGGTTTTCCAAAATCTTCATCCCAGACTGTTATTTCCAGAGTGCAACTTGCCAAATCATTCGGGGCAATTTTGTACGAAAAGTGCTTGAAGAAAAAACCAAAATATCAAAAATAGGCGCGCTTCGCGTACCTGTGGTTGTGATTTCAGACACAAAACGAGAAAGCATAATATAAAATTTCAATGGTAAAAACACATATTAACCTAATATATTAAACCCCAACCAAACATATATTTTAAAAAAATGATTCTGCGAGAGGTTGTCTATGTTTTGGTCGTCAGGTGAACATATTGGAAAACTAAGAAAATTGGAACAGAATTATCAGAATTCGACTAGCTATTCCGTAGTCGACTCATTCACATTAGGTTAGTCGATACAAGCATCCAAATGTCAGAAGAAATGTCGCTCAAAATTTAGGCGTCCACGGAATTCAATCAACAAGCGTATCAAAATCTTGTCTTTTATACCCCTGATACTGATTTTGAACATATCTGATTTTGAAAACGAACATATGACAGTTTTGTCAAGGCCCCTCAGACGTCATGATCGCAGATCGGCTGATGCAATCTCTTAAAAATCAACACCCATCTTGTCGCTAACTTCATGCACATAGCTATAATATAAGAGGAGAATCTTTACCTCGTTGAATTCCGGATTGAGGTTACGCTTTTTAGTTTTTGTTCGTTGTTTCGACTTCTTGTTCGGATCTGGTAGTAAGTAACTAAAGAGAGAACATAGTAATAGTTATTTTCATAAATAGTTTTGCTCAAAGATGCATTATAAAACAAGACGCCTGGTAGGCGTCAACTCGAGCTATGTAGCCGGTAAATACACTGCACTGAAACTGAGCTATATTGATACACTGTAAATACGCGACTGTCCGCGCGGAACTCTAAGCCTGCGACACACACACACACAAAAAAATTATAATCGCGAAACCTAGACTCAGCTATACCGAGTAATAACATGTTTATAACGTGTGTCTTTATTGGTCGAAGCCAGTGTTTGGATAAAAACACGGAAATTTAAATCGCTTATGGAAATCAAACTTGGAATAATACATTTTTGTTGTTATGGTTCACGTGTTTGGATGGTCTGATCCAAACACTTAGGAATGTTGTTTGAGTTAAGAAAAGCTCGCAAAAAAGTTCCGCCTGCTTTCAGTTCCTAACTCTCGCAACATCCCCGTGTGTTTGCATGGATCAGGCCATCCAAACACGGAAACCATTAAGTAATTGTTTATTGATCTTCTAAAGTTCAACGATTAGCATAGTGTTTAGTTAAAGAATAGATGTCTAAAAAAAGGTGTTATTTACTTTTATTATATACAATATGCGGTGTTTTTTTGGCGAATCCGCCATTGCAAAAAGCGATAATAACACATGTGCGATTATCGTGTTTGATCCACCATTCAGGAAGCAGGTATAATCAAGTTTTATTTAAATCTCCCGGTTGGGATCGGTTTTTTGTTATAAAACAACACTCGAAATAAGTTCCATATTTTCCGCATTATTCTCTATATAACGAGTGATGGTTGATGGCCACCTACGTCTAGAGCTGCGAAATGCCACGATGGTTACCCCAATTAATTAATTCCAATTAATTGAAAGATAAACGATTATAATACAAAAACAACTGCCATTTTGCGATTCAGCCGAAAGAGAAGTTATTTAATTGTTTTGCAGTCATCAAAGATCACGAAGTTTTGAAATTTCTACATATAAAATTTAGCTTTTTCAATAAGTTCATTTCATTTTCACTCACCGCACAAATGGTTGATGAAATCGAAAAAATAAAAAGGTCCTGGAGCCGGTTGTATCAAGCCCGTTTAGCTTAAACGGTGGTTAAGTTCAAAATAGAAAGCAAGTCTATCGTTTTATTCAACAAGCAAACTAAATGTTTTTAACCTTAATACAAAGATACTGTTTACAATTACATATTCAGTGCATAATATTCAAGTTGAGTCATTCAAGAGAGATGTAAGAGTGTTATTTAATTTTGACTTATCCACCGTTTAAGCTAAACGGGCTTGATACAACCAGCCCCTGGTTTTAAACCCCTTCCTCCGCATGGCATCGCTCCAGTTGTATATAGAGCGCCTTGACTGAATATTGTCTTGAAAATTACGTCATAATCGCCATTCATGGCGGACATTTAATTTATCGCTGAATACACTCTCCCCATGCACATATTTTTTATTTTGTGTATGATATTCTTACCATTTCACATATGGATCAGAGTAACCATTTACATCCATTGCAGCCAAACTGGAGCAACGAATTATACCAACAACAAGCTTGCTGTCTTTTGAAACGTAACGCAAGGAGATGTAAATACGGCCAAGAAACTCACCAGGAGACTAAAAATACCAAAATAAGGAACTTATGCACACATTATATTCACTTTCAGTATATAACGGGAAACCAGTAAAATGTTTTCAAGAGGACTTAAGAAGAGTGTTTATATGTCGCGTATTTTGGCGGGAAAACGTTCAAAACATCAAATCTTTTCGGCGTATAGCACTCAAAAGTGCTTTTATTTTTGCTTCATTCTTGACATTTGTAGTAAGTATCTCTTAAACCATATCTATAGTGGTTGCAAACACCAAGTGACAAGTTTTTTTCCACAACATATGTGGCTATCAACAATGACAATGTTTTCAAATTCACTGAAATGAATACAAAAGTACAGTAGCTTCGTTCAAAACGATACTAAAGTGTCATTTTCTTCTCGGCGTAGCCCGAGAGATCTCTTCATTCACCCCGAGAAATGTCTTCATTTTTACACTGTTTTTAGATTATCTAGTAAACATACCAGGTTTCCAAAACGTTCTTAATTACAATGGTTAAAATTTTAGTTCGGATGCATGAAGATATTATAAGGTTTCGAGCACATATATCACGCGATATAGAAAATATTTCCGGTTAAACTTTTAATTCTCGAGTATCAACTTACAGCAGCGTCCGCTTTATCCTTTTGTGCCGACAGACATGTTCATAAAAACAAGAACAGATATAAATCAGTGAATTTCAGTGTTACGAGGAATTGATATTTCAGTGGAGAATATTGTACAAACTTTACTGTAAGATATTGTACAAACTTTACTATCGATGTTTTATCCTAACCATTCCCCAGGAGGTACCAAATCAACTTTTTCTAGTCCAGTTGATGGTTGTTAAATGTTACCTCGGATTTTGGCTGCAGTATTTTTTGCATTCTTCTGTTGTTGGTGAGGAGCACAGCCGTCAATGGTAGTTTGATTTCTCCAATGAAGTCATTTCTAGCCAGCTTGTCTTCATCAAGCACTTGTAACCTTAGAAAAAAGAAACTCACAGATCACTCAAAGTTCAGGTTAAGACGTCACTCTAAGGTCAGGTTTAGACGTCACTCTAAGGTCAGGTTTAGACGTCACTCTAAGGTGAGGTTAAGACGTCACTCTAAGGTCAGGTTAAGACGTCACTCTAAGGTCAGGTTAAGACGTCACTCTAAGGTCAGGTTAAGACGTCACTCTAAGGTCAGGTTAAGATGTCACTCTAAGGTCAGGTTTAGACGTCACTCTAAGGTCAGGTTTAGACGTCACTCTAAGGTCAGGTTAAGACGTCACTCTAAGGTCAGGTTAATAAGACATCACTCTAAGGTCAGGTTTAGACGTCACTCTAAGGTCAGGTTAATAAGACGTCACTCTAAGGTCAGGTTAAGACGTCACTCTAAGGTCAGGTTAAGACGTCACTCTAAGGTGAGGTTAAGGCGTCACTCTAAGGTGAGGTTAAGACGTCACTCTAAGGTCAGGTTAAGACGTCACTTTAAGGTCAGGTTAAGACGTCACTCTAAGGTGAGGTTAAGACGTCACTCTAAGGTCAGGTTAAGACGTCACTCTAAGGTCAGGTTAAGACGTCACTCTAAGGTCAGGTTAAGACGTCACTCTAAGGTCAGGTTAATAAGACGTCACTCTAAGGTCAGGTTAAGGCGTCACTCTAAGGTCAGGTTAAGACGTCACTCTAAGGTGAGGTTAAGACGTCACTCTAAGGTCAGGTTAAGACGTCACTCTAAGGTCAGGTTAAGACGTCACTCTAAGGTCAGGTTAAGACGTCACTCTAAGGTCAGGTTAAGACGTCACTCTAAGGTCAGGTTAAGACGTCACTCTAAGGTCAGCTAATGCAACAGAAATCTTTCAATTACTAAACGAACCTCAAAGTTTTGTTCTTCATATCTTCTTCTGTAATTCCATGGTACGTCAACGTTTCGTTGAACACTGGATCCAAGGTTTTCTTAATTGTTTGAGTGCGAGTTTTGTTACCCTGTTGCAATGTTTAGAGCATTTTCATTGATCAATCATGAAATTCTATCAGTGATATTTAACTTTTCCTCAGATAGAATAACACCGGTGTGACATCATATGGGAAAATAGGCAATCTTCAACATTTCCACTCGGTCAGTGCCACCGACAGTTCTCGGTGAAAATTGTCACAGCAAAAGTCACTCTTCACAACCAACATTACATTACCGGTATTTTAGAATACGTTTAAAAAGTTTTAAAATACTCTCATACATCTTGTGAATGACTGCACCTATATCTTATGCATTAAATATGGACTTCCATTGAAAATTAAACTATTTACATCGAAATATCTCAGCGCAGTTGTTCAATAAATAGATAATTTTGTTTTCTATTTTGAACTTATCCGCCGTTTAGGCAAAACGCCTTTCGAACAACCGGCCAGGATAAAGTGCTTTAATTGTTTGCGAAGCGACCGATTTGCGAGGTCAAAAAATTACCTAATTATGATGTAGTTATCATATGGCTCAAGAAAGGATTTATAATACTTACCCTTTTAGCTCCAGGTAAAAGATGAACTTTTACATAAGGATCAGAAAAACCGGAAGAATCCATGGCTCGTAATCCCTACAAATTGTTAAATTACAAATTATAGATTATGTTTTATTTCTGGAGAAATACGCGCGCCTCATGTCGGGTAGTGTCGCAGCACCTCGCAAGAATTATTTTCATTGGCTGAACTTTACAATACATTTCTGTTTCAACCAATAGCATAGGTTCGTTCTTTAGAAAGCATAGAAAAGCATTATCCAATTGGACGAAATCTTCCGAAAGCTGCGACATGTCCCCTTTTGTCCTAGAGGGCTTTTAGTAATCATATATACACAAAATTCTTAAAAGCTGTGATTATGAGGGAGCTGGTGAAAAAAGTATAAATGATTTTACCTTGCCATGATGAATATGCACTTCCAAACGTCTATCATCTTTTATATAGTTGACAGTAAACTCTAGAACGCCAAGTGGACCTGCAAAATATATAGAGATTAAATAAATTAGTTTGTAGGTACACCACGTAAGTATTTAATACTGCAAAGCCTTCGGTCCGTTAACCCTAAAAACACAAATTATTAGTTTGTCCTACAAACAAACCAATTTACTTTTTGATGTTACCATGCAAAGCTAAAAGAATATTATAACATATAGAGATTATTTGAGAATATTGAAATCAACCGATGTCGAGAAATGAATATTCAGAAGAACTAACATCGATTTTAGCAACTCGAAAAGAAGATCTTAAGGCCTGTCTACGAGGAATACGACTTGCAATATTTGCTGCGATTTTTATGTCCGATTTCCTTCTCTTGATAGATGTGAACGAGTGAATTAGTTACGGAAGTTCAAATAGGAGTTCGTACACATCAGAGTATTCGTAACTTATTACTCGTTCACATCTATCAAAAGACGTGTAAACGGGCCTTACGATTTTACTGTATGTCACTGACAGGTTATAGTATAGCTATAGATTTTATGCCGGGCAGGCTATAGTATAACTACACCACAAAATTCAGGAACCAGTACAAAGTTTGGATTTTGCAACGGTCAATACAATAGCAATCAAGCAATTTTAGGTCCTCTTGAAACGTCAAGGTTTGATCGGAGAATTGATCTCAAAAGGTTTGGTTTGTCGTAAGTTACTCGCTTGAACGTTTGAAATTTTGACTTCTTTTGTACTGGTTTGTGAGTTTTACCAGCCATCGCCGCCCGAGAGAACACCTTTGAGAACATAAACTCTGAGGCAATAAATACCTTTCAATTCTTCCTTTGAATTACTCAGGCCGTTTGAACCATCTTTATGATCTTTAGGAGGATGCAGCCGACCTGAGTTCTGATCAGACACCGCGTCACTCGACAAAGAACCATCGCTTCCTCCGCTATGAATGCTATGGTTGCTATGGTTACTCGGCCGTTTGTTTTTACGAACTGAAAGTTAAAACGACAATGTTAACAGTGTCGCCCGGTGAACTCTATGTATACAATAGTTAATAATCTCTCCATATAACGGAGTTTAATAATGGTGAAGTCGGTCCGTATACTGGGAAATATTTCCCTCGGTCACAAAAACGTCCCTCGGCCTCGGGCTGTTTTTGCACCTTGGGAAATATTTCCCTTTATTATATACACAAGCGACAGATATGAGGTATGCTGCAATTTCATTGGTTGGCTACTAGACAGATATTAGCTCATATCTGTCTAGTAGAGAAAATTAAGCAAAATGGCTGAAAGATTTGGGGAGTTGAGTGAAATAGAAATCCAAGCTTTAGTTGATAATAGCACACCAAAATGCACCGAAAGGGCGACAAAGTTTGTGTATATAATAAAACTACGCGCCGAGTTGGCTATCAGCTCATAATTATACGACTCGAGTTCGCAGAATAACTGTTAAATATACGGACCTCCAATCTGGTAAATAACATATATGTATTTTATTGCTTTTTGGCGTATGTGCTTGAGGACCGCATGGTAAAAAAAGGTGATAGATATCGTGAGAAGCAGATTGTTTTGTTTTATATTTTTAATAAAGAAACAAAATGATCGTTCTGAGTGCTTCGTTACAGTATATAGCTACACTACGGCTGATAATACGCATACATACCAAGCAATGGACTGTGGCGTAATATCATGCTGTTTTTGGATTCCGGTTCACCATCCGACGTATCGTTAGCACTTCGCTGAGAGCCGCGATCAGGAGCTTCCTCTCTACGTCGACTGAAATCATTCGCAGTCAGGGCTGATGAACGTTGCAAGCCGTTATAGTCAGAGTCATTCTCATCCACGTCACTTTCATATTTAGGTTCTGCACATGACAAATAAATAAATGTTTTTACTGTATCTAGTAGTCACTGACCAGAACTGTTATATTTCAGCTCATAACTCAGAAAAACTATTAATTGACTTCAAGCTAATATAGGGATGTTTGTCAAGAGTTAGCGCTCCAGTTTACCTACACAGTTCAATGAACTTAACCGAGCATAGAATCTGTATATACATATCAACAAAAGATTGTTGTCATGAAACGTCTCGCCGGCCCGAACAAACAGCCAAAATACTGGTCTGAAGTAAAAATGACCGGTAAACCTTATTTTATGCTCGGTCAAGTCGGTTTTTGACTGGTCACTAATATACGTATCGCAGGTGATCCGAAATGGCGGGAAAAGACTGGGACTTGTTGTAACATAAAAGTTCATTCCTCGGTTGAAACAACATAGTAACTTTTGAAATATACTTTATTTTTGGTTCCAAATTGATGTCAGAGGTAAAATTCTTGTGGCTAAACATAATCACAAAACTTCGAGTGATTTCATAAAGGATAACAAAAGATATTATCGATACTGCAGAATAGATTTCTATTTCGACGACCTTTCTGAGCGCTGATTGGCTGAAATATGAGCGGTAACACTTACTTTCATGCAAGCCGTCGCTAGCTTGTGGCTTGTCCTTGCCAACAGTTTGACCCAAAGATTTTCGTCTTCTGTGATCTTCGACCAAATCTTCGGAGGAACTATAAGATTCCACATCTGAATCGGAGTACAGTTCTAGAAAGACACGAGACGGGGTAAAGAGGTCGGCAAATTTTTATCCAACTCTACCAAAATTCGGGATATTTCTGCCAAAATTAGCGATTTTGGTAACCAGTTCACGATTTGGGTCATTTTTACTGAAATCAGCCCCCTGCCCCTCAAAATTTTTACACCTGTACACCTATGCGTTTGTTCTACAATGTTTGTGCCAAATATTGGTACATGTGTAGTTTAAAATTCAATATACCAATTTTATCTAGCAAATAAGGGCACTTTTCTTTATACAGTAAAAACGGCCAGACCTGTACTGTTGAATTTCAGTACAGACAGATTACTGGAATTTCTTAGTGTTTCAAGAACTCTGTATTTAAGTGGGTCCATATTGTTATTTAAATCTGCCTAGCTCGGAAAATGCAGTTTCACCGCTCAATTTAAATTCAAAATATGACCAGTTTGACGACCATTTCGGCCGCTGAAAGGAAAGCGCCCCAGGACATACAGTGTTGTGCTCGATACAAAACTAAAGTTACTGGCGTTAATAAAGAGGATCGCGGGCTCTGGGTACGAGATTGGACGAATTATTAATAAATGTTTTGACATGCAGAGAAGGGGACCAATGCTACAGCCATTTAGGGACCGCAATTTGGACGACCATTTACTTTTTAACAAGGGGATATAAACAAAGAAACATACCGCTTGCAACACTTTCTTTTTTGTTTTTCAATTCCGGAGTCGGGACAATAAAACTCTAAAAACATATTAAAAATTATTGACTTGTGCACAATCTATGTGCAAACGAAATTTCACGTGGAACTATAAGATATCTAGGGTTGATGCTCAATCTTTCTGCATGCTGAAGCGAAGAGTTTTTAGATAAAATTCTCGTCAAAACAAAGACGAATAAAGCCTACACTATACACTAGGAATTAACAGAATCGTTTTATCGACACACAATATAGCCATGCAGTAAAAGTGATAGTGCATTATCACTCAGGTTATGAGTGAATATTGTAATGGCGCCACTCTGAGTAAAACCAGTCGTTTGACAACGGTCATAGGAATCATACCCGCGATCTTTGTGTCCGTTTTTCCCAAAGTTAATACGTTAAGATCCGATGGCCAAATACAGTTTTTGAACAGAAAAATTTCTTTCCTATTTGCCCTTTTACCCGTACGGTAGCGGAGTCTGAAATTCCCCGATTCCCTGAGATCTTGGAATTCTTTTCAGGAATATGAAAAGCCTGTAGCTGAGTTCTGAACTTCTGAGACTGTTAGAATTACTGTGGTTTTGTCTGCACTTTTCTTTACAAAAACGACTCCTAAAATACTGATCCATTCTCACCCCCGATGACATATACTGTCGCTCCCTCGCTGGAGGCAATTCATGCTTCGGCAATTGTCTGAAAAACCAAGCACCAGATTTCTTCCAAAACTATAACAAAGCCCAAGAAGAAATCATCAATGGCAGATATCTACAAACATTATTATAACTTATAGAGACTTCTACACACAAAAACAAACAAGCTGGTGGAATAGGTCTACAAATAAGTTGTTACAAATTGCCTACAAGATGTCAAGAAGATTTGTTCAAGTTGTTGTACTTTTGGGGACTAGCTGTATTTATAGTGTACAGTATTTGCGACAAGTTGTTGTAACATATTTGTGGACTTTAGCCTTATATCAGACTTGTCCAAAAACCATGGCCAGCAGACATTTTGATGAAATAAGAGATGGGACACTTTAGTGTTGGGAAAATACACAGAGTGGAGCTTGTTGGTGAAGACAAAAGCATCTGACCATTAACAGTGATCTGACTTACCTCTCTTTGTTCATTGCAAAGTTTGCAAAGAAAAATTGGCTCATTTGCACTGCTCATGGTGTCAACACCACACTTTGCACAGGCAGCCTAGAACACAATGATGCATGTTAATATATTTTCATGTACCTACACTGAAATGATGTGAAGGTGAAGCGTGGCAGCTTTTGTTGAAAGTGCACTCTTGTAGCAGCGCATAAAGAATGTTTGCAAAACAATTGGTCGGTTGAACTTTGTATTGTCATGTATGTGTTTTGTGATTTCACCAGACGACTGTGCAATTCTTGATGCTTGTTGGTGGCACTTCTAATTAACTTATGATATAGAATGTAATATTTAAAAATGAAAGGGCATCTTTCCCCCCCTTCCTTCGCTGGTAAAAGGGAAAGGGGGAAGCTGCCCCTGCTGGCCCCTTCTGAATACCTTCAACTAATATGTCAACTAATATCAATCAACACATAAACTTCAACACTAATCTCTGTCTTCAACTAATATGTCAACTATTATTTTATATAAATAAAAAATTATGATTTATGAGTTTCCAAATACTATTTTATATAAATAAGAAATTATGATTTATAAGTTGTCAACTACTATTTTATATAAATAAAAAAATATGATTTACTGTATGAGTTGCCAACCACTATTTTATATTTTCTGACTTGTCAACTACTATTATATATAAATAAAAAATTATGAGTTGACCATGTTAGTGGCTTAATTGCCCCATATGAAATTTTGAAAAGCCAGTTCTAAGGCTTAGTATGTATATATCAGCAACCTTGCTATAATAATTTGTTAATACCTTTTCACAAATGCTGCATTTTATTGGTGTTGCTGTTATTTTCCCAAATTTTTCATTGCACAGTAAACATGTGGTAATTCCATTACCCTGTGCATTATTCTTGATATTTTCTAGACGATCAACAAGTCTCCTGTTGCACAAAAAAAAGGGTAAAACCAAATGAGTTAAGAACAACTGAGATAAATTAAATCTGACAAGAGTATATTGTAATAAATAGTGTTATATACCTAGTGTCAAAATTTATCTTTTCTGCTTTCCTATTGGACCTCTTGGTCCACACACAGAGTGCTTTAAATCTGCATGATTACGCGTGATCAACACAAGCAGGCATCAAATTTCATAATATTCCCCAGGGCAAATTATGAAATTTGATGCTTGTTGCTATGCTTTTCCTAGCAATGCAATCCTGGAAATCACAAAGTTTTTGAAGTTAACTTTATATTGTTTTACACTACATTCTAATCTATACAGGTAATGTCTAGGAGTTGGCTCTTCTTTGGCCTCTGGTTTATTTTCATTTTGACACTAGATATAATAACAAATCACTTATTATTTACTGACACTTCAGGAAAGCAGTGTGTTTTGTTGACCCTCGACCACTCATTGTTGTCCATCAACAGCCGTCTTGGGTCAACCAAAACACACTGTTTCCCTTGGCTTAAGTAAATAAATGTCTAGTGTTGTATCCCCTAAACATCTATACCACATTGATGGCTGATTAAAATAGATATATTCCAATGCAATTTTAATAATTTATGTATATAGCCCCTTTTTTAAACCATCTCAGACCTATATCTTTAAGCAAAATGCCCACATTTAAGTAGTGTAAAACTAACTTACCCAATTCTAAATTCCTCTCTTAATGTGACTTCTTCTGCTTTTTTAATGATGCCTTCAATAATGCAAATTTCTTCCTTTTTTATTGGCAAACGTTTTCCTGCCTGATGTCGGTTTGTGTAAAATGACCAACCACTATCAAGCCTGAAAGAGAGTCAGATTTTTCGTTGAATTACCTAGACCTACTGTATGGGTAAATGTTGGACTCTGGGAGACCATTGGATGAAGGAGCTAGGGGTTGACTTTTCAAAAATTTCCAAACAAATGCCATTCTCATTATTGTGGCGTACAGCTTTATGAAAATAAATACAACAAGCTTTTGTGGATGCTAATTGTAACATTCAAACAGGTTTATTGAAAAAGTACTATTAGTACTAAAGGAAAGTAATAATTTTGAAGTTTAAAATGTAGTTCTGTTAAATTCTATGATTTTGATCTGTTCAATTCTATGATTTTGATCATTAAACTATTGCCTGGCATACCTATATCTTTCATTGCATGATTCTCATTTGGTTCATCATTTGCAAAAATAGCAACTACTAAATACGCATACGTACATAACTCTTTCACACAAACAGAGAGAATAAAGCAATCTTTTAGATCGAATTCTTGCCTATGTTATGCTTACGTATTGTGATCCGATATTTCTAACCTAAAATCACATTACTGACCAGTATCAAGCCAAAGATAAAAGATAAAAGACCAAAGGTCATGAATGCCTAAAATTAACAAGCCGTATGCTTGTATGAAATATAGCTGTATGTAATGGCTGCAGAACAGTACATGCAGAAGGTAGTTACATAAGTAGTTCCGTGGTCAAAGTTACTTTTATATGTTGGGTCATCTTTTATATTTTGAAATACCCCATTAATCGTCATTCACCTACAAACAAAACTAAAATCGAGCCACGAAGACACGCTACGTATATCCAGCGAACAACAATGACCTCAAAATGAGCATCGACCACAATCATATATATATTTAATGCTAAAGTAAATATAATAAAAGAAATTTGATATTAATTTCGATATTACGACGACGTACTTTGCACGGAGCCCTAATTCCCTGTCATTTGGACAAACCCATGGATCTTCCGCTTGAAGTTTCATATCGGTGTCCATCATACAGCGATTGAAATGCCCAAAGCTTTGCGACCATTAATCAACAAGACGAAGACATTGTCTAGCCACAACTATGCTCAGTTGACCTTGAGATTTCACGTTCTGCTTCGCTTAGGTTCTGTCTTTGTTTTGGACAAAGATCCCCCCCCGTGCTGAGAGTGCACATATATGGGTAACAGGGGCGTGGCTTCAAGTCTAGATTTGGGGGGGTCGAAGGATGAAATATCCTGTTTTCCATTCGTGTTCGGGCCAACGTTTCTTTGCCCAGCTGAACTAAGCCAAATTTATCACAACTTTACTTCCGAAACTTTCCATACCGGTAAACGCGATTTTTATTTTTTTAATTTAGCCTGATTTTAATGGTCAGGCACTAGTAAAATCGTTTTATCTAAAGACGTTGGTGTAGGAAGTTGCTTATTCAAGGATATTGAAGGAAATTAAAGGTCATTGGGAAGGGCCTTTAGGAAATAGATCTTGATATTCACTGATAATCACAAACATTACAAATAATCAGTACCCCAGCTGAGTACAAAAATCAACCAATCAGAAGCCAGATCCTCGACAAACTGAATTATAATTTCTTTCATTTCATATGACTTCGGCACTTGAAAATTTGAGTAATACTGATTTTGAGTATTCTGAATTTCATAATAACAAATCACTTATCTACTGACACCTCGGGAAAGCATTGTGATTTCGGCTGCACCTCGGACAACAACGGCGGTCTCGGGTCAACAAAACACACTGTTCCCTCGGCTTCAGTAAGTGTTTAGTGTTGTATCCCCTAAACATCTACAGTATAGCAACATTGATGGCTGGCAGACCTTGGCAGTCTAAATGTCTAATTCCTTGTTTACAAAACCGTTCGCCAAAAGTAGTCAATTTTACGGTCAGTTATGGTCAAGCTCGCTGGTGTAATGCCTAGTTTCCATTCAGTTGTTAGCTGTCGTTACATGTCTTTCCGTGTCTTTCAGTCTTTGGAATACTCGTGAAAGACCGATAACGAATGAGAGAAACAGAAAACGACAGTGTCGCTCGGATAAAATTACGGATAGAACAAATCCTATCTCAACGACATAAAAAGACTGGAAACGACATGATTCTTCCCAGTGGCGTAGCCAGCCTGACAATTTGGTCATGCTATGCAAATTTTAAGTCATTAGAATTATTAAACTCTTTAGAAATTCATTGTTTTCACAGTCAATGAACACCAAAATATTAGCATAGCATGACTAAATTGTCGGGCTGGCTACGCCACTGATTATTCCCATAACTCGTTATCGGTCTTTCATGATTATTCCAAAGACACGGAAAAACACATACGACAGCTAACGACTGAATGGAAACTAGGCATTAAGAATACATTAGGAATATGCAGTGGCGTAGGAAGGGGGGGGGGCACTGGGGACACGTGCCCCCCCAACTTTCAAGAAGATAAGAAAAAGTGCCCTTTTTACAAGGAAAGTGCCCTTTTTCATACCTAACATTGGTATGCCTTTATGAGAGTTTGTGCCTAAATTAATGAATGCAGTAAGTTTTTTTAGGATTCCAGCATTCGCTAGCCCCGACTTGCCAATTGCGACGTTTATGTCAATAAAAATAGCACAAATACCGAAAGTTTCCAAGCCGGAAATATCACGTCTTCTTGTTGCTAAGTTACCGAATACAGATTTTATATGGTCAAAGTTATAACATAATCAAAGTTGCTAATTTTTCTTGTTAAAAATTCATGTTAAAATTTTAAACTCTTCTTATATGATAAGTGATAGCATACAACATGGTCCCGCGCACCATGCGGCACTTTTTGAAAATACTACGAATTTGCTGTTTCAATGTAGCTTGCATTATAAATGTGAAATACAGACACAAACTAAAGTCATAATTTTAAGACAAAACAAGAATTGCGCTGTTTGGCAATCGAAAATGAAGTAACTTGAGGATGCTCTTTTTCTATGAAGAAGTGCCCCTGAAAGCATGTGTCTCCCCCCCAACTTTAACTTGCTCCTGCGCCACTGGGAATATGCAAATTTGTTTTTTCAAAACAAAGTCGTGACCGCAGTGCGTACCTTTTGTTCTTGTAACAGATAACAGACAGACTATACCAAGTGGCTCGTCACTCACTACTCAGTGCACTATCCATATTGATCAACACTTCGATCGAGTAATTCAAGCGGAATTCTTTGCGAATAACACGGTAAGTTACAGACATTTTGGTCTAAGGAATTGAAGTTTTTGGTGACTTCTTTGAAAATTTAAGTGATCGGCAATCGAAAGGCAGCAAAGTGCCAACCACGCTTGCATGATTGATGCATGCTAAGAACGGAAATCTCGCTTGTCAACTTGCGGGCATTACGCGATTCGAATTTACTCTATGGTTTGTGTTTGTTACTTTATTGCGATCAAAAATCATCCAATCGCCGCTTTGTCACAAAAGAATTCTGGAAAATTGTAGCGCGTGACATCTCACAGATATTAGCCAGACATTATAAATTCCATGTGTACTAGACTATCATTTATACCTTGTTTATAAAATGGAAAATATTCACACAACGATAAAAAATGCAGAACTCTTTCAAATGCAGAAAGAATAAATTATGAAAAGTTTACAATAATGTAGCCTTTATCAATGTTTTGGCGCTATACTATAATGTACTGGTATGAACCCAAGATTCCCGCTAATTATAAGTCACAAAGAAAATATATCAAAATAGCCGAAATTAGCATTCAAAGTACCTCACCGAGGATACTGAAAAATCGACGAAAATTGCAATAAATGTTATCTACTTATCTCTGTGTAAAGCGCCGTCGTACAAATGACGAAATTTACGTGAAGAATATTTGGGGCACAGATTTGAGCACTGTGGTTATGACTAGTTTTATTATGAATACGAAAGATTCTCAGTCAATCAGGGACACACGTCCAAAACATGTTGTACGCTTTGGCAACGACATCATGCTTTTATGCATGTGATCAGAAAAGGCGTATATTTTCAAATATAAGCTTAGGAGGGTCGAAATTTTGAAATTCCCTCGGAAACCAAACTTTGGCACATTTTGGGCAGCAATCTTCTATTAAGTTCCTTATTTTAACGTTTGAATTTTCCCGGTTGGTGAACCAGTGAAAGTATAGCTTCCGGTTAAGTGCCACAGTCTAGTAGTTACATCATACAAGTATATAGATATAAAATTCTCTTGGCATAGACTTTTTCTCAAGAAGGGTGAGAAGTCTACACTCGGGACTCAGGATAATTGGCGATTTTGACTGAAGCCAGATTTGACCCCTCTAGCTAGATCATTGAAAATAGTCATTCCAGAGTCTTACTCTTAGTCGTAAACAGTCCTAACGTGTAAGGTTTTAAAAACTCACGAAAATTGTAACAATCACGTACATTAATTTCAGGTATACACACTTTTAATTTAGAACACATTCGCATTTCACAAGGACACAAAGTCTGCCAATCAAGGCACGCTATTTTACTGCCTAGATGCCTGAATCTCAGAAAATACAATACAATACAAAGCATTTATTTCACACGATAAATTACAGCATAGCTGATGTGGTCGTGTATCTAATAATGAAATATAGTACAAATATACTAATTAACCTAACTATATACATAATTAATTATTCTGTATTTCATGTTTAAAATGACCTAAATTAACTATAGCTCTTTGGTTATTTTCCAAGGAGTTCCATAAAACGGCAGCTTGATAAAAAATTGATTTTTTCAGATATTCAGATTTTGGCTTAGGTAGTAAAACTGTTTGTTTCCGTCTTAAGTTATAGTTACTTTTGTATTTAACTAAATACGGCAAAAGTAGCTCAGGCAAATGACCATAATAGCACTTATGTGCTAAAGTCAGTAACTTTTCAGAATAGATTTCTTTTAGTGATTTCCATTTTACTTTCCTGTAAACGTCTGCTGTCGGTGTTTGCCAGTCCATCCCATAGATGATTCTAGCAGCTCGTACGTGTATTCTTTCCAATTCGTCAAAGAGCACCGTTCCACATGATCCCCAAATGATCAAACCATAAGTAACTGAGGGCAGTAATACTTTATGGTAAAAATCCCCTTTGGCTTGGATAGGGAGAAAGTATAAAGATTTTAAAAGGTTAAGTTTCTGTACAAAAGACTTTATTAGTTTTTGAACATGGGCTTTCCACGTTAGTTTATTGTCAATTTCAATACCCAGACATCTTGATTTTTCAACCAGTTTAATACAGTGGTTTCCCAGTTTAATCGCTTGTAGTGGACCTATAAAGTTGCTTCGACTTAATATCATGCATTCTGTTTTTCCTGGATGTGGTGTTAATAGGTACTATTACACCAGTTTTGCATCGCAGATAAAACTTTATTTAGTGCTGAACAAACTTGATCATGGGTTGGCCCAATTACATACAGGGTAGTGTCATCTGCATACATGAAAATGACACCTTCATTATCATTACAAATGTCTGGTAAATCGTTACAAAACAATGCAAACAAAATAGGGCCTAACACTGACCCCTGCGGCACCCCACATTTTACTGTCATTGGGTTTGATTTACAACCGTTTACAACCGTTATTTGAGCTCGATCTCTCAAGTAATCTTTAATCCAACACCATAAATCTCCTGATATACCAATACCTTGCAACTTTTGAAGTAATATCGTATGAGATATCGAGTCGAATGCTTTTTTAAAATCGACGAAGACGATTCCTACGACTTGATGGTTATCTAATGCTCTTCTCCAGTCTTCAGTCATCTTAATCAGCAACAACTCAGTGGAATGACCTTTCTTGTAAGCCCACTGATGTTGATTACTCAATTGATTTTCTGATACGTGAGTTGCAATTGTCGTGGCCACATTTGACAATTGCAACTCACGTATCAGAAAATCAATTGAGTAATCAACATCATCAATACCCAGACATCTTGATTTTTCAACCAGTTTAATACAGTGGTTTCCCAGTTTAATCGCTTGTAGTGGACCTATAAAGTTGCTTCGACTTAATATCATGCATTCTGTTTTTCCTGGATGTGGTGTTAATAGGTTACTATTACACCAGTTTTGCATCGCAGATAAAACTTTATTTGAATCAAATGAGGCTATAAGCCACAGGTGGATGTTGCTGTGACTTCATCGGTTAGCAAATTTTCAAATGGACTTATCGAAGAATATGGGCGTCGGTCTTGCAGCGCGATAAGGGCAGAATTTCGATGTTGTCAATGACAGATCAAATGCTATAATAATCTGTCAGCTAGAACCGACGAATATCGGACCGCGGTTTTCTGTTTGTTTTTGCCGTTTTCATTATAAATGATCTGTTTTTAACTCGTAGACTTAGCACACCACTCGTCCAATACAGGAAGGAAGGGATGGGCCGATATCGTGGTATCTATTATCGATACTAACTTAAGTTTAGGAGAAAATTATTGATATACTAACTTAAGTTTAGGAGACAAGTATCGATACTAACGTATATTTAGGAGAAAAGTATCGAAACTAACTTAAGTTTAGGAGACAAGTATCGATACTAACGTATATTTAGGAGAAAAGTATCGAAACTAACTAAAGTTTAGGAGAAAAGTATCGATACTAACTTAAGTTTAGGAAAAAAGTATTGATATACTAACTTAAGTTTAGGAGACAAGTATCGATACTAACGTATATTTAGGAGAAAAGTATCGAAACTAACTTAAGTTTAGGAGACAAGTATCGATACTAACGTATATTTTGGAGAAAAGTATCGAAACTAACTAAAGTTTAGGAGAAAAGTATCGATATTAATTTAAGTTTAGGAGCCAAGTATCGATATTAACTTAAGTTTAGGAGAAAAGTATTGGTATTAATTTAAGTTTAGGAGACAAGTATCGATACTAACTTAAGTTTAGGAGACAAGTATCGATACTAACTCAAGTTTAGGAGACAAGTATCGATACACTTAAGTTTAGGAGACAAGTATCGATACTAACTCAAGTTTAGGAGACAAGTATCGATACTTACTCAAGTTTAGGAGACAAGTATCGATACTAACTTAAGTTTAGGAGACAAGCATCGATACTAACTTAAGTTTAGGAGACAAGTATCGATATTAACTTAAGTTTAGGAGACAAGCATCGGAGGCTGAATAGTGCTATCCAGCGGACAGTCATTTTTCAATCGTTCACAGAAAGCTGGAAAAGCAACAAAATTACAGCTTTAGAGCTAACAATCATTAAAGAGGATCCTAAATTTCAGAATGCTAACGAAAGTTATACTGAACAGCGGGCAATTTTTGAGAGACTGAAAAAATGATGACAATTATTTACGTTAATTGTCAAAACATCTAACCTCCAATCATTGCGCAATATTTTGGTCACATGTATACATCTGTAATTCTCCATAAAGGTCTTATGAATTAGTAATTCATAAATTAACTTTCAGATTAGCATTCCTAACTTTGTTACACACATGCCCTAATATGCAATAAGCTTAATTTATTTATTTCACAAGCACGTTAAAATACTCGCGGCCGATGTAAATACCCGTACAGATCAGCCGCTCGTATTTTAACTAGTACTTGTTGTGTTAGATCGAGCGATGTATACTGCGTGCCAAAAAAGTACCCTTAACAAGTGATTCCAAAAGTGGGTATTTCGATTTCCGTTTCAGATACCATCCCTCTGACTTGCGATGAGTTTTTTTATCACAACTCAACCTCCCACAAGGTGAGCCTATTTTATGTCTACAACATTGAATAAAGAAGTTCTATTTTAATCTATGTAGCAGGCGGGCACTGTGCTATCTGTGCTATCTGTGCATGGAAAATGGCCCTTTTTAAGCTTTGCATGAATATTTCCATGTGATTGACAATATTATTTTGCTCGAAGACGTCTTAGGCTAAATTTTGTGGTGGGGGGGGGGGGTTATGGAATGGCCAACCAGGGAGAAATTGAATGTTTAAAGATTGCTGCAGTATTTTATCGCAGGCACAAGCCCTAAATGTAGAACTGAACTGATTTGGTTCCAGGACCCATGCATGGCTACAGGTCTTGGAGTTAACCTCACCGTTGCATGTTAAAATATTAATTTGCCCACAACTTAAAAACAAAAAATGTACTAGTTTCTAGATGAATCTATTTTGTTGCAAACAAATACTATGTTGCATAAATATAAAATTTCTTTACTTTTAGTCCTCCCCCCTGCATTGTGGATGAAAACTTTTTTCGTCACCTATTTTTAGTTCCAGCTGTAAGTTTTTAGACGCAGTTTTGTCGAATTAATAATATCGATAAGATGTATATAGTACTTGGCTACTGTTTCTTTATTATTATATACAATGCTGCCATCAAGTTTGAATGGCACAGAGGTAATCTTTACTGGGGAGAAAATACTTACATAGAGGAGGGAGATGGTTCACCCATCCAGTCTATACGTTAAAAAAGGTCCTGAACTTGGCTTTGAAATGGATTCAAATATGGCGACCGAGTTCTAGTTCTAGTTCACATACATGTATTTCACTGGAAATTTCTATTGGAATTTTTTATTTCATGAAACTTCGTGTCTTCATGTCTCGCCGTTCCTGTAGAATTTCTAAAAAAAAACTTGTCTACTGTCTTGTTAAACTAGAATTACCAGGTAATTGTGAATATCATTCAACCCAAGTTGCCTATCGGATAGCAGAAATCGAAAATTTTTTTCAGGGGATAATTCTTACAGTATTGGCATTCTTACGACGAAGAAGGAGTTTTAAAAAAGATATTTGTGGAGGACGACCTGGCCTTGTTATGTACGTTTATATCATACTTTGTTAACCGTCAACATGTTGGACACTTAGGGGCCGATTACATGGGCCGGGCTAGCCCGGCAAACCGGGCTGGCCCGCTTTGCCGGGCCAGCCTGTTTCCTATATTATCGCAAGCAATTTTCACGTTTCGATTACATGGGAATTTTCAGCCCGGCTTGCGGGGCTGGCCCGGTTATGTCAACCGGGCTAGCCCGTCTTGCCGGGCTGAAAGTTAGCATGTAATCGTTTCAGCCCGGCAAACCGGGCTGGGTATTCGTCAACACATGCACAGTGTTACACACATGCATAAACAACAATGGCGTCTGCGTTTGCTAAATTTTCTTCGTTTGCTAAATTTCAGCCCGGCAAAGATTACTCATATAATCGTTTGCTAAATTTCAGCCCGGCACAGCGGGCTAGCCCAGTCCATGTAATCGGCCCCTTAGGGGCTGTTTACATGAGCCCAGTTACCCGAGATTCAACGAAGCGTGAGAGGACTTTGAGGTATTGAAATAAGTCTTTATGACACCAAACAAGCACATGTGATTATACGACTGCCAGGATCATGTTATCTGCTCATTTCACTACCTCAAAATCATCTCACGCTTCGTTGAATCTCGGGTGACCGGACTCATGTAAACAGCCCCTTAGGGCTGCTTTCCACTGTCGCGTAATTTGCAAGTACGTACTTGCACGTAAAAGTTTAAAACCTTTGTTGTATAATTAATTTTATGCCAAAAAAACCACACCAAGTCTTCAACAGAATTCTACCCTATGCATCCATTCAATTGTAGATTCTATAAGTATAATCTAAATGATTTAAAACTTTTATGTGCGTGTACGTATAGTGCAAAAAACGCGACAGTGTGAAGCAGCTCTTATGCAGGTTTTTTTCTTATGCCATTGTTCAACAAGCGTCACTTCGGTGTAAAGAGTATATATTGCATTAGAATTGGTAGGCTTGGTGGAAATAACAATGGAGTAATAAAAAACCCCGCATAAGTGTTATGTTAGCCCGGCTTTCTCGCGATGACGAATATGCTTTTCATATATTGTTTTATAATTGTTTGAATTTCTTTTTAATTTTTAAAGTTAGTAAAAGGTGGCAAATTTTCGCCATCGTGATTCGTGAGAAAGGCTAATCTGGAAGCTCGAGTTGTATTTGAGAAGTTGTTAGTGCATTAATAAAAACCTACCTCCTGTTTAGACCCGTTGATTTCCTTGGTTTTGATCATGACCGCTTGGCCATCATGTTTGTGTTTGGAGCTACAGCTGGAACAATTTTAGATCTCCTTTTACACTTGAATATTAATACGGCTGTTTCAAACTCTTGGACGACTGGTATGTTAGTCTTGTGATATTTATTATACTTTCAGCAGGTGTCTGGTAAAAAATGAGCACGAAGTTTTGCAATCTAAAAGACAATAGTTTTCAACGGTTAGTAAATCCCAGCGCGTATTAGAGTTTTCAGTTTAGACAGAAATTTCATTAATAGTGGTGTCTACGAATACCGCTGGCAAACATCTGCGCATGCGTGGCTTTTTTCGTATTTCGCACACTGATCGATTTCGTGCCAGCAAATAGGAACAAGAAGAGTTAACAAACTGACGAGGAGTAAACATTCTTTTGCTTAAGGAAGATAAATTACAAGGCATTTATTGCTCATTCAAGCTCATTATTGGTTTATTTTATAGCGTTCCTCACCATCGGACTTGCTCTTGAACCAGCTTTCTTGTACTACCCATACTTTGCATGTTTGGCTTCCTACCACAGAATCATTGGTGCGATGATGGGATTTCCCTATGCAGTAATATTGTGAGTCTTGACTTAATTCTACTCGATATTCAAGCCTATTTCAACACAATAATAATACTATTGTGGCCCGTTTTAAACGCCAGAGTTTTCATGTGCCGAAGATCATTCACAATGGACAATATCTATATATCTTTCCTTCATATCTATTGCGTTCATAGTTTCGGTATAAGAGAAGTTCGATATTTTCTGCCGAGAGACCATTTCCGAAGTAGACCAAATGCTTGGTTGGGGCAGCTGGAAAGAGCATGCCAAATTCAATATAGTTGCTTTAACTGCGAAATGTTGAAAAATAACTGAAAAATATAACCGTGCATGTGAGGAGCAGTGCGTAAGACGAAAAGCTTTAATTTTTATGCGATGTCCGCTGGAAAACCGAGCCCTCTGTACTGGGAGAATATTTGCCGAATATGACCGACGTGGAAGCAAGCAGTTAATTTTGTATGAATTTAACAGTAAAAAGTAAATGTAACACTGACTGATATATATTCCATTACTACTGATGTGCGGAGTCCATTCTGGGGGAGCTACGTTCTGGGATTGACTTTTGTACGCGTTTTGTATTTGATAGGAAAAGCCTACTATTGTAAATTCATCTCAAATTCATCTCTCGATTCCCGGACCGACTTTCTTGGTCTCATTCAGATTTTCGGACCGACTTTAAGACTAATTTCAGAAACGCTATAGGGGGATGTGCGCCCCCTGTCTGTGAGCTAGCAACACGTGTTTGTAGTCCATTTAAGACTCGCTCGTTTTATCCATGATGTAGCGTTACATATACGCTTTATGACAGTATAACTGTATAACTTCATAACATAACAGCATACGCATAACAGCTTTATGAAAGCATAACTTCTGTGAATTAATGAAAGGTATTTTGTGGTTTGTAGTTTTTCTGTTTCCACGCTTGTAGATCTTCAAAAGTGTAAAAATGTGAGTTGGTTTGGTTCTGGAGCTTATATATAATGCGGACATGAAGTCCTAGAATAGTTTGACAAACCTGTATTTCCATTTGCTTTTAGAACACTTCGACGTGGGACGAATATGTTTTATCAATCGTTCCAAAAATACCCACAATGGTGTGCCGACTGTGTATTCTGGGAAAGTTCATACTTGTCCTGTGTGTGGAAATCAAGAAATACAGGATTATCGGGATGCGGGTATTGTCTCGTAACGTAAGTACATTCTAAATGGTTCTCAGCAAATTTTAAGGGAATACAAAAGCCATACGTTAGGTTGTATTTGGCTGTAAACCATGCAATAGTTTATGTTCAATTATCGTGCGACTCGTAAATAGTGTGGTTAAATGCATGTCTATCCAGGAGGAGAATACACCTTCACAAGTGAAATTTGTCAAACCTTGGGTGAAAAATTACGTGAAAAACCTATTTCAACAAAGGTAATATTCCGTCCCAGTTCAATGATCGAGTATTTAGTTGCTTTGCCGAAGGTTTTCTTGTATAACTCATTTGTTTACACAGTAGTGTTTACAGCACCCTGGTCAGTGATCCTGAATATAACATGCAACCTAATAATTTTATGCAGTTAGGATACTTATAATAATTCAGATCAGTTATCCGCGTGGATTAGGCAGTTGTCATGCTAAATTTCAGGCGAAGCTATTCCAAGACCCTAGCATTCTACCCCTACGTAATATTGGGACTTATAATATAGCTACTCGCCGTATACGAGCTGTTACTGTGATTACTGCGTTCTTGGATGATTGTTGACTTGCTGATTGCTGTAATAGCTCACGAACTGAGGTTAACTCTATATGTTCCCTGGTTCGCCATGTTTCTAGACCACCCCGTCAATATTCAAGAATGGAGTTCTACCTGAGGAAAATTTACAACCCTGAGAAAAGTGAGTGTTGGATTTGAAGTCCTGAATTTCAAATCCTGAATTTGAAGCATCAGACCCGTCACGGTAATTTCGGAAACCAAATGACTCATTTCTTTTCTTATACAAACATGCCTGTCTCACCCTCACGTTCAATTTGGTGTCGTAAAAAGGTAACAATTTCAAATTCAGACCTGTTTGGAAAAATTATGGAGATGACAGCTTATGAACAAAGGTTTAAACCAAATTTTTGAAGCGTATTTCTTTGAGCAATTTCGTCCTTTGAGAAGACAATTTGGTACTTTGAACGGTCTCAGGTCTCCATATATATACGTCTCATTAGGTTCAACATGAAGCAAGCCCTATAATTATTATAAAGACTGGGCTGGAACGATCACTGGATTGTCACAACAAAGTGGAATTTTGTTTTAAACCAAGCGGAATATTTGTTTGCATTTTCAGGCGAAGCCAATCAGAATGGCTGGATTTTTAATACTTCATGTAAAATGGCAAATCATGTACCTTTTTACCGGAAGTAGTCAAAATTCATGCATTCTAATTGGTTACTGAAAATGTAAACAAACTTACTGATTGGTCTAAAACGAAATTTCCCCTTGTTGATTGGCACTTGTACTCAATACGGCTTGAAATTAGCTTCTGATAGCAACCGAGTTATCGTCATATTCGAGGACGACTAGCTTGTTAAGTGATAAAATGATGCGAATGCAGCTCCAGTCCCTCCATTTATACTGGAAAAAGATCCAATTGAGTTGCATTATTTTTTTAGATTTTAAATTTTCCACCCAAACGTTGTCAGTAGTGATGATCTGTTGCATTTCGCTTTACAATGTGAGTGCTCCGTTGATATTAAAACCATACCAGTTACACGTTAAAAAACATAATAAAATGTTAGTATACACTGCAGGACGCTATTGTACGTCAATTATGTACTGATAAAACTGCGTGATCGTATATAATCAAATGTAATAATGGTATATATAGACTATATCTATACATACTATACATATATGACGTCACCTCTGGTTCGCAAAAAAACCCCCGTATCTCGAATACTATATAGATATTTATAGATATACGTCTATTTGCCAAATAGTTTCCTTATTTCCGATCTAAATTTTCTATTCTGTATTTCAGATTTCCTTTCAAATTATTTTTCTGTCCAGTGATTTTTTGCTTAAAGTCAAGAAGGCTCGCAATGCTGGTTTTCGTTCACCACTTGTGGAAATTTTGTATGTAGTTTTAGGTGCGTTTTCTTCCGTTAATATATAACGTACATGCTTTAAACCAGCGATTAATTATGATTGGTATATTTACCAAGGTGATTATTGAAAATTCTGTATTAACCGATGCGTTTAAAAGGTAGAAATGTTACATAAGCAGAATTTAATAATACGTGTGTTGTTATATTTGTATAATTGAGCTTTCATGGACTATGCACGGTAGTTTTCTTTTATGAAATAAAATAAGTAGTCGAACAAAGTCCATTTATAACAGAAACTAGTAACAGCAACATACGTATTCGTAATCTTCCTTATGTAAACATTATTCCTATATTTTATAAAATCGTATAGTTATACACATTAAAATCACCACAAGTGTTTCTATAACTATATAGAAACGCAGGAAAAATGTTTTCTATTTCTTGCTATACTGATAATTATTGTTTATTTGATACCAACTTAGGGCCACTGATCGCCGCAACTGTTCTCGCTACCGCTGTCTGCATGATTTCGTTGCTTCGCTTCCTGGAGAATCACAAGTATATGCACCAAAAGATGTTTCTGTCAGGTTTCTTTAAAATTAAGCTATTTTATAGTACCCCGATAAACAAAATCTCGCTCTTCTTTCATAGGAATAACATGCTAAGGATGTTCAAAGGAGACAAATCATTCATTGCCAAGAAAATTAACGTGTCACAGTTCATGATTGTAAGTTGAAAAAATTGTATCATGCATGCCATAGATAATCCTGCCATAGAAAAAATTTTGATCAAGACAAGAAAATCTGAACTAACACCATTTAATTGAGTGTTAACCTGTGCCCAAGTCCATGTTGTAAAACATATCGTGAAAATCATACATCATTGGATCATAATCCAAAAAAGCCTTTTAATTTTTAAACCGTGATTATCCCGAATTCGTAACAATAAAAAAGATTACCTTTAGTTACGCTTGCAAACTTATTATTGATCACGCGTTTGAAACTTTCAAGTCTAACGATGACATGCATACACGGAATGGAATGGCTAAGTGTATATTCGCCATGATTTAATACGAAACTTTCGCCAATTTGCAAATGTAAAGAAGTCAACTTCGCGTCTGGTCTTCGCCGGGTTTGTGCGAATTTAAATGAACGCTGTAGATGAAAATTATAAAGAAAACATTAAATACTACAAAAGACACGGCATAATGAAATGAAAAGGAATTACGAAGGATTTATTCCGCTGGTTTACTTTACTGCAGGAAAGCAGTTTGAAAACGATATTGAATTCGCTGTACATACCTGAAATCTGCATCTTTTCGAATAGTCTTATTCCTTTTCCGTGATTTAAATTACTTGGCATCAATTTTGTCCTTGTAGGGTAAAGGGCTGCGATACAGCAGCTATCATATTGCATACTTCTTGTGCGGTAAGTGTTTTTTCCTTATTTAAGCTTAATTGAATGAATAGATTATTCTAGTCAGCGTTAAGGGCCAGATTGTTTTGTTGCATGTTTAAACCAAAATGATCAACAACACCATTTCTATGGATATTTTGGATATTTAAGATCAAAGACTAGTGCCAAGGCCTATTTAGCGCAGTAGCCCCCAAACAATTGGCAACCAAAGGCTGAATTTCGACTTGCGAAAAATGGTTCACAAGCGAAAAATTTGGATATTTTCTATTGAAATGAAGGGAGTCTCAGGTTGAACTAATTTATTTATTTCTGTCAAAATTCAAAAGAAAATATACAACTGAATAATTCGCTAGTACACCATGTTTCTGCAAGTGGAAATCCACCCTAACTGACTATCAACTGATATCTCCTTCTAACTTAGGTTCACTATGGTCGATTTATAGGCCACACTCGCTCCTATAGGCCGAAAGAATCAACCCACCGTTACATTACCTGACTACGCGATCGCTCGTATGAGGGGGATATGTTATTTGATGCCCCTAACTTTGGTGTTTTATGTTTAGGGTATTTCCTAGTTATGTCGCTTTTATTTGTCTTGTGTACAAGTTTGCGTCTGTTGCCATATCCAGAAGTTCAACACTGGCTTGTAAGTTTTCTCTCAGGAACTGGGTAGGTCAAGCAATTTGTTCATATTTCATGTATTAAAGCACTCATGCGTTATCGTATTACATGCACAAGTTGATAATCAAGGAACGAGAAGTTCAATGCAGTGTTGAACTTCGAATTCCTTGTTTAGGAACGAGTGCATGTAAAAACCGATAACGCACGAACAAAGAAAGTGTTTTAAGACTTTTATAAATACACACAAAGTCTGTAAAAAATGAATTTTTGTTTGTTTCCTTAATTGCCGCCATTTTGCCAGTGCAATGAAATCAATTTGATAACGGCACTGCCGTAACATTGTTGCTATATAAAATTCACTCACGTGGTTCAAATCGACCAATCAGAACGTAAGTTCAATACAAAAGTACAAAAAACAATATATATATATAGCAACATATATATATATATATATATATATATATATATATATATATATATATTTGTGAATTTTATATAGCAACAGTGTTACGACAGTGCAGCCCCGTCACGAGCTATGACAGTTCTTTATCTACTCTTCCAGTGTAGTCATCGGTATGGCAATAATCACTCGTCTGTCCTTGCCTATCACTTCGATGACGATATTTCGTGATCACAACTACTCAAAACACGTCATATCAATCAATAACAGGTACGGCGTGATTTAGTTCGATTTACCAAATCGAATAACAACCAGGTGAACTCGCGTTCATATTTTAGCCAATCAGAGCTAAGAAGGTTTGTCGAAATAGAAATCAAAATGTTGTATTTATTAACTTATATCCTTCGTTATTCTTTATGGAACCAGTCTAAATTTTGTGATTACGTTTATTCATATGAACTTTAGTTCTGACATTTGAGACCGAAACAAAGTATGTTTCAAGAGATATTTTAAAAGTTGTCTCAACCGAGAAATGGATGCTTTTTGACAACCAGTGACTAGTCCAAGTCTTCTCCCGACATTTCAGTTCACCTGGAACTTTTATTGCATAACAACACCTCAGTTTCTATTTTTTGTGCCTCGTCTTCACACACTTCATTCTAAATCGCTATGAGAGAACAATTAAAGTGCAACGAGTAAAATATTTTATCGAGCCAGTATTCCTACTGAGAGAGACTGGGGAGTGATCCCGTTTGGGTAGGAAAATTTTCAAAATTCTATAGAAAAATGGATTTTTCTCAGAATTTTGTTGCAAACATTTACATGATTTTGCAAAATCATAGGCCGTAAAGACTTCGCCCACTCATTGCAAAAACTAACTCGGAAGCTCGCTGCGAGTTATTTCGTCAATCACAATGCTTGACGAGCTTGCGAGTGGGTTTGAGCGAAAAGAACTATAAGGCTTGGTTTCCACTTGCAGATAATGATGTAAAATACGCATAAGTGCTGCCTCTCAAGTGAATTTTTTTCTTTTTCCAGAAACGTCTATTTGGTGTTCTCGTACTTCTGGTTTTTCCTGGGGCTTCCTCAGGCATTCATGTCTGCCATTTATCGGGTGTTGAAGTTAATGTGCCTCGGCGCTGTGATGTTGCCAATAATTAATCACAGCGTAATGCCAGATGGCTTTCAACAGTTTGATCAAGGTAAGGTAAAGGCCAGGGTTCGTAACGCATGCTTAATGTCGGTTGTAGTAATATATTTAAATACAGTATTTATAATTACTTTTATATAATTGCTTTATTTATAATATTGTGGCTGTGTTACTCTGAGTTACCAACCGGACAAGCTGGAAAATGAGCTTGACCATGGTGGAAATCAGACAAGATACCTTTGAACTACTAGGTCGAGACGGCTCTAATAGAAAAACCAAAGTCGCGAGTTAGAAACCCTCTTGCTATTAGGGCTTATTTTGCACGTACGTAAATACGCACGTACTGTAAAAGTTTAAAATTATTTACTGAATCAGTGGCGGATCTAGGGGTTTGCAGAATGGATTACTACAGATTAAAATCGCAATCGCATTGGCATATTTTAATGTAAAAATATTCTTTTCAAATCTATAATCAATAGCGCTGTTACAGGTATGTGTCTAACAACTTAGAAGGTTTTAAACTTTTATGTGCGTGTACGTACGTGCAAAAAACGCGACAGTAGAAAGCAGCTTTTATATCAACAACTTATATCATTTCCTTCAAGGTTTTATTTCCTATATTTGTTATCTTCATGTTCAAACAGCGTACAGAAATCCAATTCTTCGCCTTTTCTGTCAAATCTTGCATGATCATGCAACACGTAAGTGCTACAACGCGTTAAAACGAATGAACCAGGGGTGAGCTCCGCGTGTTAAGTGCGTTTCTCACAAACTTCATTAAATAGTTTGGAAACAAGGCTGGGGCGTGGGTGAACGAATATAATGAAACAATACCAAAATCCCTCGAGACGCGTGTTTTTCCCCGTTTAGGCTGTTTGTTTTATATTACTATGCACTTTACTATTGTAGCGTGACTCTCGTGCATTCTCGAGGTTAGAACACACGGTTCAATAACGAAATGTATTGCAAAGTTTTTTAAAATACCTTGAACTTTTCATACATTCAAAATCCGCAACCATGCATGATATAGGCACTTAAATGTACCTTCCCGCTAATTTTGATGACAAAAAAGCATTGTAAGAATACAGTCACCAGAGAATAGTAAAAACTGTCTGTAAATTTTTTTGTTTCAGAAAATCAGTCGGGAAACACGCACTTGTTAGGTATGTATAGGAGTAATATATAAATATATCAAAACTCCCATAAATTACGAAAATAACATGTGCATGCATTGGCATGTAGTCTGCATCAGTGAACTGTAAATAATAACTGGAACGATACGTTCTCATTGTTTCTTTCCAGCACTTTGCAAAAAAGGAAAAAGGTTCCGGCCAACTTTGCACGCAGATATTTTTCACGCTTCTTATTTGCTACCAAACCAGCTCATCCGTTTTGCTCAGTTTAAAATGCTCTTTCTAGCTGCACTAACAAGGGGGGAATTTCGTTTTAGACCAATCAGAAAGTTTGTTTACATTTTCAGTAACCTAATAAGGATGCCTAGACTTTGATAAAAAGTACAATATGTACCATTTTACATGAAGTATTGAAAATTGAGGAATTCCGATTGGCTTTGCCTTAAAACGTAAACAAATGTAAACAAATAGGGTGATTAGTTTCAAACGAAATTCCTCCTTACTAGCTGCATTAATGAATATTTCTAGTCTTAATTTTAGTTCAATTGGGGAATGGTCTATTATCCAAGTAGCTCAATAGAACCTGCATGAAGTTAGTCTTTTCAATTTCATCTGCATGGTCGGGTTTAAACAGGGAGCCTTCAACTAATCTAAAACTACCCAAGTATAATAGATTATTAACACGAAACCTAACCTGTTTACAATTGATTACTGTGTATTGCAGGGCGAAACACGGAACAGAAATGGATATTCTCAGCTCAAGCTCGCACGAGGTGGTTCCTTGCCCTTACCCTAGCCCGCAACCCACAACTTGCATCTGAACGCAGACCAGATATTCGTGACCCCAGGCCGCGGCTGACCGAATATGGTGGCAGGCATTCTGATGTCCTTATTGAAGTTCATCAATATGGCTCTGACAATGTTGGACTTATTCAAGATAATTAGATGATTGACAATAAGATAATTCTTGAACATACGAGAAATTTTGCATATATATTTTCAGTATTTTAACAAAACCACTACCATTACACAATGGAACACAATTAAATCTAATTTATCTCAGCCAAAGGCATGGGGCCAATTGTACAAAGGCTGGATGGCGCGAAAAGTTGTGAAACCGAAGATTTTAGCTAAGAATTAATAAAGAGAGTCTCCAATATATAAATACTAAGATTTAATAAAAGTTTTTACCGAACAACAGGGATTTTGGAACGTGAAAAATCACTATCCGGTGAATAGCGCTATCCAGCTTTCGTACGACTGGCCTCTGGGCGTTTTGAGTGAGTTAAGAATCGCGTTCACATGATTGGCTAATTGAAGGTTAGTTCGTTCGATACTTGATTGCTACATACGCAATTTCTAGCAAACTACAGTACATAGAATTAAGCTGGTTTATTTTCAATTTTAAAAGATCTCTAATCAGTATCATTGATATGGTGATATAACATTGACATAACGGCGATAATTCTTGATTATTTTCATAAAAAACAAGGTAAATACATTAGTTGTCATTTTGTTACACAGCGGTCTCCACAATATGCGATTGCTCGTGAACAGGGTTGTCTTGAGACTCTCCACTTTCTTCATGGTCGATTTTAATCAATTTAAAAACGAAAATGTTTTTTTTGGATCCACAAACTCTCAATGTATGACCAAGTTGCTCGTTCATTGACATACAACTAGAGTATCTCCGATCCGCATGGTGATCA